AACTTTTGCATTTAGATCGCTTTTTATTTCCAGTTTTACAGAAAACATAAAGCACGTCATGCGCGATCGGGCCGCACCGCTGAAATGCCCTTTTCCGCGCGAGTAATATTCCCGGAATCAATGGATTTACGTGCATACACCCCCGTTGCACTTTTCCACCCTAACCTCGATTACGCGCATTTGCGTCGGGACGCCGAATTCGTCGGAGGTATTTCGGTCTCGCCAGGAGTCGCCGCGTTTACTTTTCCTCCGCATCCCCCTCGCGGGCCCGAATATTTCGGAGCTGTTGAAAATAATTGAAAGTATCGAAAATCAATAGGGGGAGTCGTAACTGTATTTTGGCCGGCGTGGATGGCGATACATAGACATATGTATATAGATGTACGGCGTCGAGGGGGAGCAACGTGCACTTTTTGCGCGACCGATTCATCGCCGGTGGTCCCTCTCTCTCTCTCTCTCTTCCGATATTAGCAATTATTGGACCGAGCCTCTCGAGAACTCGGGGGAGTTTCCAGGAGCGGGTCTGAGAAAGATAACCGGACGGAGGTGGGAACGGGAGCGAGAAGACCGATCCTTCTCTCGTAACTCCCATCCTGGCAATTGGACGCCTCTGGTAATCCAGTTACCAAAACGATCTCGCAAAGTTTCCAAAAGTATCCATCAACGCCCCCGGGCAACGTCAGAAAGTACGGGGGGAGAGAGGCTACCGAGTTTCATCCAATTTATATCGAGCGAGGGGATTAAGAGAGCTCCTCGCACCTCGTCGGGTTTTGGGCTCTCGACCGTAGCGGCGATTTCACCTGAGAGTCTCTGAACGTTCGGCGAAACGAACGGCGCCTCTCGGTTTGCGGCATATCGCGTCGTTGCGTGCATCGCCAATATTCCGCGGACCCGAAGCGGCCGTCCGTCGGTGTTATCGATAGTTCCGTATCGGCGGCGATTAATAGCGAGTGGTTAAACGGTCGATAATTTCCAGGTTTCCATAGAGGTGGCCATAGAGCCGTTCGATTTTCGGGTCGCGTCGACCTTCCCCGAGTTTGCAGGTTAGGGACGTTCGGGAACCCTGGTAGGGGCTCTAGTCGTCGACGGTCGATCGACGAGCAGTCGTCGAAAAGGAGGTCAGAGGGCAATGTTAAGTCGCGAAAATGCGAAGAAGGTCGACCCGGAAGTGCGACCCAGACGAAGTCTCGGAAGGAAGTGCATCGGAGGGGCTGGAATCGAGAGTAAGACCGTTTCAGGGGACTCGGCAGCCCCGTTAACGATAGGCCGCATTATCGACGACCGGTAATGCACTTTCCTAAGTAGGTCGCCACCTTTGAAGAGGTCGGACGGAACGCGACGCTTCGTTACGCGGCACGGAAATTCCCAACTGCCTGACGTATGCGTGCGGTGTACGCGGACGTGGGCACGCGTGTACGTGCCGGAGAATTCGGGATCCCGAGTTCCGTACCCTCGTTACGGCCCTTCGAGCCCTGGCCGAGATTCCTCCCGAGGAACCGCGAATCTACCGCGATCCTCCGACGTTACGACGAGCAACCGCGTCCCCGTAAATCCCGCCTCGATGCCAGCTGATCGCTCGTCGATCGTTACAGGGACGTCTGGAATCCGGTGACTTCCGATTGGCGGATTTTTTAAGAGTCCCGGAGAAACCGGGAACGGCGATAAAGGGACGCCCAGTGAATTCTCGAAATAACGACCGAATTAACTCCTGATAGCAACGCGCGCCGCGGCTGGCCGCACGCCATTTAGCTAATTAAAAGAACGTCGCGAACGCGATGCGTCCTTTGACGTGTGCGGCAAACCGCGGCATAACGCACCCATAGAAACCAAGGTTTACCGGGCCGTTATTAAATTATCGCGTCGTTGCGGCGGGGTAATGAATTTCCCTAGCGCGCGTCCCGCCGAGTTACGCGGTTGACAACGCGCGGACGAGGCTCGGTGACGAAAGTGGATAAAGTTCCTTATACGCGATCTAAAGTTCGACCGCGCGTTTTCTACGCCGCTGGGCTTTGTAAAAACGCGAGGCAGAATTCGGAAGACTTTCGCCGTCGCGTTTCGTCTCGAATTAAAAGCTCAGCTTTTAACGACCACCGTCAACGAAACCCGCTCGAACCGCATCGGCCCAATTACCGCTCGATGCGGTTAATCCGGAAAGTATTCCCCGCGGAGTGCTCGGTCAAACTTGACTCCGCTTATCCTCTTAGGGCGTCGCGGCGTTGCGTGGTCCCTCGCTCGTGGGATTAAACGACCCGTCGCGGCGCCATTATCGACCGTACTCCGGGAAAATCGCAGGAGTCGAAAACGCTAAGTGAGGAACTTCCGGCCAACCCGGGGCGGTTCGTAAATCAAGAGGCGATTTGCGGAACCGTTATCGAGGCGTCGCGATAAGGACGATCGATCGGTACCCTTTGAGGCGCCGTTTTTGCCGATTGGTGTTATTTCGCCCTGATATACCGGGGAATCATAAAATGCAAATTAAATTGATGAGGGGCGGGGGCATAATGCATTTGGCACCTCGAGTCGAAAATTTCATCCTATTTAGGACCTCCGATTGTAGGTCTTATTTGGGTTAAAATTTTGACTCGCGCCGCTTGCTCGAGGAGGCGCGAAAGGGTGACTAAAAGAGGGTAGCACCCCCGTGGATACTTTCTCGCCCACGTTCTCATCCGAGTCTGGAATAATCGGCACCGAGTCGATAAGGATAAAGGAAGACCGGCGATGGCCGGTTCGGGTCACTCGTGTTCAGCCGACTCTCTGGCGCGCATACCGGAAGACCGGATCGATTAGAGATTCCCGGCTCGCAAATGGCTTCCTCTCTCCGGGCCATGGGATCGTAGATTTCCCGTGAACGCGCGAATCCTGGCTAGTGTCACGGCCTCGTTCGCGCGTCCGCCCGCCCGTCCGTCCGCCCACCTTCCGTCCGTCCATCCGCCCGTCCGTCGCGACGCTTCTCGACGTCGAGGTCGGAGTTCGGCTTCGGACCCTCGTCGGTGCTTTTCGAGCCGTCCTCTCGAGTCGCGGATTATCGTCTGCGAGTCTTCGACCCGTGCCAGTGGGTTCGTCGCCGTCCTCGAGGCGCGTTCCGAGGCCGGCTCTTCCCAGGACACGTATTTTTTCCCCACGAAGCGCCCCGTCCCTCGAGAAGTCGGAGGCGAGCGGCGTCGCGACGCTCCTTTCCGCAAGAAGGCGAGGCTCCGTCGAGAACGAATCCGGGAAGAGTTACGAGCGCGGCCGTACGTTCGGAGGACGCGGAGACGAGGTCCGGGAAAATGGAGGCTTTAATGACGACCCTAACGTTCCGGCAATATCTTTTTAAAGCCCCGCCGTTTCGCGGTCCTCCCGCGGTCTACCTTCGAGAAAACCTCGGCACGGATCGAGCCCGTAAACCGTTTGATCGTCGGTCGATCGCCGAAGTGCGCTCCTCCTAGCTAAGAAAGGAGTTCGTCCCGGGTCGGTTCCTCGTTCCGGGGAAAATATCCGAAATCGAGAAGGGTCTCGAAAGACGACGAAGGATCGCGAACGTCGAATCGGGGAGAGAAAAGAGACCGAGACCCAGTTTCGCCTCTTGCGGTCCCACCTCCGCTTTTTAATGTCTCCATTAGCATCGAAGCTATCCCCGGTGGAAACGTGCCCCTCCTCGCGGAAAATGTGCCTCTCCTCCCGGAAAACGTGCCCCTCGCCGTGGAAAACGTGCCCTAAGGATTTCGAGGTCTCTTTCTTGCCCGGAAGAACGAGCTCAGGGTGGATATTATGCGCGAAGGAATCGCTTCTTAGCCCGGCAAAGAAGCTTCTCCGTTAACTCCGGGAGTTACTCGGAGCTTATTCAAGGTGGCGAGTAGCGACCTACCCTAGAGATCGGATTAAACTCCGAGAAGTTGTGGAGTAATTCCGTGACTCGTTTCCGCAATTTCGGGGACGCTTTGAGAATTTACCCCGACACACCCTTTATTGTTAATAATTACGCGATATCGGCGTCGCGAGGTCCACACCTCGTGAGGAAGGATCCTCGCCCGAACATTTTGGAGGTTGATTGAATTTTTCTTTCTCAACGAAATAATTGTTTCTTGCGACTATATATTATTCGGGCAACCATATAAATTTGTTTCGGTCAACTAATTTTTTTTTCTCAGCGTGACGCTCCGAAACGGTTCCCAAAGACCGAGGAAAACCTCGTTTGTTATTCGCCGGGAGCTCGATCCAAAGCTCCTCCTCGAAGAAGGTACTTCCATACGTTTTACCTCGTCCGTGCCATAAATCATGGTCCTTCCTGCATCCCCTGCGTTCTTGCGTCTCCTCGACTCGCGCGACCCTCTCGGCGGGCCCTTCCGTTTCGAGATAATGGCTATCGAATCATTGCCCTTGAGGCACTGGAGAGTCTTCCGAGTCCGCGGAAACCGAAAGAGTTTTCCTTTCTTTCCACCTTTGTTCGCCCGCCTCTCGTCGACCGAGTTCGCCGAGGATCGATCCGGACGTTTTTGTCGACGAGGTCCTCGAGGAGTTCCCTCGCAGTTCCCGGAGCTTCCTTCGCCGCACCTCGATACGGTCGACCAGCCGATTTTACTCGGTCATCGGAGGTAAACTATAAATGCGACTAAGTACACGAGATGTTTGCGAAGTACGCGACGTTATTCGGGGAGAGCGACGCTTCGTCCCGCGCCATGAATCACCTCCGACGCTGCCGAGTACCCGACGTATCGTCGGCTAACAAACTTGCCAATATTCGTAATTAAACCACGTTTGCGCGATTACGGAAGCGTATGTACACGTAAGGAAAACCTGTATCGTGTTACCCGAGGAACTCCGTGGCCATAACGCGAGCAATATCCATGAAAGGCGACGTCGGTTCGGGGAAAGGCCGGCGGGATTAGAAAGCCGGGATAAAAAGTGCAGGTGGACGCGAAAAATGGAAATTGCGACGGCTCCGACAGATCGTCCGAATCGACCCGAGAAAAGGCGTCGTTAAAACGGGTTCCACTAATCGGAACTTTTTGCCTTTCCAGCCGTCGTGGATGAGGACTCGAGAGTACTGGGACGACAGCTTCGAGGCCCGCTACGCGGAGATGAAGAAGGACCCCACCAGGCCGCCATTAAAGGTAATGGTACCCGCGACATTGTACGTTAACAAAAGCCAACTTTAGGTACCGAAGACAGTCGCGAAAAGACGCGTAAACCATGATTGGGTTACGTAAAAGAATTTTTTTCAAAATCCTCCACCCTTTGAAACAACCACCCGATTGTGCTGTCCGCTCCCGAAAATGGCGAAACCGCCGAAAGTCATTCTTAAACGCGAAGGCAAACAGATCAATCCGAATCGTGTTGCCAAATTGGAATCCCGCCAGCCAGGGGGGTGGTCGCCCCTTTTCGATGGAGGCGTCTCCGGGGGTTTCGAGGGGGGGGTCCAAGATTCTCGCGTTTTGCCTCTCTAGGTGGCCGGTACCTCCGTATGGACTCCATCTTCCCACGTTCTCGTCAACTAAGGTCGGAAGGGACGGAAGCCAAGTCTGGCCGGGGAGTTTGCGAGGAAATTTGAATTGCCAATTTCAAAGTGGATATCCGGCCATTGTATCCGCATCGCCGTATATCCTGGTAAGGGGGGCTAAAGGATGGCGACGGGACTCCTGGATGACGGAATCGGTCGAGTTTCGCGAGGACGCCGGTCGTCGATTTTGATATCTCCAGTTCTTCTTGCCCGGAGGACGCGATATTTCCAATGGACTTGAAGGGCTCGCAGAAAATTCGAGGGGACTCCTCTCTGGCTGCGAGGCCGTCCTCGACGTCCAAAACTTCGAGGATCCTCTCCAGGCTACGAAACGAACATTTCGTGGGGGCCGGGACGCTCTCGGCGCGTCGTAATTCCTTGTTTCGGAACGACCCGTGTCGTAAACGCGACCCGCTTCGGGGGTCGATGTCGTTACGTCCGTACGGGAATTTACGAGGGTAACCGGGCGTAAAAAGCATTCAGGAGTTAAGGGTAAGGGAGAGAAAGTCGACCGGTCAGGGTCTCTTTTCGCTGGTTCGGAAGACGTCTAAGCTTCCGGGCCAGGACGCGTCCGCACACTTTGCGTGCACGATTACCTGTGCTTTCGGGCCGATACGTCCGAAGATAGCCCCAGGGGGTGACGTTAGACCTCGGAAGGGAAAGGACCAGCTTTGTTCTAAGGCACGTCCCGTTCCCTCTCGTGGACCAGCGCTGTCGCGTTTAGTCGCGACTCTCGAGACGTTCTCCCGGAGAGTCGCCGTTGGGCGCATCCGGGGACGGGAAGAGGCACGATAACAACGCCGGGAATAATAAGGGAAAAAGACGAAACGCGGACACGGTCGAGATGGCGCCGAGGTCCCGAGGGGAACGCGAGAGCTCTCGGGAGATCTCCTGGGCTCAAGGTCCACAAATTGAGCCAATAAGGCGCCGATCGAGCTCGAGCGTTCAATGGGAAATCGGCGTCGCGTCGGCCGGGAAAGCGATCGGGCAAAATTGGCGGAAAAGAGCGGCTCGTCGAGGGAAATTAATCGATGTCCTGCCGTCTCTCCCTTTCTCTTATTATACTTCCCTCGTTTCTTCCTTTTGCGCGGCCGGCTGAATTCGAACCTAATTGGGCGCCGCGGGGGTGTGCGTGCGCGCGAGGGCGAATTTAATTGGGCGTCCTTTACAAATCGAGTTGGAATCAAGCGGATCCGACGCGAGGCGACGGCCCTTCCGAATCTAATTCCGAGTAGTCGCTCCTACGAATATTTTTTCTCGACTCGGAATCCCGAGTCCTGATTCGATTAATCGCGCCCACGGATCTCGTTAAAGTCATCGAGACCCCGAGCGCGGTCTTCCTCGAGATCGCCCCCTCTTCGGGACGTGGACCAGGGAGTCGATTCTGGAGTTCGTCCGATCAATCTTCGCCCTCAAAATTGACAGCTTCGTGTACGGCTTTCAATCGTTGACCAATGACGCGACTTCGCAACGAGAAATTTTTTTTTTCGCGAACCTATTCGTACGCGGCAGAAATCCAGATGAACTCGGGAACCGTGTTCCCGATTCTCGGTCGACGGTCCCCCTCGTCTTCGACGGGCGCTCGTTCGAGTCCGTCGACGTAACGCGCAGGCCGTTCCATTTCGCGAGATTATCGGGCGCTTTAAGAGGCTCCGAAATAACGATCTCCTATTCTTTCCCATAAAAACCTCCGCCCTCCGCGCGCGGGATGTCGCCATCGCCGACGTCGTCCGGTTATAAACACGCCAATATCCCAGGATCCTCCCTTAACAAGGGGATGCCGCCGGCAGGGTGTAATATACACGGTCAGGGTAATATTACCCGGAAACACTGGGCGGCGCCGGTCGAGCCCGGATAGACGGTTTGCGGGCGGGTGGGACGTCGTTTTGGGAGATGATCAAATAAAACGATGCAATAAAAATGGAGGTAAAATGAAAAGCAAAACGGGGTCGGGAGGGGCGAGGCGTCCGGGGGGGAATCGACCCGCTGGGCAGGACTAAGCGCGACTCCTTCGGGATGAAAACCCTTCTGACGGATCGTCGAGCGTGAAACGAGTTTCTCGTGTGCTTCTTACACACGTTATGTACATGTCTTATATAATGTATCGTTTCGGCGCATGTACGCTTTTACGCGTCTACGTAAGAGCCGCCGCGTGATTTCCGAGCTCTAAAGCCCGGGGAGGACCGTCCGGATATAAAGGGGGAAAACCTATGCATATTTTCCCATTTTTTTGTCCCCTCGATAAAAAGTTACAGCGCTCGGATGTATAAATCGAGCCTCTTCCTTAACGGGATGAGAAGGACGCCTCGTACGAAATTTGTCTTAAGGGGATGCGAAAGTCTCATCCGAGGGGTCAGTCGCTCATAAAACTTTTCTTCGAACTAAATGTACCGAATCTTTTCAAACTCTACAACGTGACGTTTCCCTAAGAAGGGAGTTTTTTTCGAATTTTTTTTTTCCCACGAGGTGGGATTATTTGTAGAACAAAGCGCGGCATTAACGAGGGATTTATTACTCAAAGATCCCTCTTCGGTACTCGCCGTAGGCGGTAATAGCTATTTCGAAACTATTAACTCTACAGGTATGATATTAGTGCTAAAGGTGAGTGCTGAATACGGGCGAAAGAAAATATAGCCGAGACCAGGAATGAGCTTCGCGGAGCTTTTAAAGTTACTGCCGGCGGATAATTTCCACTCTCTGGAAGTCGTAAAATATGCAGAGTTATTTTCAAGGAACTTTATATCCCGGGAAAATGTCCCCGAGATCGGGGGAGGAAGAGATCGCGCGAAGCCGGTCGAATTAGCGGGGCGGATATTCGGCAAGTCGATTATTAGAAAATGGCTTTATCATCGAGATCGACCCCACTGACGGGAACCTCGTAATCTAGCTCCTTTTCGTCATCTCGTGCCGTGTGATACTTCTTGATAATTCCGCTTACACCGATCGCGTGTCTAGATTGCTCGAGCTGGTTACGCGGCCGTGATCGATAGGCAATTTTAGTTTGCATACCCGTTCGCCCGGTAATTGCGCGAGGTTATTAAGTTTATGAATTACGCGAGCGCGTTTCGCGAGTCCGTAAATGGAACTCCTAGGAATACGTAAATGGACCTTCCAAGAGTACGTAAACGGAACGACGCGATGCTAGGTTAGGTTTACGGTCGACAAAGTAGTTATCCGCGAGCCGATCGATTCTCACCTACGATCGGGCACGATCGATTTGCGAACGGTATGACGAGGATGTCGCGTGCCAACGGCGGACCGCGTTGTTACCGGAATTCCAAATATTCCGACGTCAGCCGTGTCGAACTGCTAATTTTGGTCGAAGACGAATCAACGTTCCCAAAGTGGAATTTTTCCGAAAAGTCTCGCGCTCAAGTTTTGCAATTTCGCGGGTTAGGCCAACGGAGAGCTCTTCCTCGACCTGGCCCGAAAGCGAGAGGAAACTTTCCCCGTCCCTCCCGGGGTTTGCTCGATTTCAAAACGGCGGGTAAAAGCAATATTTACCGGGGCTTACTGCACCGTGGGAACTTTTTTCAAAGTTCGGCCATCGGTTATTGCCAGCGATCGGGCACCGGGTCGCGCTCCTGTCGAGTAACGACGAGATCGAACTAAATCCAACGAGCGGGCTCCCCTATATTTTTCGACTCCAATTTACCAAGGACTCGTCCCGTTTGAACTCTACACCGAGAAAAAGAAAGTTTGGTTGATTTAAAGAAAATGATCTCTTGATGTGAGGCCGTTACGGTGCGTCGTAATTAAGGTCCGTTCGCGTTTCACGATCGTGCAGGCGACGGTATACGTTCACGGAGCGAACGATATAGGGATTCGATACCTCGAGAAGCGAGACGAAGTGGCGCCTCACCTTCCCATCCCTGAGCGAGCGACGCGTCTCCGCGACGGTGGAAGTTCTCTCCGCCATCTTTATCCCGAGCGCGAGGATCATTTCCAACGGAAAGGGAGATCGCGACGGAATCCGGAAGTCGGTCGTCGTTCCGGATCCTCCGACGCGTCGACGAGGTCACGTAGGACCTCGTTCCTCGCTGCTCCTTCCCCGGATTTCCTAGGGTCGGCTTTTCCGATACTCGGGCCCCTTCGGAACCCCGTGGAGACGACGAGGGGGACGACCAAGGGACGACCCGGACGAGCTAGCCCCGTCCAATAAATTCCCAACCTCGGAAGCCACTTCCTCGCCCTGGATTGAATTCTTCCCCGAAGGCGGCGAAATTCGATACGCGCCCCTCGCCAGCCTCGCGACGCATTCTTTCCAGGATATTGCATTCTTCCTCGGATAAGTGAGAACAACCCCCGAAACGCCAAGGAGCCGATCGCGGTCCGTCCGATAACGACTCGTCCGCTGGCGATCGCGACGTCGTCGACGACTGATAATTCCTCGTACCTTTTCTCGGCTCCCGAGTTTACGCTCCGATTCCTTTTCCGAATTCTTCCCCGTCTCTCGAGGTCTCTGGCGGCTGCTCGTCGAGTTACGGGGGATGATCATAAAGAAGCGGCCGTCGCGATAGGGGAAGAGAAATAGGCAACTCCGTGTCCTTGTCTCGGATAAGGACCGCGAGGTCGCTCCCGGCTAAATTCGACGAACGCGTCGGTTTCTTGCCGCGTCCCCCTTTCCTCTCGTTCGTCGAGGTCCTTCCAGGTCGCAGGAGCGACGATCGAAGTTCGGTCGGCCCGAACGAGGAGCAAGGTCCCTCTCTTCCTCCTCTTCCTGCCCCCTTCTAATTTCCACTTTTTTGCCGACCTACGTCCTCGGGGTGATTTATCAACGAATCCGCCGATCGCGACTCGCGGCCGTCTGCTCGGGCGGAGGGAGAGTGCACTTAGCGGGTTCTCTTTACCCTCGAAAGTGCGGCCAAAGTCGGCGGGGGTGTATCAAAGGGATGCCGCGCGCCCCTTTCACCGTCCATGCATACCAATAAGCCCGCGACCTCCGTCCCTCCTCCTCGGGCCGGGCCCCTAACCTCGACTTATTACCGCGCGGCTTATTACCCGCGAGGGCTTCCCACCTGTAATTAACGTCGAAACCTCGGCGCGCCGCCATTAAAACACCCGTTACGGCCCGTTTACGCGGTTTTTGCCCGCGAACCTCGCGGGCACGCGCCCGCCGTCGAAGCGGGAACGCCGAAGACGCGTCGCGGGAATTTCGGGGTAATTTCCGTCGCGCTGCGGAATTCCACGCGGGGCGCCTCCGCTCTTTACGAGCCCTACGGTCGAGCCGGCGTTTAACGAGCGACACCGTCGCGTTACCTGTCGTGGTGATATCCTTCGCCGCTTAAGGTGTTACGCAGGGGTCATTCCATACGGATATATCTAAATGTGAAAATATTCACAATATTTTTCTCCAAACCGGGGGCGTCGAAGTTGATCGACATTGCAATTACTTGTTGCAGGTGATCCTGGTCCCTCACAGCCACACGGACCCTGGATGGCTGAAAACCTTCGAGCAGTACTTTCACAGCTCGACGAGGGGGATCCTGAACAACATGGTGTCGAAGCTGCAACAGTGGCCCAACATGACCTTCATCTGGAGTGAGGTGTCCTTCCTGTCGCTTTGGTGGGAAAGGTGCGTTGTTCACTCCGGAAGCGAAAAGGAACCCGGGGGAGACAAATGGCTCGACCTGGAGGAAAAAGGGGAATCCATTACGTCTATGCTCCCTCCTCTTTCCGTCCTCTGAAGAGAACGAGAGAACTCCCCCGACCCGAAATTCATCGTGACCTCGGTCAAAATATTACGAGTTAATTCGAAGCTAACGTCGGAAAAGTCCGGGGCATTTTACGAGCAATTTGGCGGGGAACGAAGGTGGGTTTTCGCGAAGGGTATACGACTCCGCCGCGATCGAAGAACGCCTTTTCAATGGGACGACCTTTTAGCGGAGAGTCGGAGCCAACTCTTCCGTTGACGAGACGAGGGAGAAAGCTAAGTCGAGATAAAGCCACGGAAAAGCGCGACGTCGCGGAAAGTAGCGCCCTCGGTGGCGCGAGTGCCGATCGAAAATGCGCCCGCCTCCGGAAAAGTCGGGGAAAAGTCTCGGATAAATCGCGGCAGGACCCCATAGAAACGTCCCGTGATCGTAAAACCCGCCAGGAGTCGATCGACTCGATTCCGCTCGTCTCGGGCATCGTCGCGATACACCTGAAATGGTCCAAGGTGCTCCGAAGGCCGATACCAAACCCAACGTGGAAAACCAAACGAACGTTATCCTCCACTTTCCGTTCCTCCACTTTCCGTTCGAGACCTTTACAAACTTCTTATCCCGCGGCATAGGAGGAACACCGAGAAAAAATATTAGTTGACCGAAACAAATATATATCGGTGCCTGAATCATACATAATTGCAAGAAACAATTATTTCGTTGAAAGAAAAAAAATTATATCGTTGATTTAAACGACTTTTGCTAATTCTTGCTATTTCTCTGGACGTACTCGATCGCAGGATTTTGTCGTAGCGATTCGTATTTCTTTCAGTCAACGAACCTTTTTTTTTTCTCGGTGCAGCACCGTCTAGGAAAGCTAGGAAAAATGGGAATCCACCGTCGGGGATTCGGTTGCTCCGATGAATTAATTTGGTTCCACGATGAGGGAACGACGAGTTGTCTGAAAATTCATAACTCTGGATTTTGGAATAAATAACCTCGCGCCTTGGTTATTCCGGTCGACCCGAAGACCCGTTGGGGGTGGAAGTAGATATAAACGATAAAACGATACGAGGGAGCGGAGGCTACTCTCGGTCGCGACGCGACCCGACGTACATAACGCTTTCCCAACGTTCGTCGACGTTGCAGTGCCCATCCGACGAAGAAAATGGTGGTGAAGAGACTGGTGAAGGAGGGCCGCCTCGAGGTGACAACCGGTGGTTGGGTGATGACCGACGAGGCCACGTCGCACGTGTACGCCATGTTGGATCAGCTGATCGAAGGTAAGCCGACAGGACACGAGTCCTGGACATTCGCGGGGGTTTTCGACGGGTCGAAGACCTCGGGCGGAAAGTTCCCCAGGGTTTAGGGAGCGCGACGGGCGGATGTTTACTCTTCGCCCCGCTACCGCCCCGCGGAGACGGAAGAGTCAACCGAGAGGAAAAGCCGGAACGTTCCGAGAACGAATGGGAGCCAGGACTCTCGACAGGGAATATCGCTTATCATATTTCCAGAGAAGCGGATATCCCTCTTTCTCCGAGGGTACTTTTCCTCCGTCCTCCCCGGAAGGAGCGAGTTTTTCCCAACGTAAGGTCGCGGTAAATTCGCGGGTCCTGACGCCGATTCGTTCCCAGGATCCCCTCGAACCGAGCGAAAGGGAGGAACGATCGAGGTAAAAATCGAGATCCCAGGACGCGGCAGGTAATTCCAGACCTTGGAAAGCTCGGGAAACGGATGGCACGGTAGGTCGCGGAAAACGCTTCCAGGCCGCGTCCAACGTGCGGAAATCTCGTCGAGGCTCGCTTCTCGGACACGCCGAAAGATTGGATTCCGGATTCGGATACTCCTTCCTCCAGGGAATCGAAACCCCCCGACCTCGTCTCGGTCCTCGGCGTCGATACCCTCGATCCTGGACATCCTTGAAAGTTTCTCGATACTCTCGGGTCTCTCCTTGGAGACGAGCACCCCTTTGAGCTCCTGGGTCGTTTTCGGAGAAGGTATCGCCATCCGGGATATCGTTCGAGATATCACCGCAAAGAGCTTGCTCGATCCTCGAGAAGGGCTCCTCGTTCTCCATGGTCGGCGGTTTTTCGATTTCCTTCGTCAGGACGCGCTCGGAGTCCCTCCCTGCGATCTGAAAATTCGAGAGGAATCATTTTAATTTTCAATCGCGATGCTTCGATGCGGCGCGACGTCAAGGCTTATTGATTCCTCGCCGGGAAACCAATCGCGAATGTCGTGATTTGACCAGATCGTAAAATCGAGGCGTCTCCGCGGATTCTCCCGAACGAGGGCGTTAAAGAAAATCGAGGGGAAACGTTAAAAGCTCGTCCGACGAGGCGAACGCTAACTGGCCGAAACATTTCCAGTAACGTTCTCGAGGTTTCTCTCCTCTCTCTCGCTCTCTCGTATCCGACGCAATTCGGACCTAATGGGTAGAACGAAGAGCCTGCCGCAAGGCACTAGGTGGGAGCCAAGCCCTCATTTGCATCGGAATGGACGCCGGCGTTATCCCAGTTGGCTGAAATTTCCCGGCCTATTTTCCGAATTCAAATAACGCGCCTCGAGAGGATCCTAGGTCGGATCCTCGAGGGAATCCTGCGACCTATCCCGAAAGTTCGATGCGTTCGATCTCGCTCCTCCGCGCCGGGTCTGACTCGGTCCCGATAAGAGCCGAAATCGACGAAACGTCCCCTCGTTGCCGTCCGATTTCTTTATCCAACTTTGGAGTGTGATTTTTGGCAAAACGGGATAGAATCTTCCAAGGGGTTCCTACAGAAGTAAGAGAGAGGGAGAAATACTTCGTCCCCCATGGCGTCCGATTAAAGGAGTGCTTTCGCGAGGGTCTCCCTTTTTACCGTCAATAATAAGGGAGACGTTATCGACGGAAAGGACGCGCCGTAGGCGAGAGAATTAATTGGGGAGTCGGAAGAGAGAGAGAGCCGGAATCCCTTTGCCGATTGTCCCGTTTATTTGTCCCGACGGCTCGTTTTAATTAAGAATCGATCCCAGCCCGATTGTTCTCTCGGACAAGGACGTTTTCCTGGGCGAAATCGACGGTAGACTCGGAAGTCCGCCCTCCTAGGTCCTGAGGGAAGTCCTTCGGGAGGACACGGAGATGCGCTCGCTACGAAGGAGAGCCAGACTCGAGGAACGGGAGGGAGGAAGAAGGAGAAAGAGGGATACCTAAGGGAGCCGGACGAAAGTGCATCCTTTCGCGAGATTAACTTCGATCGTAGAAACGGGGACGAGACCGTTTTATGTTTCTCGGCTGATTAGATCCTTGGGCCAATTGCGCCGGGATCGGGATAATCCTGGCCGATCCTTAACGAGAACGGTCGTGGTTTGCGAAATTGCCGGGAGGCCGTTCCTTTCTCTTCCACGTACCGGCCACGTCCTGGCTCCTCTTTTTTTCCCCACATTTTCCCCACGTCTCCGAATCGTCGATCGGTCGTTGTCACACGAGGAGACTTAAAGGGATGCGAAAGTGGCATCTTACAACCTGAATATGTAGGCTATAAGGAACGTCCCTCCACCCATAACATTTAATTTTTAATCATTAAAAAAAAAATACCTATAAGCAAATTTTTAAACGATTCAAATTTTATGGGTCTCAGGATCTCCCTTATAACTTTCACGTTCACGTTGTACAGTTTGGAATTTCTCTCTCGTATTTCTTAAGCGGGACCTCTGACCCCACTTTCACCTCATCTTAATCTCCGAAATCGTGCGGATTCAGGGGGTGGCGTTATCAAATTTTGAAGCAGCCTCTCAGCAGGGACTCGCAGCGTGCCGGCATCGATCGATCGGTCGGCCGAGTTATGGCCGTCCATTACCGCGACGCCGAGTAAATCCGCCGATAGGCTGAATATTCGGCCGGACGTCGCGGTAGCCGAACGCACGGACGCACGCCCGGCAGGCTAGACAATGGCGCGAGTATCGGCTCGGGATAATTCGACTCCAGTGCTCCAGCTTAACACCGAACGCGCCGCGCACTAATTACGCCCGCTACAAATTGCCGCGCCGGTTAATCGCACGGCCGCGTCGCCGCGGCGTAATCGTCGCGGCCGGACGGAGCGATCGCGGAGCAGATTTCCCGATTTCCCCGGGAAACCGTAGAGAGGCCGAACTTCGAGCTCGGATTACCGGCTCGTTCGCCAGGAAACGGAACTCCGACTACCCGTAGACGGTGCGGACGCATCTTGCATAACTGGCGGAAGTGCAGCTATGCGTTGCATCGAGATGCCGGGCTTACCGACCCGAATTCTCCTGCCTCGTCGCGGTCTCGCGCGGGATTTCGGAGTTCCGGGGGGTGAACCCGAGGCATCGATTCTCCGTCGCGACGGTCGCGTCCCCGAGACCGAAAAACCCGCCTATTGTCTATTTTTCCACGGTCGACGCCTCGAAATTACGCGGGAAGTGTTTTTCTCCGACAACCGTGAGGTCCTGCAAATCACGGGAGGGTCGAGCGCCCTTAATGCTCGCGTCTAACGAGTCGCAATCGGGCGAGCTCACCGAGTGCGGTTTAATGGTTTGTTCGCCGGTATTAGGCCCTCCTTTCGACGGGCGCGTAATAACGCTTCGTTACGGCGACCAGCGACGGTGTAATTTGCGACTCGGCGGCTTCAACAAATAATTAAAGCAATTTCCAAGCCCCTCTCGGAGGCCCTTCCGGAACCGAGCTGGACGAGGCCAGCGGTCCAAGACGAAAGCGTTCCCTCCAGGCCGGACCTCGACGGCCATTTTGATATTTCAAAGGATTCGATGACTGCAGAGCGGATCGAGGTGTCGTTACCCCGTGAAAAATCGTCCGAAGTACGTCACGAGTCAATCGGATTCGGGGCTGCGTTGAAAAAAATCCTTCCGACCGTCTCTTTCCCATTTTCGCGCCCGACTTCACCTCGATTCGTTACGTCGGTCAACCTCGGTAATTATTGCGTTACTCGATTCGTCGTTTAATCCAGGGCACTCGACGAGTCCCGGTCACCGCGATTCGACGGTTCGAGAGATCCGCGAGCGCTCGCGAGTCGTGGGAAATCGATTAATCGTGTAACGCGGAAGATTCCGAGGATTTTCCCCCGCCGTCCTCTCGGCGGCCATGGCGCCGGCGAAACAATGGTGCGACGCGTTCATTGCTACGTCCTTGGAATTACGTCGGTGCATCGCGATTTGCGCAAATGCCCCCCCTCTCTCTGAACAAGGACCACGGGAGGCTGCGAAACAAAGGAGAAAAGGGATCGCGACCGAAGGACGACCGGAAGAGCGATGCAGGTTCGCGCGCGAAACGCGAAGCGAGTCGATCCGCGATTGTTCGTTCCGAGCCGGCGACCGTGGAATTTCGTTGGGCTCGATTGAATTCCGAGGAATTGCCCGTCGCTTCGGTGGGAAGTTTGTCCCTCTTCCTGTCGTTCCCACCGTGGAGCGGTTACGGGACCCGAAGAATCGGTGCGCGACCGCGGAGGAGTCGGACGTGCCGCCATCTTGGATAACGAAGGTTGCAGACTTCTATAAGTACCATACTCCATTCCTATAAGCTATACGTGAAAATCCCGATTTTCGGCGACCGATGAAATTATTTGTATCATCCGACAACGTTTCGGTCCCCGTGGTCACCTATTCGCTTAGTAGGCGGGCTCAAAAACGCCCAGCTGTAAATTCGAGAGCGAACGGAATCTATTCGTCCGAATGTAAACGCGTCGGTGCTGCTACTGTCGGGGGGAGGGAGGGGTGGACGGAAAAACGAGCGGCCTTGTAAAAGCAAAACGCGTCGATTTGCGAATCGCCGTTTCGCTCTGTCGCGGGAAACGGAGCGAGCCGGTTTTCCGGGCGTTCGCTCGCCAAATTCCGTTTGACTTCGTTAAAACTGCACACCGGCATCGTCAGCGCTTTTCTCTAATTTTCCCGAAGCGCGTTCCGCTAACCAGCGGCGCCCACTTTCCCGCTCCGATGACGGGACGGCGGTGACGTTTTGTTTTCGACCAAACGAACCCGAGCTGACCGTGCATCGAGCCAATCGGGCCGACCGTTCCAGTCTCTAACTTTCTAGGCGAATCAGCTCGGTACCTCGTACTTATCGAACCGAAGATTCGACGGCAGCGTCGAGTCTATGGAAACGGGACGAAAAAAATGGCCAAACCCCGCAGTTTAGGACCCTCGGGAAAGTCCCGAATTCCCTCCTTAGGGTCCCCTCCCTCGTTTCGCGAAACGCGAACAGACGTCCGGCGAGATCCTACCATTTCGGGGATTAAGGTGGACAAGTTCCACGGGAAAGTTTCCGTTCGTGGATTACGAAGACTCCGGGTTGCTTTGGTGCGCCAGGCCAGCCGGAAGTGGAGATCAGGGGATGAATTAACCGCTGGGAAAACGATTCCGCGAGGGACGCGATCTCCTATCCGTGGGTTCCACCTTGAAAATACAGGAAAGGATGGAATTGGATATATTACGTTAACTACCATCGCCTTCGACTCTAGTTAATTCCATTAGTCACCGCGCCTCTTCTCCGAGGATTAATTCCAGGGCACGCCGAGGAGGCGAATTCCCGAATCGCGGTGAATTATTTCCCTCGGACGTTTTCCGAATTTCGGTTTATTTTGCCGACCGCTCGTCGGTGCGGTGACGAACCCGAGCCCCTGGAAACTCGCGATGCCGCGGCTAACCGCTTTTCGATACAGTTTCCGGGAACGGGCGAAACTCGGCTCGACGAGTTATCGAGTACCTTACCGACCGCCGATTAATCGATTTCTATTAAGGTACCGGACGAACCCTGGGTACACCGGTACCACCGCATCCTCGGCAATTGGCTCGTACCCCTGTCCGTGAATCCGGAGGAAATTCCCTTCGCCGTTCTCGTCCCTTCTTTTCGAGCTCGCGGTGGCGCGTCATCCCTTATACGCGGCAGCGTCAACGTGGCGGTGTCAACGCGGCACGGCTAACGAAATAAAGCCCGCCGTCGAGGCCAGTAATAATTGGCTATCGATCGGCCGCTAATAAAGCAGCTTCGGCGATCTAACGTGTACAGAGGTGCCAGCCGGCACAGCTGCGACCGCGACCATACCTGTACTGCCCGTGACACTGGGTTTACGAGAACGCGTTTCCCGTTTCGCGCCAGCTCGTCCGGACGAGAACGAGCGAGATCGATATTGAATCGACCCGACGCTCCGTCGAGCGAGCCTCGAAAGCACGGGCGTTCATGCGACCTAGGTCGCGGATCGGGTAGAATTACGTCCTACGTACACGTCCACGTGCTTCTTCCAGGTCACCAATGGCTGAAGACGAATCTGGGCGTCACTCCGGAGTCGGGCTGGGCGGTGGACCCGTTCGGGCATGGAGGGACCATCCCGTACTTCCTGAAGGCTGCCGGCGCTTCCGGCACGGTGATCCAGCGGATTCACTACGCCTGGAAGCAATGGTTCGCCAAGAAGCAGTTCGGCGACTTCGTGTGGCGTCAGCCCTGGGACCAGACCGGGTCGGCGGACATGCTTACGCACAACCAGCCCTTCGACATCTACAACATCAAGCACTCGTGCGGGCCGCATCCCCACGTGTGCCTGAACTTTGACTTCAGGAAGATCCGGGGAGAGTACACGGAGTACTCGGTAAAGGCGGTCGACATCACCGAGGTGAACGTCAAGCAGATGGCGGAGCTCCTCCTGGAGCAGTACTCGAGGACGGGTTCGCTGTTTCCGCACAACGTGGTCCTGATGCCCCTGGGGGACGACTTCCGGTACGACCACCCTATCGAGTGGGACCAGCAGTACACGAATTACAAGATCCTCCTGGACTACATCAACAGTCGCAAGGACGACTACCACGCCGAGGTCGTTTTCGGCACCCCCCGGGACTACTTCCGCGAGGTGGAGAAGCGAGTGGAAAAGTTCCCGACCTTCAAGGGGGACTTCTTCGTCTACTCGGATATCTTCAGTGAGGGCAGACCGGCCTACTGGAGCGGCTACTTCACCACGAGGCCGTACATGAAGATCCTGGACCGGGAGCTCGAGGCGAACCTCCGATCCGCGGAGATCTTGTACACGGTTGCCTTGAACATGGCGAAGCAGTCCGGGACGGATATAAAGCTCTTCGAGACCTACTTCGAGAAGCTCGTCAAGGCCAGGAGGAATCTGGGTCTGTTCCAGCACCACGACGCCATCACCGGTACATCCAAGTCTTTCGTAATGAAGGATTACGCCTTGAAGCTCTTCGAGTCCATGTCCGACATGACGAGTCTGCAGAGCTTCGTCATCCAGTCTCTGGCCGGTGCCGGAGTGAAGGGTAACACCGTCTTCGTCCTGCCCGAGTCGGACCGGGACAGCTACGAGAAGCTGCCGAAGAAGATCCCGATAACCGTGAACCCGAAGGAGACCAAGAAGATCGTCCTGTTCAATTCCCTCGCTCAGCCGAGGGAAGAGGTGATCACTCTGAAAGTGACCAGCTACAGGGTCAGGATTCTGGATCCTCGGATGAGCCCTATATCTTACCAAATCGTTCCCGTGATGAACGCGACTGGTATAACTCATGACGTGTACATCGTGCTCTTCGTGGCCGATTTGAAGCCCCTGTCCATCGCCACGTATCACCTCCAGCAGATCGATCGAGTCCCCACCGAGGCCATGTCCACCGTGTACTGCAACAGGTGCGGCAGAGACAACGTCTTCCCCATCAAGCCCATGCAGTCGGGCGACGTGCAGCTGGAGAACCAGCGCATGAAGCTGCTCTTCGACGGTCAGTCGGGATTCCTGAAAAGAGTCACTCGTAAGTCGACGGGGAAGATCATGCAATGCGCGATACAATTTGCGGCGTATCCGTCCGCTCAGTTCCACAGCGGGGCGTACCTCTTCATGCCCGACCCGAATCTGCGCGACACCGACAAGGACGTGCTGGAGGCCTACACGCCGCACCAGAAGATCTACATAGTCTCCGGCTCCCTGAGCTCCAGACTCACCGTCGAGTACGGGAAGCTCCTAACTCACCACGTGGCCATCTACCACCAGGAAGGCGGCCTTTCGGAGGCCATCTACCTCAGGAACATCGTCGACTTCGAGACTCCGCCGAAGAACAGGGAGACCGAGATGTTCATGCGCCTGCAGACCGATATCCTGAACGGCGACCCGCCGCAGATCTACACCGACTTGAACGGCCACCAGATGATCAAGAGGACCAGGATAGAGAGGATCGGCATCGAGGGTAATTATTTCCCGATCACGACGATGGCGTACATAGAGGACACGACCCACCGGTTGACGCTGCTGGTGAACCACGGACAGGGAGCGGCGAGCTACCAGCCAGGGTGGCTGGAAGTCATGCTGGACAGGAGGACGCTGTACGACGACTCCAGAGGCATGGGCGAGGGTCTCCTGGACAATCGAAGGACCGTAATCAAGCATTGGCTCCTGCTCGAGGACGTGGTCGGGGAGAAGGACCAATACTCCAGGCCTTCCCTCTTCGCGAATCGACTCAGCAACGCCTTGAACTATCCCGTCGACATGTTCGTCGTCGAGGCCGAGGAGTCCGAGGTGAAGATGGCCCCGGAAGTCCTGCTGCTCACCCAGAGCTTCCCCTGCGACCTGCACCTGATGAACCTGAGGACGATCCACGATCAGAAGCTCTCCCACTTCCCCTCGAACAGCGCTCTCATGGTGTTGCATAGGCAAGGGTACAGCTGCGCGGTGGGAACCGCCACCGTTCCGAAGAATTGTCCTTTGGGGGACAAGATAGCGCTGGGGACGACCTTCTTCGGACTGCGCGTCAACGTCACTCGGACCTCGTTGACGGGCACCAAGGTGCAGAAGCACCTGAAGAACGGCCTTCGGGACGTCGACGTGCCTCCTATGGAGCTGAGTACCTACAATGTACACTTCGTCCAGTGAAGGTTTTCGTCTTCGGGAGGTTTACGCGCGTTTTTTATATATATTTTCCAATAATTCCATTAGATTCGGGCGGCAAACGCGGACGAGCGATCGGTCGCGTCGATGGATCGCGAGGTGTATTAAAAAGTTGACGACTTCTCGGAGAAGGAAACGATTAACGGATTTAATGACGTAGGGGGTGTTCGAACTTTGCGTCGTCCTACCTCTGAATGACTTGGGAACAAAAAAGTGATTCCCTGTCCGACCCGATGAGCTTGGCGACGATCGCGAAGGAATCATTCAGCACTTGAAACAGGTACCACGTGTAATGTTGTACATATCAGCCGGGACTTTACTACGAGTAACTTTATCGTGCTAAGGGAAATATTGTAAAGCTCACCTATTTTCATATCTCAGCCGTTTTATTCATCAAGGATCTCTCCGAGGAAAGAAAAGACTTTGGGCGAAATCCGATCGCGATGGATGTAATAAAACGAAGACGTCACAAGAGCATGCAAGACCTTTGCGATCTTTATGGCGACGTTGGCAGCGTCTTGCAGTTCGCGATGTGTGCAATATTAGGAGGGAAAGAAAGGAAAGAAAGTCTGGGTTGGAGCGCCGATCTTCCGCATCCTTGCCGGTCGCTTTAAGTAAATTTCGTAACACCTTAAAGCGAACCAGAGAAATGATCTTAAACGCTACCGTGGAAAGCATTGTAAATAATTCTAATTAATTACGTCAACTCATTGCGAGCTTTACCTCTAAACGTTCACGGTGATTCACTAGGTCAAGTTGCCAATACTTGGAAATTGGGTATATTTCTTGGGACTGAGAAGAGAACGATTTAATAGAGTTGGCTGGCTATGATATACTCTCCAGAGATTGTTCAGTGATTGCGCGCACTTGGCAATGGACCTGTCGCGTCGTGTGAATATATGACACTCGGGTAATGTGTGTATTACTTCGTTTAAATCAAGATGAGTAATAGGTACCAGAAGGCAAATGCTCGCTGGGTTTCTTTGTTGACTTTGACTCCCTGCGACGAACCTTGGGCAACGGTTAAGTACGTGGGTGTAAAACTGCCGGAGTAATTCTTGTAAGGGCGACAGCCCGTTAACGATCTATTTTATAATCGTAAAGTCACCGAGATCTTGAAACACTTCCAAGGTATTCCTATGGGGAAAAAAAAAAAGAAAAAAAAAGAAGCGTTTTCTACATTTTGCAAAGACGTGTAAGTATTGTACAGTAATAACTTGCATATACATATTATCTCGGAATATCGTGTACGAATTAAATATACATGTATACATATGCATATACCGTTAACTCAAATGTGCTACTGCCTGCTAACAAGGAATGTTTTACATTTCCAAGACAGATATAAAATATTTATTCGCTGCCCGGTAATAGCACATTTGAATATAAATTCTCACTCGTTGCTCCTGCCTTTGCGAATTAATGTTTCATGTATATACAATTTCCTCTCGCTTTTGAGATATTCGAAAAATGGAGGGATAAGAGAACGACGTTAAACTCGTGGGGCCCTTTTTACTCCCATGTACTCGACTAGGAGCCTCAGACGTTTCGCGTCGCGTGTAGGGCGAAATCGCGTTAATGAAATACCACGAAGAACGGTGGGAAATCCTCGCTTCGCCGACAATTCTTTCTCGGAACTTGGTCGTGTACGAGCATGCGAATCGAGTCGCTTCTGACTTTCAAATGATCTGCATTCCGTATCGTATATTTTCCTAGGCCAACGCGAAACACTTGTACCGAATAAGGGTAAACGCCCGGGAAAGGTATCGTGCAGGTGCCGGACGTTGGAAAAATTCGTATTAGGAAAAATTAATTCGACGGTCATTAACGAAAGCCAGGCGAGGACGTTAGTACCCCGTTTGTATCCATACTGTAACATACTACGTGTTTTGTGCTGTCTGTAGAGAAGAAGATATACGTACACATATTATTTATATACACACCTAGGCGCATGTTAAAACAGATATATGTATATAAAAAGATACGTATATTTGAGGCACTCGCATCGGCTATGTCGAAACGAATGGCAGAGATCTCCGAAAGGATCGACAGCATCGCGCGACTATATCCTGTTATTCGTTGTCGGTGTCGTCAATTCGCCCGTAACTATGACTAATCTTACGTTAACTCCTTAAGTTACTATGTAGTATTATATTTATTGAAGAAATATAGCGAATGATTTGGTTCGATCGTACCAGCGAGTACTTCTTCGTAATCCGTCTTCAGGGAAACGGATTTTCATTTTAATAAAAATCTGGAATTTGTCATCGGGTTACACGTAAAATCTGGGTACCGTTTCAAGCATCCGACGAACACGAAAGGGGTTAATAAAATGTACGGTGGTCCATGAAGAGCAAGAAGTCCAGAGAAATACATTCGTATGTATTCACCGACCAATGAGAATTATTTATACCTTGTTACGTCGACCGCAGGAAGGAGAACCGACGTACTCGTACCCCGTCGACGCGGTGCGATCGTCTAAACCGAAGCGGAAAGCGGCGAGAGCGAGGATACACCTTACCGCAAGAATAATATCTCCCTCTCGACGTTGGACTCGGACCGTGGTCGTTAATCGTTGTACGTACGCTTCCCCTCGAGTAACGAACTTCCGTACTTGGGCTCTCTTCCGTCTTTGAGTAGAACTCCCGAGTAGCCCGACCCATCGAAGACACGCGATGCCGTAATTATACGATTCGCCGATTCGGACGAGGACTCCGTCTCGAGGTTAACGTTCCCGTAGTCTTCCCGCAGGAGCGACGGGATCAAAATCGCCGGTCGGACCAATGGTACTTACCATTTCGAAACTACGACCCTCCTTAGGTGTTAGGTCGCCGCCATGGGGCGGGGCGGAGAGGCAGGCTCGCCGAAGCCATTGATAAAGCCCGAGTCCCTCGGTAGAAAGGAACCGGAAGGGATAGGTAATTAAAAGTTGCGACGACCGTACATACCCCATCCCTGGTCCTCTCGGAGGCCGCGCTTTTCTACTCCGACCCCTTTCTCGAAGGAGCTCCAGACGGAGTACCTCAGGGGAGCGTATCGATACTTTCATTACCTCGACGTCTCGGATCTTCCCTTTATTACGCCGAGATCGATACCTCTTCCGCTGCATTGCCGCGAGAATTCCTTAGAGTCGCTGCGTTAAAGCCGTCGCTGAAACGGACGTCGCTGCCTCTCATCGCCGGGTGGATGGTCCAGGTCGGAGGGAAAACTCGGTCCTGGAAAATCGACGGGCCGTTTAAAGGGCTGCCTCCGAAACCGCAGCCTCGCCGACCGAGTTTCGGCAATCGCGGCCGCTCGACTAAACTTCCGGCGGCCGCTTAAGGAATTTCAAATTTCGTTTGACGTGCCAAAGTGCCGTGCTAATTTATATGGAAATGCGGCCGACGTGGATTATAAATCGCGACTTTACCCCTGCCCCTCCTCCTCCTCTCGCCTAAGCGAGTTCTCTCGCAAATTGTTCGACGGTCCTTTTCCACCCTAAGGACTCGGTCTCGCTCCGATGGAAAACTATCCTCGAGGGTACCGCTTTTAGGCGTCACGAGTATTCCGCGCACCAACGACTGGACTTTTCGGGAAAGAGTCGCGATAAGGGAGAAATGGCAGGTGAACGTAAAAAGCGGCGGTTTATGAGACCGACTCAACGCGGAGAGCGCTCGTCGAGTGCGGTCTCGATGTCAAAAGTTGGCGTTAACTTCCGATGACGTACCTTTATTTCGAGGCGAGCCTCCCCCTGCGCAGTTACTTCGAATGTTTATCCTGCCCCCGTGGAGGAAAACTTCGGTCCATTTAAGTTGTTCTTGCGAAGAATAGCTCGATTGTTAGGAAGTTTTATACCGGAAGTTGCTTCCCTCCGAGGAGAAATTCGAGCGATCCCTTCTCAAAGGAAGGACGTAGACATCCTCGCGGGTGGTGCTCGAGGGTTACGTATTGCACCGACGTAGACTTTTTTCCATTACATCAATTTTTTTCTTTTAGTTCTATCAAGTATCAGATTATTCGGCGCACCCAGTTTGGAGAAAAATTTTTATTTTCGCGTATTGATATATACAGAATGACCCTTTCGCATCACCTTAAGGACCCAAAGGGAGGCGTTGCGAGAGATTAGTCGAGCATGAATTACGGTTAAAGCGGAGACAGGAATTAGTATGTGCGAACGAGAACCAGTGAGGAGCTCGGCACCGGCTAGCGACGTTGTAGAAAGCATTAATATTTATCGAGGTGATTTTATTAAAAGAGGCTTTCGAGTAGACGCCGTCGAGTCGACGTTGCGAGTTCGTGCGAAGAGCAGAGAGCTGCTTTACCGGTCGAGCCTCGTCAAACTTTACTACAAGGAACACGATCAAATCGGCCGTGAGACGACCTCGTTCAGACATTTCGGATTAACCTTTACATTTTCAGACGCACGCAACCTATCCAAGCCTCGACTCTGAATATTTCGGCTGAAACCGTAAAGAAAATAAAGGACGTTTCTCTCCGAAGATGATTAAAAAATTAATAAACCACTGTTATTAACCCGATCGTATTTAAAAACGAATTTATTTTCGGCGATCTCGTTTTACGGGACGACCAATAGATCTCGACACTTGACCCTGCCGACATTGACCACTTTAAAACTCCTTAATTTCCATTCATACGCAATTGATGCATTTAGACGCTTTCGTTCCCGCCGACAGGATGGGAGGAGAAAATTCCGACCGTAATATACCGTCACGTTCCCAAGTATTTCGTGCTGTAAATCGGTAAAACTATCCCGAGAAGTATAAAAGCCTTTTCCGGCATTTCCAGTTTATGTGTCATTTCCGCCGTGCCAGGGAATTTTTCTCGTTCAATAAAGAAAGTACATCGCAGCGGACGAAAAGATGCCATTGTGCAATCGCTCTTATTAGTCACGACCTACACGTAAATTGCATTAAAACCGTATCTCCACCTACCGAGATAACCTTTGTAGGTTGACCGTGCAAACCACTGCTTACTGCATGCCCGAAACGAAATTCTATCACGATAACAGGTTTCGCGTTTAAAACGAGACATAAACACGGCGAGCTGCGCAACATTCTTTCGGCCGAAAATAACCCGGCAGATAACGAACAAAAGGATAGACTGTGGGTGGTCATTTATTTATTCCGTAGGAGTAGAAGGTCGTAGAGAAAAGAATCGCTCCCCTCTTGTACGAATCGCCCTCCGTGTAAAAAATTCAGAACGGGTACAGCATTGCAGGGAAAAGTGCCGAAAAGTAGCAGACGCCGGATAACCTTATCGACACACGTGGCTGGCTGGGCAGAGGACGCCGATTGCGAGAAAAATAGCTTTCGGCGTACTTCCGATACGGTACGAAAAATATCGACCCTCTATCGGATCTGGGGTTTCGGAATTCGGCCTCCCATGAGATAAGCAAGAGCGCGTACTTACGCGGCCGCCGAGCAAGGTCACGGCCGGAGTAATCGATGACGACGCGGTATTCCTTATCGGTCGCTTCTCCTTCGCTCACTCATCGTCCTCTCCTCGCGGCCGGCTGCGCAACCCCACGCACCGGCCAACCCGCCTTTCATCATCGCGCCCGTAATCGCGCCGAAAACTTATCGGCGCGTCACCGTCAGTCGTCGATCGTCGCGTTCGGTGCTCGGCAGCGGCCAGTCGCGAGGAATTCCTTATTCCTCCTTCTCGGTACTTACCCTGTGGAAGCTCGATCACTCGGGGAAATCGGGGGAACAGCGCAGAGGAGCTACCGAGCGTCGAAGAGCGCTAAGTGCAATCGATCCCGAAGCCACCCGAAGCGCCGGCAAACTCGTCGAAACGTGAATCGCCGAAGGCACGCGCTCGCAGCACCACCTCGCGGCGCAGTCTGGCAACAGCGACCCGGCGTGCAGCAGCGGGTCGCGAAACGCGCCAACCAGCGCTCGACCCTCGAAAGAGCGCGCGTGCGCGCTCCTCCGCGGACGCGGTGATTTTTATTTTTCACCACGTGGGTGTCCTGTCAGACGTGCACGGCGGTGTGTAAATCGAACGTGTTCCGTGGCCGTGGTCGGTCGCGTTGCGCGGTTCGTAGCTTGGCACACCTGCGATTGGTCGGCCGCGGAGGCACGACAGCGTTTAAAAATAAAATTAATTCTCCACGAGCTGAGTCGCACTCGAAGCGCACTTGGGGCAGTGCACTCGGCATTCGGATTCGCAATTACGCGTTCGACGCGCGCGCATTCGAGCGGACGTGCGCTTTGCGTGATGTAATCCGCGTCGACTCGTGCCTCGAGGGTCGTGGATCTACGCACTTTTGCTTGCGACACGTGCCAATATCTTACACGCCGACTTCGATCCATCGGGACGATTCGCTCGTCCGAGCTCTCCGCTCGCGCCTCGAAATTTCCACAGCTCGGCACCTGGAGCGGGCGGACCTAACCTCAAAGTCGGTCGCTAGCCGCTCGATTTTCGCTCGCTTGGAGGGTTATTTTTGCAGTTGCTACCCGCGCTAATCTTAGCTGATATCGCACTGACAACCCGACACGCTCTTCTCTCCGTAAAACGTCGAAACGGTCCCGCGACCGGTAAGTGAATCTTTGCTTTTCAATTAATCTATTAACAACGTTCCGTTGGTAGTTTCCGACACAGAGGTTTACTAATGTGATTGAATGTAATTCGGTAATGACTTTCCAGTGCGAACGTAAGAATGCGCAGCAGTTAATGGGATGCTCCGTTGGACTTCGCGATTATGATACGGAATAAATCAATTTCGGTCAATGTCCAGAAGCAGTTACCGGAGTTAATAAGTTATATCGTCCTTTGATAAGCTTTAAGGTTATATAATTATTTTATGATCGAATTGATATTTAAGTATTGACGCATACTTAATATGTTGTTAGAGCGTGCAGAGCTTATAGATATGTAACGAGAACACATTACGGTGGGGTAAATGTAAACATTGCGCAGCATCCTAATAATAATTATATTGGCATTATTGGTGTATAGATTATATGGTTTAAGGCTTGTCAAAAAGAATAACATAATTCTTGTGCGTTACTAGTGACGTACCTGTAATTGTCAGAATATAACGGATCGTCGCTCTTAAGATTACATGTAGCGGTGCAGAAAGTGAATAGTAATTCGTCACTAATGTCACTGACTTTACGGATTCCAATTGATAACCTTATGCAAGGCAGGGATCAAATGTATTAAATTGGTGTAGTGTCATAAATAATTCAAATGAAATATAAATCACTGACATCTCATGTGACTTAAAGTCTATGAATAATTTGAATCCGTGACTCTGTGAATTTTTTTAGATAAACCAGCATAATTAAATTTCTTATCTGTGTTCTATTTAAATAATTGTTAGAACATATTTGTAAGAGGCCAAAACATGCAACGACCGTTGGGAATGTCATAATGTTACGTAATTCAATGGATCTACATGCAGACGTCAGTAATACCATTTTTTCAGATCTCTGATAGACATTGATAATGGTACAAAAATTTTATTCTATTTGTGAAAGACCGTAAACTCAAGCTCCTTTTGTATATTAATCTTCGTAAGTTATTATCCATTGATGTACTCGGAAAGAATTTACGCTGATAGTATTTTATGAAATTGACGTAATCGATGCAGCGTATGAGCATACCGCAATGTTAACACAGCAATCAAGATGAGAACTATGACCTATTAATTATTTGTTTCAGGTTGTACAAAGACTAACATTATCCATGTAACATAAGAGATGTCAATAAGGTGGCCTTAAAGTGAGATGTCCCGTAGCTTGCCAGATAGAGTGGCGGGGCTCTATTATGCCCATGGCCTGTTTTGTTCTTCGCATCCCATTGCAGTTATTTCGTTAGCAATCTCCATCATCTTACTATGTTGGTCAGTTAAGTAATAAGTTATTTGCATGGAAAATTGACATTAATATGAGCTCGATATAAATATTAAACGTATAGGCATTTTTGTGCTAACGGAATAGTAAATCAATAAATTTTCATAAAATTCATGTCATTTCATGCAAGCATAATGCATATTAAGGTTAGTAGTTATCTTTTATGTTTACAGCTCCCCAATAGTAAATCTACCAATGCCTGGAAATGCTCCGCGAACTGTAATAAATCATACTATTGTGCCTGTAAATGGTTCAGAAGGTCCGGTACTATATGTTCAACAAGTTGTATTACGTGTTGGAGTAGTTCCATGGATGGAAGATTTGGCATTATCAGATGCCTTTAGAGGACCGCTCTATGAAGTCTTTAATCTTTTAGAGATTATTCGAAATTATCAAGATCCAAAGACGTAAGCAAAGCAAAGTTATAGTGACCTTGTCAGTTTGAGAAATATTTCTACAACTGAATCTCTTATTTTCAGATTAAAAACTGTCGATCAAGTTTGCTTGCACGTGGAAGCTGTGAAAAAGAAGAATGCTAAAAAACCTGACGTTTTGCCAGAGTACAATTGCCTTGTGCTCTCACCTGCAAATTTATGGCAGCAAAGTGTTGAAATGTTCAGTAAAGACACTAATCTCATAGGCACAATTTTTTCGTACCAGGTATTTTTACTCTACTAAATAATGCACTTAAAACATTTGTCTAAAGACCAAAAGTTCTTGCTTCATAGCTAATCCATATTCCACAAAGAGAAGAGATTTAGTCAAGACTCTAAGTAAATATTAGCAACAATTTGCAATGCTAACTCATCTTTCTGTATTATTCGTATTATTTAAGAAACATGATTTCACTTCCTAAATTTGTCACAGCGTATAGCGGTGTTTCTGTTCTTAGTTTCTATATTTTAATTTATTCAAATTAGATGTTTACCGAAAGATTTCAATGCCTTAAAATTTCAGAGTCTTCAAAAGGGAAAAATTAGCTTGGCCGAAATGATGTTTGGCATGAATTTAAAGGAAACTGGTGTAAAGCGGTATCCTGTACGTGTTCGTCAACGAATTTTACAGTATGCTGTAACCATATTTTTGAAAGATTATGACCCAAGGTAAGTGCAAAGATGATTACAGAATATAAGGATTTCGAAATATAGAGGATATATTTACTGATGGAAGTATGTTAGCTTATCTGTATTTCATATTCTCAAACTAGTTTTACTTGCAGCTTTATCGAAGGCTTGAAAAAGCGGGTTGTAGCGCATTACCCGCTTCACCAATCTGACGATAAAAGTAATTCAACTATTGCTCCTTCAGACGAGACCCTGCATATATTTTATCCGGGTGAATTCAACTACAGTGATTTCTTTCCGTTAATGATGACGTTTATTGCTTTATTTTTATACGTATACTTTTCGGTACGGAAAATAGAGTTGGTCAAATCAAAATTTGGAATGGCCTTTAGCGCCTGTGTCACAGTACTAGCTTCCTTGTCGATGAGCGTCGGCATGTGCTTTTTCTTTGGTTTGACTCTCAGTTTAAGCGGAAAAGAAGTGTTTCCATATCTAGTGGTTATCGTCGGTTTGGAAAATGTCCTGGTACTGACTAAGAGCGTGGTGAGCACTCCGGCACATCTAGACGTGAAAATACGTGTTGCGCAGGGACTGTCTAAAGAAGGCTGGTCAATTACAAAGAATTTGCTTACTGAAGTCACCATATTGACCATTGGATTGTTCACCTTCGTCCCAGCGATACAGGAGTTCTGCATATTTGCCATCGTCGGACTTTTGAGTGATTTTTTCCTGCAGATGGTTTTCTTCTCGACGGTATTGGGAATTGACATACGGAGAATGGAACTCTCCGGTGAGAGCTCCAAACTGCATCTACCGAATATTCCTCCGTCACGCAAACAACAATTTACTACGACTATCTCCAATAAGAAAGCCAACATATTCAGATCAAAATCTCATCCTAGATTAAACGGTTTATCAACTGGTCCGACTAATGTAGTGGCTCCGAATACTCAAAATATCCCGACACTGGTGAAGATCCCAAAACGATTAAGATTGGTCCATTTTTGGGCTAGGACCAGGATATTTCAACGTGCATTTATGGTTTGGATGGTCGTATGGATTAGTATGATAATATACAGTTCCGGCATAATTGAACATTTTATTCGTCTAAGTGAAACCTTGAAAGCGGAATCTGACATCGAAGGATACACCGCTGATAAGCCACAAACAATTAACGATTACGTGGAATTGAATACTTTGAAACCAGTCCCCACATCTGCGTCTACTCCCACTACAAATCATCTGAACGATGGGGTAATTTATAAAATTTACTCATTAGTTATTACTCATATGATTAATGTAATTATGTATATTAGTGACTTTATATATACAAAATGGTCACTTAGCAAGTCAAACTATTTACGGTTCAACCGCGCATGCTAAGTCGTGCATTAAAATCTAATCAACCTGTGTCGTTACCTTTCCTATTAGTTAATATTTATCGAGTGAATTTTTCAATTTGTTCCAGGGCTTCGACACAAATATTACGGCCGAGTTAATCAAACTGAAACCGGTGGATTTCCCCCCCTGGAATCGTCTGTCTCTCTATCACTGGTCGTCTATCCTCTCCATGTATAATATTTCATTAGCGGGAGAACAAATAACCGTACTTCCCACGATTAAAGTCTCTTGTGGCGTTAGTCCCGCAATCGTCAGACAAATTAGCAATCCAAATGACGTACAACATTTCCAGTGGCAAAGCTTTGCCACTGCCGCCCTTGACCCCTTGGATTTCTCAGGTATGTGAACGTTTACGTAAAATGATATTGCACGGTGACTGTCGGTGCAGTAGCCGGTTCAAGTTACTTGCAAATTCTTGCCACGAAATATTAAATTGGTTTTTGACTTTTCAGACATGGAGATACCGACGCTGTCTGAAAGTCGTGTCTTCAATACGGACGCACCGTTCATACCATCCAGTCCCATGGAAATTTTCCTGGCTGCTGTCCTGTGTCTTATCAGTGTAATCGTTGTCGTCTATACCATGGTCGTCTTGTATCGGTGCATCTGCTCAAGAAATTATGCCGAGTGGCGAGCAAGTTGGTATCAACAAGAAAAGACTCATGATTCGGTTACTCAACTGATAATGGAGGCATTACCATTGGTCCTGGAAGGTCATACTCAAGAAGTCGAGTGCATCGCTACGGACGGTAACACCATAGCCAGTTCCTGTTTAGCAGGTCACGTCAGAATTTGGGACACGATATCCGGAGAGCAAGTTGCCCATATAGACCGCAAACAATTTTTTAACAGCCCTCCTAAAGAATCATTACATAAATCTCCTGATCCGGACGAACTAATGTCAGATTATGAAAGTGGCTCGCCACCTTCCAGAGGTGAAATGGAGGCAACTAATTCCGTAGGATTCTACTCATCTTCCCCAGCGAGCAACAAACCCCGATATTCTCCTGGATCGTGCTCTTATCAACAAGCCAATGGGAGCTTAATTAACAAGCGGCATTCTGCGAGTAATTCGTTTGACTATGACTACCAGATAAATGAATTTACACCTGAGAAACGTAAATTATTACGAAGAAGTCTGGATCACGCCTTCGATCTTCCCAACTTCCGATCAATTATCAATACTAAATTCTCTTCGATAAAGTATTCGCCAACGCATCAAAACTATGAACAGGGCTTTGATTTTGGGGAAAGGTATAAACAGTTGATCGAAGAGCATAAGAGAACAATGGAAGAAATACAGAAGTCTGGCGGGGATGAACAAATCACCACTTGCCCTGGTCAATTGAACAGTAACGATGTCGCGGACAATGTCAAATCGTTGAATAACGATAAGTCAATGCAAACTGGCCATAATATATCGCCGATATGGTCCATGGATTATCAGGAGAATCTCATCGTAGTTGGATGTGCAAATGGAACCATGGAGTTCTGGGAAGGAACGACGGGCAGGTTTAAGGTGAGTTATAGCAATAGAATAAAATTATCCGTTTTTTGTTTCTATTACATTGTAAAAATGGAAAAAAATGTTATCGCAGTGCCTGTTTGACGATGGTTCGGGCCTCGGTGTGACGGCTGTAAAATTCGTGGGTAATCGTGTAGTAGCAGCAAAATTAAACGGGGCTCTGGATTTTTTGCAACTAGAGAGTTACAGTGAAGGTCAGCAGATCGACTGGGGCTTTACGTCGTACAGACGAAGTAAGGAAAAAAAGAGAAGAATCCGTCTTTACGTCACAGATCTCTTTATATACGGTTTTTTCTTCCACAGCGCACGTTCGAACCGGTAGTGCGGGATCACCCATGGACATAAATAATGTCACCCAGCCTGAAGAGGATTTGCGCTGCATGAAAATTGGTACACATCGTGCTCATCAGCAACCAATAACCGTCCTGGACAGTGAAGGTGGAAGGGTATTAACGGGAAGTCAGGATCATACTCTTAAGGTGTACAGGTACGTCAACCAGGTTGCGGTATACTTGTTTATTATAATGAAAGTTATTTCATTTGCATTTTCATTATTTTTTTCTACATAGGTTGGAAGACCAGCTTCAACTGTACACATTACACGGACACTGTGGTCCTATTTCCTGCCTCTTCATCGACAGGGTCAGTCCCATGACATCCGGAAGTGGATCTCAGGATGGGTTATTGTGCGTCTGGGATCTACTCACTGGTACGACCGATTCAAGCATATAACGATGTTACACCCGGATGAATTTAAGATCAAGTACATTTACGATCTTGATTTTTGTCCCGTAGGCGCGTGTATGTACAGCATTCAAGCACACGATGGAGCTGTCGCTGCCATCACGTGCTCGGCGTCATACGTCATTAGCATTGGCATCGATGAGAGGCTGTGTGTTTGGGAACGATTTCAGGGTCACTTACTTCACGCAGTCCCCGCTCACAGGGCCGCTTACAGTCCCCAGTTAATTATGTTGACGCATCATCTTCTCATCACTAGTAACCAGGTACATAAAATCACGAGTGAAGGGAAGAGAATTCAATTCTAGCGATTTGATCTGCAAACATGACCATTCCTAATTTCAGGGGTCTTTGGTAGTCTGGGATGTTAGAACCGGAGAACCGGTTCGAGAGGTGAGACTGAGTCACAAGGACAGTTTTATATTTGTGAAACAAATGGTGCCAGTAAGAGACAGCATCGTATGTGACTTTGGCCGGCAGCTGAGAATAGTTAGATTCCCGTTGGTTTCGGATAAGCTAGATTGAACTTTTTGACTGATGACTTTCAGTGTACATATGCCTAATTCAAGTCAATCGAGAGTAAGTGCGATCTAAAGTAGGATCCACGAAGGAAGACTTTTAAAGATGGACTTTTATCTCCTTAGGTCTTTTTATACTTGATAGACTTGGAATCGCTGGATCTCTTTCATGAGCGTTACGATACAGCGATATCTGCTCTGATCTGATCAAAGTACGATAATCCTTAGAAAATAACGATTTTCATCAACTTCCTTAGATCACCGAATAACGTTTACTGTAGTGGCTTATCGTTACATAGACATTATGTTTTATTTGGCTGCTTTACACAAACACGGTAATTTTGCCGTGCAATGCTTTTTATTGTAAACTGTACTAGGTATTTTGCTATAAGGTTTATATCCTCATATGTGGATAGTTGGAATATGAGCTTTATAGCAAAGTGAACCATAAAGATCTACTATTTTAGGTATATCCTAAACAAAAACTAAAGTGCACTCATCGATCGAACGCGTACCTGGTTCAAATGAAAGCGAATATAAGTGCCTCGTTTGGAATTTAATTTTTGTTACCTCGGTGAATAATGTTAATTGTTAGACCCGGAGACGGGAAAACATGCTAATATCATTTCTTTATTATTTTACTATTATGGCTGTGCAACATACACAATTTCGAGTGTTAATTTTTCCTGCGTGTGTTACACCAACGTTGAAAAAACGTAACACATGCACTCATGTCGAATTCATTTTTAATTTTGTGAATATTTAGATCCACTGCATATTGGTCGATTATGAGTAGCAGCGATTTTATACAGCATTTCATAAACCGGTGCAGCTTTGGATCGCGGTAAAACTCCTCTACATTAGATGGTAATGGCTAAGTTTTTTTTTTACAGTCTATATATTATTCAGAAACTGCTGAAGCATATAAACGGCATATAGAAGTAAAACTATTTTTATCATTGGACTCTAAATGCTTCTTTCGATGAGGCAGAATTCGAATTCACTTCTGATGCCTAACAAGAATGTTGAAACTCTTCTGTGTTAAAAGTGCGAGTTTATTCATGAAATTGAATAGTACTTTGCAGAATTGTCGAATGTCGAGCGAATGATTTGATATCGTATAACGTAACGAGATGTCGAATGAAAAAAAAAAATGTGTATGTGCCATTAGGAAGTTTGACCGTTCCGCATCTTCTTGTTGCGCGATTTCAGAATATGAACCGTGAAGTTTGATTCTCAAGGCGCACGAAGTATTTTCGCCCTAGTCGTAGAGTCGAAAGATGATAGAATAATGTCTTGTTAAACAAAAAAAAAATGAAAGAAAAGATATATATATATATTTTTTCATCTCAATCGCAATTTTATATTTCGTTTAGTCGAGACGGAAACCTTTACACGATTTGAAAATTGATCCCTATTATAATACAGAGAACAGAGCTTAATATACAGAAAGAAGAGTTACTTTATTAATGGTTTTGTACAGAAACCTTAGACGTACCCTAATTATACGAAAAGTGCCTTTATAGTATCATTAACAAGGTCTATTTTCTACGAGTATCAATTATTTACGTGTAACCCAGTAGTTACAACAAATGTACATAAAATAAATGTTTTAATCGCTTAACGCATGCCTCAGAGGCTATAAAACATTGGAGTTTATTAAATTTGCTCTGGCAATCGACTTCTCTATCGGTAAACTATGTTGTACTATAATTTTGAAAAGGGTACTCCACTTTCCAACACATTAAATCATTATTTAATGAACTACGTTTTTGTTGAATTAAAATGTTTGTTGTCGTCGAATGTAATAGATTCTGTTATACTGCTTGAATCAGCTACTAGGTTCCCATACAATCTTATCATATTAAAACGTTGGGTTTAACCGTACAGGTAATTGCAATGTACAATTATGCCTGTCTCTATTATGCTGCGTCGATTTTCCGTTCCGGTAGAAAACTGAACGGAATTCTAACGTCGATATGAAGTCGCGTAGAATTATATATGCTTATTTTCATAACCAAAGTTTACATCGTAACGAGTCGTACTCGATAAGTCGCATTAAATGAGAGCAACGAATAGAGAGACGCTTCTGATAATACCACTGAGTGGTCGACGATCGTCGGAAAGTGCGCCATTTTTATATTTATTTTATTAAATGACACGAACTCTATATGCTACACGCATGTGCCTATTCATAACCATCGGACCCGTCATGTTTAAATAAATTGTCACATCAAATACCGTGAGATGTCTCCTAATTACCATCAAAGGATTTCCCCTTCGTAATTATGAAACTTACAGTTTCGCAATCAATCAGGAAAGTCGCTTAGCTAGATTAGGTTTAAACCATGCCCAGATCTTTCAGTCTTAATCACCCCATGTACGTTCCGTGGTAATCTCGATTACCATTAGTTAAAGGGCCAAAATTAATTGATGCCCGATATTATTTCGTCTTTGATCTTTTAATAGCTCGCGTCCAAGTTTCCCGTCCACGAAGACATGACCCATTTGAGTTTAGCGCATAATCAATAAGTATCGATTGGGTTTCGTGGAAACGTGTGCACGTCGGAAGTACTGCGGGAGAGTAGGTCTCTTAAAAGAGGATCCTGGAGATGGCTTTAAGCCGCTTTAGAAATTCCACGAGATCCGGTTAACGAACATTCCATGAAAAAAGTACATGCCGAGGAAAGATATTGCATTTCCGATCCGCATTATCCCCGAAGCGACCGCTTCGAGATAAGTGGACTCGCTTAAGAGTCTTCGTAAATCCTTCAAATTGTAAAAAGCCAATTTTGCGGCTGATAAGCGTTCAAGTTATTTCACGTATAATCGCTACCTGCTTGAATCTTGATGAGACAATGCATAGTGTGTAGGAAGCTGATGAGTGTTCTCAACAGGTTTTTAATGCTTCGTTTGGAAGATACGTATCTTCGAGTAAACTTTTGCATTAGACAGCGGGAATAATGTTGCATTTTCAAAAAATAAAGGAGAAGTATTTTTTAATCGAAAAATTGTACCCACAACTCGACAGGAAACCTGTGCATTAATTAGATACCCCATAAACCGCTATTGACGTATGGCAGATGTTCGTAAATCTTCAATTGACGTCTATTCATAAATTTGCATACTCCGGATTTACCGCTAGCCCTTATACGGGATTATCTGGTCGAAGACTTTCGCTAGTTGTTAAAAGTCGTGCCAATAATTTATTCACGCTTTCCCCGAAGTTCAAAGTTCAAATGACTCCGTACTTTACTTTTGATCTTATCCGCAAACGTTTGTCAACTTCCAAATCTATGTATCCCCATCAGGGTTTAGAAAGGTAATCGGCCAGCGACGATAAGTTAAGAAATGTCAAATTTAGGAAATGCGTCACCGATTTAGTGAACTTTGTCAGAATTATACCGTATACCGGAAAGTCTGAGCCAATCCGAAATTGTCGAGACACCGTTAACGTTAATACTGAAATACCTACAAATATTATGTACGGACGTGTACTTCATTGAACGATTTGTACAGCAAAGTGCGACGTACGCTATTAAGCATGGCTAGTTAAGATGTATATCCTCATAGAATCGTGCCCTCGACATTGAAGGTCCAAAGGAAGACCGGTTGAATTTGCATAAACAACCGAAGACCCTCAACAAGTGTCTTCGCGAGTTCGACATGCATTCGCTAACTGCAACTGCTGGCATTGTAGGTGCATTGAAGAGCTATTAAGTACGACGGAGGAGGGAGAGGGGCGGACACTTTAAGCAGGGAAACATGGATCAGGAGGTGGAGATGGAGGTGAAGTTATGGGAGGGGAAACTGAAAGTGCAACATGTCATAGGTTTTAAGTCGACAGTGAAATCCCTCAGTCGTCTTGCGGGCCTCGCAAAAAAGCCCTCGTCCCTCGAATGATTGTTGTATTAACCAACTGACGGGATGATCGAAAGAACACGCTGATGGATTTTCAACACCACTGATTTCCACTTTGTATCGGGAATCCTGCGTGCTTTTATACATTCGGAAGAAATAACGCCGAAATCACATTTGGCATTGGAAACCGCGAACAAGGTCCTCCTCTAAAATGTAACTGCAAGAATATACGACCTTTGAAGATTAGATGATAACGGGGAAGAGTGAGCGGACTGACGCCGTGTTAAAAAAAAAAAAATTGTTAATCGGTGATATCGGCGAAGCGTCGCGATGGCACCTCACCAAACGACTGAAAGTACTCTAAGGTAAGCCGAGAGTACGGAGACATTGTTGCGCGTTAACGTTTAGTGATGTTAGAAAAAAAAAAAAGTGCAATGTCGATCGACCCTTTGACTTCGTTATCGGTCAAGTCAAAATTAAGAGTCCGGTAATTGTCCAGATCTGTCGTCGCAGTAACTCGTCCTTGCGGTCGAGTCGTGGCTACGTCCTTCAAGTAAAATTGATTTTTACCGCACAAATTTTAATAGCTGGTTGGGGAGACGTCATTAACCTTGTAGATGTCTAGGAAGTGGCGATGCCAATGAAGAAGAATGACGTTTGTTAGGCGCGATGGAAACAAGTACCGCGTGCGGCTAATTTCAGTGGAAACTAAAGTAGTCGGCATGTACGGAGTCACAATTGAGCTCTTCCCTTCAGTTTTTGTCGGCCTTACACCGGACTTAGGCGATTAGTGTGCACATTGACTTTTTGATTCAACTTCCTGTCGTTATTATAAACTTGGTTTATACCTTGTTTCGACGCTGGCTACCGTAGTTATATAAGTCCCGTGAAGATTACCAAGATTCTCCACTTACAGCCAGGCTGTACGTAGTTCCTCTTAGTCGAACTGCAACGAGGCCGTGGAAGCGTAAAAATTACCAACACCTTATAGCTCGCTTTTAACTTTGCGAGCTGACATCCGCTCGTCTTTGCCGCGAAGGTTCGCGAAGTTTCAAAACCAATTCCTCCCATAGGTAACGACGTTTAATGTTCGCTCAGGTGAAAGGACCTACTATCGCGGCGATGTTCTCAAGTCGGCTCATCGCGTTCTAAACTTTGTTTCGATTTCCTTCGAAACTTTGTCCTTGGTGTCGACTTGGCCGCGAAGCGCTTGAGTTTCATCGTTATGTAACGGCGGGGAGATTGCTGAAATAATTCGATCCAAGTCAGTGAAAGTACATATAACGGACGGAACTCGATGCGCTACATCAAGACCGGTAGGCTTTCCTGGACAACCTTAAAACCATGATTAACATTGGATTTCAAAGTATAGCCCGCGAAATTTCACGGAATCAAACTACCAACGACAATTTTACAAAATTTCAATCTATATATATTTTTTTTTAACAGAGTATAAACGGACACGCAAAAGAATATCGATTTAATGGGGGATTAGTAATTAATCGCGTATCCCGTCAACTGAGTCAGCAATTAATCTTCTCGACTCGTCGATCCCCTGTATGAGATTTGCAACGGTTGACAGTAAAGCTATCAGCTCGAGAGATTAGGATTTATCGTTAATCGTTTCAGGGGTTAATGATTAGTTATTTAAAAATTAGTATGCAAAGACGTCCCTGTTAAATCCATATACTCTAATATGCAGAATTCGATCATTTGCATCGCTTTGCATAATTTTTCATGGAATTTTCATGAAAACGCACGTGAAAAGCGCGATCGATATCGTTTCGTCGTAAAAGTCGTTGTACATCACCTCCTGCCTTAGAATACGCACCCCCACGACGGACGTCAAGAAAGAAGACGCGCGTCACGTCGATCCTGTAATAAAACGACGGCGGCCGTTAAATCTTGCCTTTATCGACATACTTACTCCCCGTAATAGAAGACGGATAACCCAATTGGTATTCGCGATATCCTGTCACTCGCGGTGATCGCCAAAGGCCCATGCCGAAGGAGCAAATGGGATACATGGGATGTCCTTGTCGATCCCGCAACAAGAGTGCAGGACGATCCGTTCCCCGAGGCGTCCTGGTTCGTTCCAAACCTGGCCGACCATTTTCATTCATCTTGCAAGCTCGTTCCCGAGGTAATTCACCCGGTCGACGAAGTCTCGGCGTTAACGGTCCCTAAAGGCAAATAACCCAGATTCTCGCCTCTCGCAACGTAATAGGCACGAGTACGCAACATCGCCGCCATAAGCCGGTTTACCGCGCTAAACCCTATATTTTTCTGGGGCCTCTCCAGCCTCTGCGAGTTCTATCGCTCCAATGTCATCGTACTTTCCCATTGTGGAATTACCGGTAAAAAGTGTGCGGCGCAAAGAGTCCCGTAGTTACGGCATTAGCTTCCTCCGGAGGAAAATGCCGGCGAGTCAGTTTCGCCTCGGTTCTTAAAACACGCGGCGATACGAACTCCACCGGTTCGGCGGCCGGAATAATCTAAGCAATTGACGTAATATTTCAGTAGTGGTGAGAAAATATCCCCTGCGGAGTTGAACGGAAACGCCGAAGCAACCCCGGTCTCAAAGCTGAGACAGGCACTGCCGCAATTCTTCGCAGTTAGTGCAAAGAATATCCTTCTAATAACCTTCGGTTCCAGTTTGGGATTCTCGACGATTCTGATCCCCGAACTTCAGAAGGAAAACCCTGAAATCGAAGTTACCTTGGAACAACTAACATGGATCAGTAAGTCATCCGTTTCTATAACTCGAAACCTAGGCTAAACCTCCGAGAGCAGTCCCGATGCAATTTCCTTGTAAGGCTGTAAAACGACTGGGATAATAATAGCGCCGACGCGGTATCAGTGATTTCGTATTAAATTGACTCGCGGAAAGATAATGTTTAGATTCTGCCTCGACTTGCTGCTTTACCGCGAGGAGGCGACCAAACGACGCGAGTGGAACAATGGCAAATTGCTGATACTTTCCTCCTCAGACGTACGGTCTCTCGGTCACTGAATAACCGACCGTCCCTTTGTTCGTTTCTTCGCAATCGAAGGAAACTAGACACTTAACGAGCCCGTAGTCGGTATTACAAAACGTAAACGGTCAAGTAACCGCAATAAGTACGGAGGTGCGGAGGGTAAGGCGGGGAATCGAGTAATCTTGGTGGCATCTTCCAGGCAGCTTCAACCTCATCCTGGTACCGGTGGGTTGTCTGATAAGCGGACCGATATCTCAATGCTTCGGTCGGAAGAGGACCATGATGATATCGAATCTTCCCTTCGTCATCGCCTGGATAATCTTCCATCGAGCCCAAAGCGCGTCCATGCTCTTCGTGGCCCTGTCGCTTACCGGTCTGAGCGGCGGCCTCCTGGAGGCACCCGTCCTGACCTACGTCGCGGAAGTGACGCAGCCTCACCTGAGAGGGATGCTGTCGGCGACCTCCACCATGTCCGTCATCCTGGGCGTCTTCAGCCAACTTCTGGCCGGAAGCTTGACGACCTGGAGGACCGTGGCTCTGATCAACATCGCCTTCCCCGTCGCGTGCTTCGTCGCCCTTTGCATGGTCCCGGAAAGCCCTCACTGGCTGGCCGGTAACGATTCCTTTATCAAGCGAAACCTTTTATCTCGGTAGGACCAATCGAGTGGAGTGCTCCCGATCGAGTCTCGCTTCGTTAGAGACGCGTTATTTTCCACTTTTACCCGGAATATCCCCCTCGAGCCTGCGGGTAAAAGCATCGCATCAAAGGAAAAAGCTTTGTTTAATTTTCCCAGCGAAGAACCGACTGAAAGAATCGGAAGAGGCTCTTTGCTGGCTCCGAGGATGGGTTACGCCGCACCACGTTCGCAACGAATTCTGCCAGCTGTGCGAAGTGGCGCGTAAACCAGCGGAAAAGAACACGGAAACGACCTCCCGCTCCGAAAAGGTTTGGAAACCGTACACGAAGAAGACGTTCTACAAGCCCTTCGCCCTGGTGTCGTTGGCCTTCTTCATCGGCGCCTTCGGTGGTATCACCAGCTTGCAGACCTTCGCCGTCGTTATCTTCGCCAGATTGAACGCTCCCATCGATAAATACACGGCCACGGTGTTTTTGGGGATTGCCGAGCTGGTCGGCACCGCTTTCTGCGTCGTGGCCATTCATTTCACGGGAAAGAGAAAGCTGTCTTTTCTGTCCTCCGGTGGGACAGGAATCAGCTTCGGCTGTGCCGCGATCTACAGCTACATGGTGGATCATCGGAGCATCTTGGGGGACGATTACACGTGGATTCCGACCACGTTCCTGATAACTGCCGCCTTCATGTCGCACCTGTGCATCAGGCTGCTTCCTTGGGTCCTCATCGGAGAGGTTTTCCCGGGAGAGGTTCGTCCTCGTACCTTTGAATTCGTTATCGATTCGATGCTCATTGGGTCGTAATGAATTTTACCCGTTTACCGATAAAAATGTCGATATTTGTTTCAGGTTCGAAGCGGTGCCTCGGGAGCTGCCGGTTCCATCGGATACATCTTCAACTTCATCGTCAACAAAGCCTTTTTTTACATGCTGAACGGGATCGCTCTGGCCGGCACTTTCTGGTTTTATTCCATGGTTAACATCATCGGTGCCATCGTGTTGTTTTTTGTCTTACCGGAAACCGAGGGCAGGACTCTTAGGGAAATCGAAGAACATTACGCGGGAATTCACAACCTGAAGGACAGACCAAAGAAAGAAGAATTTCCTTTTAAGGAAAAGTGGGCCGCCAGGAATGTGGCAATAGTTAACGATGACGTAGAGAGCAGGCTCTGAGGGGTTTACAATTCGTCCGGAAAATATAAAAATTTGGACCCTATACTTTCTCGTTTTGAACTTTCAACGGGAAGTGGTGACCCCAGCGATTATCTCGCACGATTCCGCATGAAAAAAATGTTTTATATGCGGAAATCGAAGTGCAAAAATTGACTCGTGACAATAAATTGCGGCGTTTTTACTTTGGGGATAAGCAATTTATTTATTGGTTACACGATTTAATTGAGAAATTATTTAACGGCCACAGTACATGGTTACCTATACCTGCATTTACAACACGTTGAAAATCCGAATTAATACATAAGAAAATTTTGGAGCGCTACTTATTCGATCAAGGGACTCACAAAGGACGAACGAGATCAAACGAAATTTTTGACAAGGTAATTTTACAATTATTCCTTCACAGCCAAATTTACACCGGAGGTAGAACAAACAGCTTTTTTCTGGCCTGGCTTTGGAGTCGTTCTTCCAGGTACTACTCCATTTCCAAAGGGCTTAAAATAACGCGCCACCACGTCGATAAATTTAACGTGCTTCAGGATACCCAAAACTCGAAGTATTTTATTTGGGACTCCCGGCAGGTTCAGAGTTTCTCCGGGCACGTTGCGACTTTTTCTTCGGGAGGTTTGTTTTGGAATAGCCATCACAGATTTGCATTTTGCGGTTTTAGGTTGGTTGGGACAGGACCTAACACTAGCGGGACTAAAAATGAAAGAAAAGCGTTGAAGAAGACGACGAGAGGAAAGTGGTAGAAGACGCGTGGCGGGATGGAAATAAGACCAAAACTTGCCGAAATTTTGAACGCTGTATTTTGGCCTTCAACAGACGTGGCTTAACGAGCAGTCGATCTTGCGTTATTTCGAAGCGAATCGGTTCTTTTTGGACGTACTTCGGCACGTAATACTTCAAGGCGCTTTGCGTCATCTTGTACCGTCGAGCTTAAATCGCGGAAGAGCGTAAAATCATTTTTTTTCTCGGGAGCACATCCGCCGGAGACTTTTGATTTCGCCGAAAGTCGTGGAGAACCATAGGAACCATAAAACAGAGGGTAATATGGAATGCCTGCGGTCCGCGTTTCGCAGCTATCCGCGAATCGCCGTCGTCTAGCGGCGGCGAGTCGAACCGTTCCATACTTATCATGGACACGGTAACCAGCTCCTAATCCAATCCTCTCTCTCTCTCGAAACCGCGTAATACCTCTGGCGATAACCAGATGGAGTTACTCGAACGTTTCTTGTGGTCGGCGTCCCGTGTAGGCGAACCGTATAACCGGTAAGTCGTAAACCACGAATCATAAATCCGACCGCATCAGCGCGGCGGATCAACCGTTCCCCAGGGATAGATAATTTCGAGTCCCGACCACGCTAGACTGGCGGCCCAAATAACCAAATTCGAGTCCCTCTACTTGAGGACTTTCCCGCGCAGTCGCCTATCAGGAAGCTCGGTAGAGTTCCGCGCCAAATATACAGGTCCATCCGTCGTATATCGAGTCAACCTATACATCCGACTTCGCTCCAGCGCCGAGTCTCGCAAAGTACTCCCGAAGATTCGAATTTCTTTCCCGAGGGTCGATCCGATTTCGGCGAGCGTCGCAATCAAAGACCCTCGCGCGCGAGCTACCCCGTCGGGCGTTCTAAAAATATCGGGCGTCCCTCGAAAATGAATCGATAAATCCCGCGGTCTCTCTCGCCACGCGGCACGCCGGCCATTGCTCGCACCCTCTCCTCGGCGTGACGTCCATCCTCGCGGGTCGAACGCTTGGCCAAAAACGGAGCCGTTCGCCCCCTCGGCGGGCGCTCGCGGAATCGCGAGCCAATAATCAACAAGTGCGTCCTCGGGCGGCGGCGGGCGACGGCGGGCGACGGCGGGCGACGGCGGGCGGCCGAGGGCGAAACTTTTCCCGATATATTGACGGGAGTCCGGCGCCTCGGACGCAGGCGCGCTCGAGGCCTTCGGCCGCGAATGGTCGATATTCCTCCGTGGAGGAGGGTGGTCGCGGCGATGGCGCGCGCGCCGCGCGCTCCCTGGCCCGCTCTCGAGGCCAGTCCCCACAGCGGCCGTCCTATTCGCCGGGTTCGTGAGGTGCGCGCGGGGCGCCAGCTTCCAGCCAGTGTGCGAGCCAGGTCCCGAGTGGAAGCGCGAGGAGCCCGCAGATCCGCCGCCCGAGGCCACCACCCCGTGTCTTCTTCGCAGCCCTTCCGCGCTGGAGGTACCGCGAGCCGACCGGGCGTATCTACCGGAATCCCCTGTTCCGGCCGGCCAGGAAGCCGAGCGGGCTCGAGAAGCGAAACGAGGTCGCGCGAGGCCCGAGACGCGGCCTATCGCGTCGCGATAAGCGTTTTCCGGGCCGCGATAGGCCGAGGCGCCCCATGGGGCTCGGGGACGCCTCGCTCGCGACAAGTGGCAAGTGGCAGCGGGTCGCGACTCGACCCTCCGAACGGCGAAGCCACGAGGAGACGTCCCCGTCCGCTCGAATCCGGTCGATCGATACCCTCCCCGAGGGGAGCTTTAATCCTTACGACGGCCTTTCGACCTTCCCGGTCCCTTCCGGGACGCCGCTCTCCTCGCACCGAGGAGACGCACCGTTCCTGTGACCCAGTTACCGATTTCGATCCGACTCTTTCCTCCCGATCCCGGCGACCGTTCCGCTCCCCCCGGACGAGACACGTGTCGCGGACGGCGAGGTCTAATCGATTACCGACGAGTCGAACGAATCCTTCCAGGTTGATCTCCTTGGCACCGAATCTCCACGGCTCGATTCCCCTCGAATCCCACTTTGGTTTTATGCGAAACCCTTGCCAAAAACGTCCACCGCTGCCGCTAAAGTCGATACAGACGACGAGAGGACCGCGCGACGAAATGGGTCAAGTGTTATTCTTTGAGGGTGAAACGCTGGGTCGAACTAAGTTTGGGACTGTCCATTGACCGAGGGAGGGCTCGAAGTCCCGGATGGTTGTGGTCGAAATCCCGTCTGGATGGGGATTATCGGGAAAGGGATGACGCGCGTCGAATTATTTTCCCCTGGAACGGAGCTTCGATTTACGACTCCGGGGGTGGGACCGAATATAAGGTAGACTTCCTTCTTGGAACCACTCAACCTCTTCGACCGGGTCGCCTTCCGTTATGAATGTTGACCGCGTTTTGACGTACCTACGCGAGCACCGTTCGCGAGGCAGTGCATCGATAGTGGATTTACTCAAGTGTCGGCGTTGCAATCGTCGACTGGGTCGATGCAACAATCGGCGAGCCGCGCGTGTGGATGTGCGCGCTATCGGCAACGAAGGAGCGGATATACGGCAGGGAAGGAACGAGGGGAACGCCACGTCGCGACGCGTCGGGCGGCGGTTTTTTAGTTCACGATGTGGCGGTCTTCCGCATGCTCGGGAATAAGGAACTCAGTAATTTCGATTAGAATTCACCCTCGACCGTCCGAATGTCGGGAAATGCCCCTAACGCGTCCTCGGTGAAGGATACGGTGTTCGAGCTGCGCCCCAGGATGGCTCGTATGGTTTCCATCGTTGAAATCACCTCGCCGAACTATTCGGTATCGGCGGATCCTCCTCGAGGGTCGCTTTGACTCGCTAAAAAAAAATAAGACCCGAAGTGCCCAAACTCGAGACGCTTCCTCCGAGCGGAAGACGGAGTCCTGTGTGTCGTGGAAATTCGATTTTTGCTATTTCGTCGGCGTGAAAGGTTACATGGAAGGGTCATTCTCTCTATATATATAAACGTCAAAATATAAAACTTTTCGACAAATTGGGTGCACCGAATAATTTTAAACTTTAAAAAACACGAAAAATCATTTTCCGAAAAAAATGTTCTTTTTTGGTTTTTTACGGGATAAATACATTTTTTCCGAAAAATTAAATTTCAACAGTTTCAAGACCTTCGGTGGGATCTTCGTAATTGCGTGTTAATGTTTCAAATTATTCGGTGCACCCAGTTTGGAGAAAAAATTTTTTATGTTTTGACTTTTTGGTATACATGACACTTTCGTAACGCCTTAATTTCCTCGACTCGTTCGCTGGCACCTAACTCTTTTCAAGGTTGGAAGTGAATCAAATGTGAACCGAATGCCACGTTCGATGTGGAAATTTACGGAGAGCGAGGTGCCAGTCGAAACCCAAGGAATATCGATATTCCCGATATCTGACTCGGATAATTCCCATGTAATCTGGTAGCACTCGCGAAAATCGTCCGAAATCGTTGACGAATCGTTATTGTCCGGAACCCATTCCTCCGAGTTCGTATTCCGTAGATGCGAGCTTCGAAGGTCCAACTTCCTCCAAAAATCGAAGGTGCCCTGAGAAAAAAAAATCGGTTGATTAAAAAAAAAAGTATGCATTGCTACGACAAAATCCTGTGACCAAATGTGTTCAATGAAATGTCAGGAAGAGCAAAGAAAATCCGTTTAAATCAACGATATAATTTTTCTCCTCAACGAAATAATTGTTTCTTGCAATTATATATGATTCAGGGAACAATATATATTTGTTTCGGTCAACTAATATTTTTTTTCTCAGTGCGGAAACGATTCTAGACGAAACGATCAATTTTTCCCTTTTCCTTTCCGCAGATGGCCGGCCAGGACCCGAAATGGCAGAAAGATGCGGCGGACCAAAACTTCGACTACATGTTCAAACTGCTGATAATCGGCAACTCTTCCGTGGGTAAAACGTCGTTCCTGTTCCGATATGCGGACGATTCCTTCACGTCGGCCTTCGTGTCGACCGTGGGGATCGACTTCAAGGTGAAAACCGTCTTCAGACACGACAAGAGGGTCAAGCTACAGATTTGGGTCAGTAGTCGGTAATTAATCATGGCGAGGTTCGCTTAGCGCTAGCCCAACGGATCGAACCCCCTCGGGGAATCGAGTCGATGACGTTCGATGAGGACGAATTAACCGATTCTACGCGATGGAATTGCAGGACACGGCGGGCCAGGAGAGATACAGAACGATCACGACGGCCTATTACAGAGGCGCTATGGGGTTCATCCTGATGTACGACATCACCAACACGGAGTCCTTCAACGCGGTCCAAGACTGGGTCACGCAAATTAAAACCTACTCGTGGGACAACGCTCAAGTGATCCTGGTGGGCAACAAGTGCGACATGGAGGACGAGAGAGTGATCAGTGTCGAGAGGGGCAAGGAATTGGCCGCCCAACTGGGGGTGCAGTTCTTTGAGACCTCTGCCAAGGAGAACATCAACGTGAAGGTCTCCTGTCTACCTTATACCTCGAATCGCTTTATCGAAACATCCATACCTTTCAATTTGGCCTTAGCTTTATCTGCGCTTATGGATCATAAAGTTAAACGGAGATCGTAGAAAGTTCTGCCAATCGGGTGCGACCGGTAGCTCTCGGTCTGACGATGCGATACGTGCGGTTACGTTGGATCATCTTTTTACAGGCGGTGTTCGAACAATTGGTGGACATAATATGCGACAAGATGAGCGAATCGCTGGACAGTGACCCGACATTAATGGCCGGCGGGGCAGGCCAAGCCAAGGGCCAACGATTGACCGACCAACCAGCCAACCCGACGACCACCAACTGCAACTGCTAAGGGAGCATAAAGCGCACCGAGTTTCGATGCTGGGTAGCTAGTCCACCTTCTTCGTCGTTCCTTTGTTCTTTATTCGTTTATTTGGTTCCATTTGAGAGGCGTTGGTCGCGGCCATTACGTGCCGCGGTGTGTTCGAGTTTGGCAATCAATCGGGTCGAACCAGGCGGCGTTCGTTTCGGTTCAAGCGCTCGAGGGGAATCCTCGCAGAGGCGCGCTTCCTCTAGTAACAAAATGGCCGGTTCTCAGGCCCGAACTAGCAACGATCGCGGAGTCGCGCCACGCTTAAATTCGTACGACTTTCCTCTGCCTCTTCTGCCTTTTGAGGGTCTTGTCGGCTGTCTTCGCTGTGGTCGTTTCGTGTTTCCGTAGTCGCGTGGTTCGAAGTGGCCGTTCGGGAAAAATGAAGCGAATCGCGCGATAATCCATGGGCAATCCTGGGTGGTCGCGATAGATCGTGGGCATGTTTATCTTCAAACAAAAATTAAGAGCTATCTATCGAGGAAACGATAGTGCCCTGGCGAAATAGACATTGATGGGGTGCAATTATCGCGGGATTTTCACCGACTCGCGTAAGACCGTTTCGCCGAGGGAAAAGTGCTAACAGGGATCGTGGTTTCCAGTCTAAGTATTGCGGATGGTCGAAACAAGCCATTCGGCGTGACCGTAAGAGTCACCCCTTCTGCGTACTTTTTACTCGTTCTTGAATCACGACCACATACTCTCCATTTGCAAGATTCCTCGTATGACACGCGAGACGTGTACGTCACTCGAATTTAGGCATGGCGGTAGATCAGAGGTTCGAGGTGAACTAAAATCGATGACGTCGATAAGCACAACCACATCCGCATTGGAAGCTCTTTAAGCTTGCACACCCAAGTATGGTCATCGTAACGTTAACGGGCTGTTCGCTTCCGAAACGATATCGCGGATAATTTAGCATGGTCTTTCGTCGACCTCTCGTTGCAGGAGTCGACATCGTTACCTACCTTGTGCCTATCGTTTGCATCTACGTAATGAAAATCCGATGCGGTAGACCCTTCCGACCCGACCCGTATTACGGTGGATACTTTACGTAGAGTTCGAATTATATTTAAGTCACGTCAAATGCGACAGACCGGTCGACTTGGTTCACCGATAAACGTGCCGTTTCGTCACCGACGTGTATCGCGGTTACGCCAAATTTATTACGTTGTACATATTACGTTCCATTGGAGTTCTCGAAACCGTATACGGTTACGATTTGGCATCTCGAAGAAATTATTTGAGCAGCGGTACGAACCGATGGAGCGAATTGGAGCGTCCATGTCGAGTACTCGCTATCGGCGATATCGTTTCAGCTGCTGCGACACGACCATCTAGGCAAGCTGCCCTCTGTACATAAAGAAACAAAAATATATACTATTGACTCTGTAATGAAGTGTAATGTACGTACGCGTTACTCATCCGTGTGAACCGAAGGGACCTATTCTGCTCGTGGAATAGCGACCGATCGCAAACGGCCCGCTCCACCGTTACGTTCGGGAGCGACTTGTTAAATAGGAGGTTTTTCCAACGATTGGCGAACGACGAGAAGAAATTATCGTAGCTGAGACGTTTTCCTTTCCGTTTCTTCTTCTGTCTTCTTCTCAGCCTTTCTTGCTCCGATACCGTTGTCTACTTTTGTTTCCGGCGTTCCATCGGAACGCGTGTATGTACAATTATGAACCATTCTAACGACGTGTCACGGGTACACCATACTATACGACATATAAATAAATGAACATATATATGTATATGTATATATATATATCTGCGATATATATAAAGAGAGGCTTAGTGGGGGAGAAAAAAGACGCGACAATTAATCGAACGAATATTAGTGGTCACCGGTGGACGGGCACTTGTATGTATGTACTGTACCGTATGTAACTATTACGCCTAATAATATTAATAATAACTATTACTGACGATAATAATACGATTACAGAGAATACGATAAATCTTACCACGTACCACAGATTATTTGGCGAGTGTTACGTTGACCGTTTATAACAGGTAGTGTTAATGTAGCGGTTACTGGAGTTAATGTTTTCAGCGACGTCTATGCATATATGTGTATACAGCCGCAAGAGGCAGAGCTATTAACAAAATGGACATGTATAAAAATGTAGTGGATGGCATAACGAGCGTATGCGAGGTATTAAGTGGAGTAAAGCTCTAATTTACAACATGTCTATCGATCATTATATCATCGTGGTTCCGATCCGATTTCAACTTTTGGCAACCGACGAATATTGCTCGTGCCAGCTCGATCGTTTTGAATCCGTCTCTTCGTTCCGGTTTCCGCGCTATATCCGATTACCGCGACCCACCTTAAGAGATTTGTCAAATTTATCCGACACGCGTGCTCTCGCGTGTTTCTATCGGCGATAACGATTTTCATAATAAATAGCCCGAGAGCGCTCGCCCGTACCAAGCTAGAGCATTAATTCGCATTCAATTTTAGAAATTTATCTTCGTCTATTGGTATACATTAATTCACATTTATGACAAATAGGTATGACGGATCGTTCTTTGGCGGACCTATCAACTAAAGTAGTCGAGACTGCGACCCACGACGTCTTATATTTAATCGATCCCTACGTGTACTTTACACGTTCGTTCCGTAATCATTGCGATCAGGGCAAACGAATCCTGACCCGGAAATCATTTGGTGGGGCTATCGTCACCGAACATCGAGGCGATAGTTCAGTTGATCGAGTATTGCCTATGGATCGAGCGACGATCGAGCAACCGTGACTTTTACCTCTGTCCAGAGCCCTTTCGTCTCTTTTCAAGGGTTTCAAAGAAAACTAGTTTCGTGGAATCTTCGCCAAATCAGCGATTACTGTAGTAGTCATCATCGAGAACGGGTTGCGCCACGTCGTTATTGTACTCGAAATCATAATTGGCGCATGATGTCAAAGGTCGTTTGTTAATAGGATTTCGTCGTCGTCGGTGCTTCGAACCTTCCTTGCAGGCCACTCTGCAGGGGGTAAATTCTTCCTGTGTGTGAGGGACGAATTTCGTGATTTCATGGGGACCGCAAAGCGGAGTCGCCAATTTCCCAGACTTCGGCAATGGCAGTACCGTCACTCGCGTCACGAAAACAGTCTGAAATCGTATCGCGTCAAATCAACTCGTCAACGACACAGCAATGAGTGAACTTACGGTACTATTTTGCTCGGAATCGAACCGCAACAGAACTTTGTTAGGAGTGTGCATCTTCGGTCCCCTTTGAAACGTCAAGTAAGAATTGTCGCCATTAAGGACGAACGGCTTCTGGCTGATGCCCATGTTAAGATTCGTCCTGAACATCAAATCCTCCGATTCCGAATAAATAGTGGCACAGAACATGCCAAAAACTGGAGCATCGGTCTCGTGTTCCGGGGGAGCGTCGGAACCGCTGCTGGGTTCCATCGTGATCACTATTTTGTATGCGTACACTGAAGAAAACGTGGATATCGATTAAGCGACATTTAACAAAAGGTACTCATTCGATATCAGGAATATCCTAAACTCACTGCAGAACGGTGGTTCGTTGTTGGTGTCTAAGAAAAATTTTGCATCCGGTGGGACGGTCATGTTCTCGGCAATGAGCCACGCTGGATACCCCATCGGAGCACAAGTGTGTCCCAATTGGCACTCGGAGCACTCCCCTTTGTTGAAGGTGCCGTAATCGGAACAAAGGTAACCGAGAAAGGGACAATCGTGCATCTCGTCGATACTGGCCGTAAAGTACTTAGCAGCCCGTTTGTGACTGCAGCCCGGTGCAACTTCGTTCTGCTTTAACGAATCCCTCGTGATCTCGTTAAGAGGAGGATACAAGGACGATGCGTTGCATCCAGGTTGGGTAAGACCACCATTTGGGTAGAAATTCAAGTGCCCAAAAGGATCGCCGGCTCCTTGACCGTGACCTACGTGGAGAAATTCAGGACTACAGGGACTTCACTTTCATTTAAAAAATCTCACGACTCAAAAATATCTCGGTATACCCTTTATCACATCGGTATAGATAATATCCACGAGTTTCGCATCCTGAGGATCAAGATGAGCAAAACAGGGCATATCCGAAAAATACAATCCATTGGGATCCAACCCCGTGATCCTTTGGATGTCGGGTACATTCTGGGCGGCGTACCTACAATAAGGATTTGCGGGAAATCAGACGAGGGGAAAAATAGGATCATCTCCGTATTTATTAACGAAACGGGCGCAGACGGGAAACGATTCCGAGCTTACCCGGCTATATGAGCTCCTACGCCTTGGCCGATTAGGTGAAATTGATCGGGACTCATTCCAAATTCGTTGATGAGGACTTTTAGGAGTTTAGTGAGCTCCAGGGCCACGACGCGGGCGTTTTGCACGGCGAGCATGTAAGGCGGCTCGGCGCCTCCCGTCCAATCGACGCTGATGACGTTTCCGAGATTAGCGGCTAGAATGGATTTGACGGCGTGCTTTATCCATCCCGCCAGCCCGGTGCTGGTGAAGTCGTGGATGAGTATGTGGGTCTTCTTCTTCTTGTCAAAATTGGTCAACTTGATGTGCTTGTAGCTCGCCTCCATGGGCTCCATCTTGACCAGGTGCTTGGAGTCCTTTCCTTTGCCGAAGAACCGGAAGGTAGTTTTGATGTAATGGCGGTCCAGAGGCTGCTCCTTGATCGGTCTGTACAAGGGATGGTACCAGTCCTCCGTGTTGTTGACACACCCTAACTCGTCGTAACACTTTGTCCATACGTCTGCGACAAGGAGAATTCGACGAATTAAGGAACGTCGTTCGCGACAGCCGGCAAAACGGAGCAGGTTGCGGTCGATTATCTCAATGAATTCGCGATCCAGCGGCAGGAAATGCTGAAATCGGTACCCGCGACGAGCTAACCAAGAAAATTCTCACAGTCTTTCTCGCCGTCCTGACCGTCGCACCGCGTCACCACCGTTAAAGATGAGATCCAGGTTAGCAGCAGTGCCAGAGGAAATACATTCATTACAGGGTAAGGGGGACTCCAGGGTCATCAAGTCGTCGCTCTCGCCGTCCATAAAATCGTTTATAAAAGAATCACAGGCGAGCCGCCGGATCGCTGACAAACCGAGCGCGGCTCGTTTGTCGACTCGAGATTCGCAGCCGAGACGATCTAGGAATCGCCGATTCTCCGCTAAGTCCCCTGGTGGCCCGGGTCGAGAATTCAAAAACGATCGATTCGACTCTTGTCGAGTATCGAAGCAGTCGGAGCTTTCGCGCCCTCTCCCGTTTATCGGCCGCTTCGATCATCGATACGCCGCTGATCTTTTGGCGAGGTTAAGGGTCATCGTAATCAAATGACTTAATTCTTGAAATAAACCAAATATTTTATTGGTACTGGTCAAAGAAATATTTCTTTGGTTCGATATATTTTTTTTTCCCAGAGTACATACAGAATGACCCTTTCATATCACCTTAATGGCCTCCTCGCTCGCAGCATGCCGGAAAGAATGCGAGAGGGAGAGTGTTCGTTTATACGATTCTCGATTTCATGGTCCATCGACCTACCGTAGTAGTCGATACAGGATTAACCCGGTTACATCGCTTAAGCATCGCGTCCAGGAGCGAGCGCGGGCTCGTCGGCGGCGCGCGCTCGCCGCCAGAGGGCGCGCGGTCGCCACCCCGTAAATACGCGGGTCGCGTGTCGCTGGCCTCAGTAGCGGACGGTGCCGCGCCGGCAGTGCACGTGCGAGGACCCGTCGCGGCGACGCCCACCGCGGGACTCTCGGACCTTCGTCCACAGCGTGAGTAGTCCCTCGCGGTTTGTTTACCCGCGACCCGCGTCGGCCCCGACAGGCACAGTCGAGGCCGACGCGATCGAGAGGTACAATGCGGCGGACCGTGGGCAAGAATCGGCGAGACCGAGTCGCGCTTAAAATTAGCGCGCATTCGGACACGTAAGAGGAAGTTCGTTAAGCGGGTATTTTAAGGAAGCGTGCTTCCACGGGTCCGATACGCGCGAGTCTTTCTCTCCCTTGCAGCTTCTCGCTCGGTTTTCGTGCGTTTCCTTGCTTTGCCCGGCGCTCCTTCGGCCCTCTCTCGGTCTGCCTCTTTCCGCCTGGCCCTCCTCTAATAGAACGCAGGCCTATATATAGCGGGCTTATAAATAAATCCTGACTGAATATTTAATGTTGCCAACTCCCCGAGAGCGAGCCCCCGTCCGCGACTCGAGTTCTTTTTTATTTCGCGGAGGTGCGCCCGGCAAAGGAACGCCGCGCTCTCGGCCGACTCAGTACCCGAGAGGGCTCGTAAAAACGCGGACTCGACGTCGACCGGATCCCCGAGAGCACCGGGACGTGTTTTCGATCGAAAGTCGTTTCCGGAAACGGCGCTTATCTCCTATCGGCCGTCGGCGCGTGGTTTTCCTTCGTCGAGCTTGCAGAGGCGAAGCGGACGGACGCCCCGACAGAATTCTCTCGGAATAGACGACGCCAGGGCCGTTTCTATGTGAACGTACGTACGCGTATGCGTTCTTAAGATTTTCATCCCGCCTTCTTTCCTTTTTACCCCGACGTGCATGAAGCGCTCGCGGAAATATGAGCTTTGAGAGGCTCGGAAAGGTCTTTCCTCCTAGACACGCTCTATCGGTTTTTCTTCGCTTCATGGAACGAGTCTAAGATTTCACATGAAAGATGACTTCTCCTATACCGACTTTTCACAAGAAGAGAGAAAATAAAACCCTCGCCGATATTCGACGATAACGTTTTCTCTCGTTATGGGAACAACCCTCGAGGAAGCGCGATAAGATATTAATGGGTAAAAGTAACCCGGTAAAAACGGCCGCTGATGTAATGGAACGCGATAATTGGGAAAATGGAAAATGCATCAAGTTTGGCCGGTGGGAAGGGATCGCTATGGGAAAATCTGGGGCGTTTCTCTTGGTCCACTTTTGAAATGTTTAAATTGTTACGGAACGGCCACTTTCCTTTTAATTAAACCGCGGGCAAAGGGGTAAAGTGCTTTTGCAAGACCACTCGTGGAAATAACAGGGTCGAAAGAAGATTCCCGTGCCGGGGTACCTCGAGAAGTAACGAATAATCTCTTTTCGCACGGTGACCACCCAACGAGCGACTTTCCTTCGTTTTTCCGACGCGGCGCTAATAGCCGTCGAAATTACGCGGTTACATGGCTCTCTGAGAATCCGTTAAGGCCGAACGAATCGCTTCCTGACGGCAAGAGTACGTTTTATTGTCTGCACGTCACATTGGAGTTTCGTTGGTTCAATAAATCTTTGCTCTCCGCGAGTACGTTTATACGACGCTCGTATATCGAGAGAGTTACGAGCTCTGCAGACGAATTGTCCGTAACGAATATGTCGAAGAGGATGCTATCTGTATCTCTCTCGTGCACGTAGGATGTAGATGTGATCAATTCGGAGCTCCTCGTCGAGACAAAGGCGCTTCCGAGTTTTCCCGGTTTTCCGGGTTTGCCGAGTAATCGGCGACGCTTCGTTATTTCCTCATTAAGGAGCGAAAGGTCGGCTTTAATCGCGACGCTTATGCATTCGGTATAATTGTGAATTAATCGACGGTAGCCCTCCAGTAAAGTAACGAGCGGTCTAATGTATACCACACAAAGGGAGGGAAAACGAGATTGCCAATTTAATATTGTATGGAGTAACGGATCACTGTCGAGCGAGAAATGTGGGACAGCCCGAGATGAACTCGAAACCATCGAATTCGATGGGTTTTTTTTCTTTCTTTTTTTTATTATAGCCTTACGCTGATATGAAAGTCATTCTATATGTGTCGATACGTCAAAATATCTATACAACTTTTTTCCAAACTGGGCACACCGAATAATTCGAAATTTTAACACGTGATTATGGAGGTACTAATGAAAGTCTTGAAATTCCCGAAATTTGAGGTTTAAGGTTTTTTTAGGTAAATTTGTATAATTTAGTCGGCTTCCCGTAGCTTCATTTAAAAAATGAGGGGGAATCTGGGCTTAGGTAATTGAGGATTACGTCGCTCGACGGGAGGGAGAGGTTAGGGTGATTTCGTTAGGGCTGTTCGCGGGATTTTATCCAGGAGCGATTAGCGAGGAACCATTTCCGCCGTTACGTCGTTCGCAGTCGAGTTGGGTTAAACAACGCGTTAAAGAGGTCGCGACAGAATGACGAGTTTTACGGTTCCTCGGCGACCTTGCGCCCGCGCGGTTAATAGCCTAATTTTGTACTTGATTTATCCCCGAGGAAGAGTAAAAGCTTAAACGAGTTAAGGAGATCTCGGCAAGTGGAAGAGACCTTTGCCGCCATTTTTGACCGCGTCGTTAACCAGCCGTCGTTAATTATTCCCACGGTATATTCTACGGGGATTATTACCAGTGGGACGGTGTAAAATGCGACACGGAAACCCGAATTTCCTTGGACCTCGAGACGCGGCGGCGGCGCCGGAAGTAAACGACGACGGAGAGAAACGGTCGCGCCAGACTTGAAATTTAGGAAAATCGTCGCTTTTTCGACCGGTGCCGCCGCGGGGATAGAAACTCGACCGAAAATACCATCAAGCGGGCATCCCTGACCTTATTTTTCCGACCTTAATCCACTCGAATTAGCCGCGACATTATTAACGTGTCGAGCCTTTCCGATATGCCCCCCTTTTGTCACGTCGGCAGCTTCCGCAAGAGCGGATTTATATTTTTCAGTAACGGGGTAACGGGTATATTTATAAAAGAAAACGCCGAGGAAGGGTTTCTCCGAGGCCTTCCGGCGACAAAGAGACTGTAATTGCCGCACCTTGGGATTATCCTTAATGGCGCCGCTCGAACGACGATAGGGTCGCATTTGGTAATTGGGAAACTTAACGTCACGGATAGGAGCAAACGTTTTCCGCAACTTCGGCGACGATTTTCACCAGGACCCTCGACCCGCGAGATGCGCGCACAGCGTGGCTACGCGTCACGCGCGCATTCGATTCCGCGATTTGAAAAGTGTTTTAAAATTAGTATACCATGTCTGAACAAAACTACTATAAAATTATAAGATATATTTTTTTTTAACTGTGCGCGCAACAACGGGCGGAAGGAAAAGCGCAGGTGAAACGGAGTGATCGAGAGGTTCCCCTTTCATTAGCGAGAAGTCTTTTTTTCTTTTCTCTCCCCCCTTTTGAGCCGCGTGAGGACCCTCGAGTTGACACAGTTTTCCCGGAGTCGCCGCCTTTTATCGATTCCGCTTCGCGGCCCGATTGATCGAAACCGCGAACATCCTCCCTTGGTCGCGACCATTGACGGTGAACTCGTTCCTACGGGGTGGCCGCGGACACGGTTTTCCGCAGCGGGCAATTCCCCCCGGCCTGTCGCGAGGCGATCGCGTCGATTATTCCGGGAAGAATTAACGGATGGATCGAGCGAACGCCACCTGACCTTTTCGTGCATTCCGCCTCTCGGGATGGATTAACTCCTGTTTTTTTTTTTTTACATTATCCGACGAGCTTTTCGCGCCGGCACGTTCCGGCGAATTTTTCGCCGCCCCTCTGTAATACGTCGGTGACGGCCGCGAACCTCGACTCGGACGGATCGTGCCGTCACCGCGCTGGACATACGTTTTGGACGCGGTTTTATGGCGCGGGGGAGAAGGCGAAAGTGCCGGAAGTTCCCGGGATGAAAAATGTGGGTCGGCTCGTCGCGGACCCCACCGGGCTCCAAGTATGCTCCAGACTCGGTCTCTCAGGACTTCCGACCTCTCGGGAACTTTGGCTTAGCCCGCGACTTCGAGGAACTTCCGGAAACCCGAAAAGAACTGGCGGACCACGGGGACCGTCCGTTCCGATTATCCGCCCGTTCGGAATCGCTCGGGTCAAACTTTGCGACACGTGGCCGGTAACGGGTGGTTGCGAACCGTCGAACCGTCCAACTGGAATTGTCAACTGCAATTTGGCGATTTTTGTCTCGCCGAGGAAGTCGAGGGATTTTCGACCTCTTTGGACGGCAGCGAGCGGTCCCTCTGCGAGCAGTCGAGAGATCTCCTCGAAGACCTCGAGATCCAAACGTGGCCTCTTGGGGGCATAATAATCACGACAAACTGCGCTCGTTCCCTCGCGTCGGTTGGCACAGGCGAATCCTGCCATCCGAAATACACTCGAGAAGCTTTTCTTAGCCGGTCGTCCGTGATGAGCGGCGCTTCGTAGCTTGACGTTTCCACGGACGAGCAGGAAATTCGCCCGGTTATTTGCAGTCTGTTCGGCAAGGCAAATAACGCGGTGTACTTAGGAGTGATCAAAAATATCTCTCCGAAGGGAGGGAGGGGCGGTGCGAGGAGTTCCGATTTTCAGGGAATCAACGGAATCAACTTGAGCGCCAGGAACGCCCCGCCATCTTGGGAAATAAATAACGGAGAGCGCCTTGCCGAACCTTCGTAAAGTCGTCGCGGAATCGACTCTCCGAATCGAGGGACTCGGCGATTCGAGGAGGGAGGGCGAGACCTGGACCGGACCGATTGTCTTCTTCCCCGTCGATCCGGCCGGCAGACGTTCGTCGGCTAATAGAATTTCCTCCGGAGATATCGACGTTATTGGAAATCCCTCGCGGGCCCTCCGCGAGATTCGAGTTAATGGAAGGCATAATTGTGGACCCGCCCCGTCCGCCCGGCATATCGACTGACTCTCCTCGAGACATCGACCCTCGTTGCTCTCGGCAACTTGTCACGTCTCTCGGGAAACGCCAAGACGCTCGAAAGCCTCCTCTAACGAGCTCGCGAAAAAATCACCGTGGGCGTAAAAGGTTTTCGAAAAGGGGGCGGGCGGGCTCGAGTTTCATGGCGATCCTTCCTTCGCGCTCCTCCCGGAGGAAAGTGGTTTCCGTCTTACGTGTCAAACGTACTTGTACCTCGAAACCATCCGGAGATAAATAAAGACGGGGATCGATCCATCGCGAGAAGGTGACTCGAGGTGGAAGAAATTTAATACCGAGACAGGGGAAGAAATCGCACCGATTCTCGATCACGTCCGTGGCGCTAAGGGGAGACGAAAGTGACATCCGTGGAGCCACTCGTCCGCGAAACTTTTTCGCAAACTGGGTGTAACGAATTATTCTAAGTCTTCCCACGTGAATACCTGCCCCCGAGGGACGTCCCGAAACTCCTGAAATTCCACTTTAGTTTTTAAATAAAAAATGTGCTTGTCGACTTTTGAAAAAAAGATTTAAAAAATGTGAAAAATGTGAGAAATCTCAGCGTTGAACAGTTGCAGGTGATGGAGGGACTCCGGCCCCGCTGAGACCCGGAAAGCCTCGCAGCCCCGCAGCTTCGCAGCCTCGCAGGCTCCCACAGAGGAGGAGGCACCCCGGAAAGATGTTCCTCGCTCGCTCGTCCGCGAGGAGAGGCGACCGACCCGTCGTCGGCCCGACATCCGGCAAGGATGAAGAGGCGGACGGCAATGGTTGCTCGCGAGGGATCAGCCGGTCGTCGGAGCGGGCATGTACGTCATCTTCCCTGCGGAGGAGCTCCTCGGGATCTACGAGAGTCCGCCTCGGCGGTGGACGCCACTGACGAGTGAAGGGTCGGCCCTCCTCGCCAACTCGACGGCGAGAACCAGGACCGAGAGGGTCGAGAGGTCGAAGAGAGAGGGCAAGAGGCTCGACGGGAGCCGACGCGATAAGAGAGCCGTCGGAAACGCCCGGGAGATTATGCAAAACAATCGAACCTCCGCGGAGGAGGGTATCAACCCCTTGAAGGATCTCACGCACTCCAGCTTCAACGAGCCCCTGAAGCTCCACAATGGCAACGCCCTTAAGCTCGTGCAGACCGGTGAGTATCTCGACTCCTGGACGGCCGGAGACGTTCGCATAGACGTTTCCGGAGTAAGAAGCGCGGCCGAAGACGCGGATTCTCTCGGAAAGGGATTCCCCCCGCGTCGTGACGACAACGGTAACCGCCAGGGCTTCCGTTGTCGTTATCTCGTCCCCTGATCCCCTGCAAGCGGCTTAACCCTTTCCTGGCGAGTTCGCCGGGGGGCGACACGGTCACCGGGGGCGAACTTAACCCGCGACTGCCGTCCCCCGTTCCCGGTCCCCGACCTAGAGACCCGGGAGGGCTCTTCCGGAATTTCGATGCGACCTTTCGATGTCGCCTCTCGATGCGATCGATGGGAGCGGAGGTACTTCGCTTCGAGACCCGTCGAGTAGGGACCCGCGGAGGACCCGAGAAACCACTCCAGTCTGGAGGTGAAAAGACCCTTAATCTTGGCGCGCGCGTCGCTTTCACGGAGGAGCATCCTTCCGTTCCGCCGGGAAGACGCGAAACGACCGAATTAAGCCCCGATCAAAAGTCTTTAGAGTAGACGAGTCGGTTTAACGGAATTGCGGGAATGTCGGGTGACGTTCGGATGTCGCCTCGATGTCGCCTACTCTCTACCTGTCGGGACACGAAGGTGAGATAATCGTTGTATAATACTCCGGCTTGGTAACCAACGTAGATGGGTTACTCGACCGACGAGGCTTCTCGTCGGGTTTCCGTGGGCTTAATTCCTTCCGCCTTAACCGGAATACTCTACCGAGACGCGGACGTAAATGAAGGATTTGAAATTTGAAAGGAAAGGAAGGATGTTTATCCCTGTTTATCGTTATTTATAGTGCCGAAAGGCACCGAAGAATCCTAGTTGCTTATCAAAACTAGGTTCAAAGCAAACGAACCGACGAGTTCTTCGGTGGAGGTTGAAGCACGCCCGGAAACTCGACCCAAAATCGCGAACCCTTTCGCGGTAGACGCGAGGTGACAGAGATACGACACAAGGACGGAGACTGCGCGGAAAATGAGTCGAGGGGAAAGATGAACGTTTGAAAGCGCGAACCTAGTTTTTCCTTTTTTTTTTTTTTTTTCCCGGAGAATGGAAACTCGTTAATGCCGTCGTTGGCGAGGAGCTCCGCAGCGAGGCCAAGACTCGATGACGTGCCTTGAAGCACGGCGGATGGGCGTCGTTTTTCCTTCCTGGAATAACGCCAGGAGAAAGCTGTCGCGGATGGTTCTTCCCGATGGAGGGTACGGAATGAATTTAATGGAATATCGGCCTCGTTATTCGCGCGGACAGGAGAAGACGCGTCTCGAACGAACTCGGACGAGTCCGAGTATGATGACAACGGGGAACTCATCCAAGGAGTCGTTTACCTACCCGATATCCGGTATCGCGATCGATCCGACAGTGGAATGGAAACCCGTGGCCGAGCCAAACTACTCGGGTCCCCTTTTCAAGGTATTTTTCAGGGCATTCTTCAAGACGCGACCGAAAAGAAGCGTCCTTTTTTTTCCGGGAGGGGGAGACCTAAGACGCAATCGGAAGCGACAGCCCGAGCAAGATCAATCGTCCCTGGAATGAATCCCTTTTGACGAATGGACGACGTATTTCGGGTCGCGTTCCCTTCGAGCATGGGAACCGAGTTGTTTCCGTCGAGGGGGAATAAGCACGGATACAAGAATTCGGAGAGGATCTGCCCAAGGGAGGAGTGCAGCTCCCCGTTTCCAAAGCGAAAGGGTGAAAGGGGAATCGATCGGACTTTTGCCGAGGCGTGCAATGGGGGAGACGAAGAGAAGAATAGAAAAAATGATCGACCCGCGAAATCCGATGCTTTATTAATCGTCCGGAACGTTCTACGCGTTAGTCTTTGAAAGATATAAAATATGGGTCAGTAGACGGTTTACGGGACGATTGGAAGCGAGGCGTTCGTCGATGAACCCTGAGGAGCGACACCGTCCTCGCCTATCTTGGAAACTTTAATACATTTCCGCATAGCCGAGCGTCGGTGACGGCGTCGTTAAAGTTCCCCGTCCAGAGTGGATCTCGGAAGTTTGACGAACTCGTAGTAATCCGGGAGAGGATGAAAACGACGATCGGAGTTACTCTAAACGCGGTATTATCCGAGCCTCCGTACACCGTTTGCTCGCATCGAGTTTACCCTAGACGTGGACTACCTTATCGAGATATCATCCCGAAGGGGGCGAAATTCGAACCGGGCCCAAAAATATCTCCATTGCCTTTCCGACGTGATTAGCCCCTCTCGTGCGATTCGTCAATCCTAATCACGTTTCCAATAAGCCCTGCTTCTCCATCTATATTAAATATGGACGAATATCGCGAGACCCTCGGGAAGGGATCGATGGCCTGGGACGTACCTCACCTTCGCGTTCCCCTCGGCTAGTCTCTGCACGTCTTGCCAAACTTTGCCATAAAATAGAGGGAGAATATTTAAGGGACTCGGAGAAATGTCGAGGGGGGCCGGCTCGAGTGTTTTGATCGGGCGGATTAAACGGCGCCGAGAGGGGTGGACGGAGGTAATAATTTATCCGTCTCGATCGAGCCGGTGGCGACATTTATTTCCCCCGGCATGCGACGCTCGATGCGAAACGCCGGAAGAGGTCGGCAGCCGAGGTCGCCTCCACCTGTTATCGAACACACCGAAGGGCTATTCGCTTGGAAATCAGTGAAAACGTTTTTCTTCTTTGAGAGCCGATTGCCTTCGATTTCATATGATAGGTAACAATATGATTTGGTAACAAGTGACGCTCGGCAGCAGTTCGCGACAGCGTTCGGTGATTTCCATCGATTACCAGTAATTTCTGCTTGCGATCTCCAGCCGACTTCCAGATGATTTTCGAGAATTAAAATCCATGATTTCCCGAGTGAATGCCCCCCCGGAGCGCACCTTTTCGACCGCCGTCCGCGGATTCGGGGAGGGGTCGACGCCCCCCGACCCCTCCGAGGTCGCGGGTGGACCCGCTCGTACTAACCGACGCCGATCGATATACGTCACTCGGGACGATATGGACGCGCCGCCATTAAATGCACCCGCTCGATGGGCCGACTCGATTTCACGGGTTTTATTCGGCGGGAGGATCCACCGGAGTTATATTTAATAAAACAAGGAGTCTGGTTGCCACGGCAACTGCGAGGTGAACAGGCAAGGTATTGATTCGCCCCACCTGAATTCAGGTCAACCCCTGACTAAACACCTTTTCCACATTATACGATTTTGTAGAAGGTTGCATGTATTATGTATAAGGGCCATTCGAGATAGGACACGTAAAGAAAGTGGCACGCGCCGACTCGCACCGCCACCTGGATTCCGTCGAGCGTTCGAGCCAGGACAAGACGGGACGATCGATTCGATCGAGAGGTGGAACCGTCCCCGAAAAAGAAGGGGTTAGCCCTCCTCCCCCTTCCGATCGAACCGAAAACTGTTCTCGTCCCCGACAAATTGCTCCGACCCTTCCAGGGCTCCTTCCCGAGGTTCTCGACCCGTTCCTCCTCGACGCGATTTCCGACTCGCGGAACTCGAAAGTCCCGACTCGCCAACGTGGACGCGGTCGTCAAGGATACGCGGCCCACCTTTTGGCTAAATTTACCCGGCAATAATTATTTTCCTTCTGGGTGGCGAGCAGCTGCCGCTCGCCGTGTCGGCGATCGGGCGATTTCTGGCCGGGGTTCAAGTACACCGGTAGTCAAGTGCAATTATTGTCAAGTACGATCTCGAGCCGATTCCCGGAGAAAAGTCGCATTTCCGCCGCGATGACGCGAGACCCGCTCTCACCGATGCTTTGCACGGCATCGGCCGCTCGCGTTGGACGGTAAAAGACATTTTTATAGACACTAAACTGTAACAAAGTGCGGGTGCACCGCACCTGTAATACACGTCGCGTGTTTATAGCCTCGTTTATACGGCCCCGCGAGTGAAATGTCAAAGCCCTCCCCTGACGGTGAGCGAAAGCCCCGCTGTTCTAAATATTCCTAGCAAAAAAAAAATAATATACATCCACCGGGTCGCCGTTCCCAATTGTACTCCGCGATCGAGTCAATTTAAATGCGATGACCCTTAACGGGGAATCAACATCGATTACTATTTTTCACATCGATTTAAGTGCAATGACCCTTAATGAGGAATCAACGTCTTTTTACGTGGGTTTAAAAGCAATGATCTTTGGCGAGGAATCAACATTTTCTCGCGGAGGAAAATCAATTTCTCCCGTGTCGAATGTCGAACGACGAATCATCCTATCCGTTCCCTTTCAAGGATCGTTCGTTTTTCGATCGACTTGACGTCTCGCGTCGACGATTATGGACCCTAACTGGTGCCAGGGGGTGGCGAGATGGCGTCGTTTCTCCGCCGGAGAGGACGAATCATCCGAGGGCCCGTCCTCGTGGGGGGTCGTCCCAGCGTGCCGGGAGCTGTTTTATCGGCACGTAATTGCTAATCACGGGATACGCCGGTCTTTAGCCATCGGGGCGCGAATTAGCCCACCCCACGTTGTCGGAGGGAAGAATCTCGATTAACGCTCGATTCGGTTTATCATTCCGTTCTTCTCCTTTCTTCCTCATCCTGAATGTCGATCATTCTCGTGCGAGCGATCCGAAGGATTCTGGAATTAAAATTAAAGAAGAACCACGAAAGAACCACCCCGAAGTGGCCGAAGAGCGGACGGTACCCGCGTCCATCCGCGGTCGATAAGGTAGCTCCCGCTCGGCGCGTCCACCTCTCGGCCGTTTCCTTCCCGTTTCCGACCGCGATCCGTCGATGGTTGATAACGGCGCATGGTGGATCACTCGTGAGATAAGGAACCCCATATTACACCCGAGCAAAGGGAAAGGATATGGAATCGAGTGTACGCCTCTGTTTCGCCGTTCGTGTCCTCGCTGTCAGAGACGAGGGGCGGTAGTTTGAAACCTGCGATTACAGGGAGGGTCATCGAATTTGTGACCGTAGGTCAAACGCGACTCCCTTTCGATCTGGGACATGTCCCGGTGCGCGATACCGGGGAAAGTGAATTATATTTCAACTTTCGACCGATAGTTATCGAGTAACGAGCGCGTCATGGCGGAACGGAGCACGAGGGTCCTGTCCAGCGAATGGACATTGGGAAGGCGAGCTCGGATCGTTTCAATTTTTTTTTTCCCTTTTTTTTCAGTATCCGAGTTCACCCAGGAGCTGGGTGCGGCGATGGAGACGCACGCCTCCACTGTGCGTCGACTGGTGGACGAGTATCGAGTGCGATCCGGAGAGTCGGGAGATGCGGCGGGGATGCGTAGAGTCTGGGAGAGTCTGCTGCGACAAGTGGAGGCCGATGCATCGGCCCATCTCGACTTCGCCTCCGTACTTCAGCAGCAGATCTCCAGACCCACCCTGGAGGCGACCTTCCACAGAAAACTGCAATCTAGGAAGGTAATATTTCTTTCCTCGCTATTCATGGAAATATTTCTTTAGTTCTACATTTTTTTATTTCTCTGGGGTAGGAATCTTGAGCAATGAAAGGCCGAATTTATTTTTTCGTTCAGGTCTTCTCCCATCGGGAAGCGTACGAGCAGGTGGTCGGCAAGGCCGAGGAGAAGCTGCAGCGGGCAAGGGCGGAATATAAACGCGCATACGGCGCTCTCTTGACGAACGAAGGCTCGGCCGATCCGGACACCTTGAAGAAGGCGTACCTGGAGGCGCACAACGCCTACGTGATGCAGCTCAGGGCAACGAACGCGATCGCCGAGCGGTACCAGCTGCACTGCCTACCGGGCCTCTTGGGCGAGATTTCGGAGGTCTACGAGGAGCTGTTCAATCTGGTCAGCAATTGCGTGGTTGGGATCTCGGATGCTGCCGGCGAGCGGTCCAGCGAGCTAGCCAAGCGATACCAAGCCATCGCCAAGGAGGCCCAGGTAGCGGCACCCTCGAACGATCTCCAAGCTCTGGCCAAATCGCTGATGCCGAACGTCACTCCGAGGAAGCCGGTCAGGAGATTGTTCGTGCCCCCCTCCCCTCCGGAGCAAATCCCAACGGAGAGGGTGAACCAGGTGCCGGCTTTGAGGGACGAGCTGGTGCCTACCGGGACCAGTACCCTGCCGCTCGTCGAGGACCTGAGAATGGAGTTCGAGAGCCTCGGACAGGAGATCGCTCGACTGCAGGACGCCTTGGACGCTCTGATGAGAATGCAACGAAAGTACGATTCATTTGTCATTTATGACTGATTTCCCCCGAGGTCGGAGTCTAAGTGACGAGTTCTCCGTTTTACAGAAGCGCCGAGAGCAATCTCTACACGAAGGTCGCCGAATTACAGGAAGATATCTGCATAAAGAGGTTCGACCTCGGCGTGGCGCAGCTGCATCTGGCAGCGGTGCAAGCGCAGGTAATCCCCGCCGCGTTGTCCTAGACTTTGAACTATATTTGCGGAATCCCACGACGGATCTCATGACCCCAACTTTATCCACGCTGTCGAGTTTCGGGGGAAACTTTTCGCCTCGACCGTTCTCGACGACAAGATTCGCGGGACGGGCTCTCGACGTCGTCTTTCGCGAGAGCTCGTCTTATTTATTCCGCTGCATCTCGTCCGGATGCAAAAATCGGGCGACGAGGCGAGTCGACCGCGTTTTCGTGGGATGATATTCCAAGGCCATGTGGGCTGGACATCGACCCGGACGAGGAGGAGACGGTACCGCAGCTTCCGGCTCTGGATCCTCGACTGTCTGAGGTCTCCGGAGAAGCTTCGATCCGCGCATCCTCCCTTTCGCCAGGTCGCCGAGGGCGCGACCGGGTGCACCGACTGCTTAATTCGCGAGTCGCGAGGGGGGCAAAGACGGCGCCGGGAGGGGATGGAGCGGGAAATAAATACGGCGCGACATGCGCGCTCTCAACTGGGTCAACGCGGCCAGGCCCGCCACTCTGAAAATCCATCCAGTAGCGAGTGCCTAGGTCAGGACTCGGGAGAGAATCCGTCGATACCTCGCCATGGGCTGGACGACGCTGCGTTCCCGAGTCGTTAGTAATCGAACCTCGGCTTACCGAACCTCGTTGACGATCTGCCCTGAGTGTCCCCGTCCCGCCTTCGGGGGCGGGACCCACCGCGACGCGGTTCCGACGCGGTTTCGTTGCGGCTCCGACGCGGTTCCGACGCGGTTCCGAGGCTCGTTAGTGCGCGAACCGATTCGAGCGGTTGAGATGGGGCAAATACCAAAAGAGAAAGAGTTAACGAGCAATGAATTATTCGTTACCTCTTACCCCGAGTAAAAAGATTAGTTGTCCGAGTCATATTTAATTGCAAGAAACAATTATTTCGTTGCGAAGAAAAATCATCTCGTCGATTTAAACGAATTTTGTTCACTCTCCCGGACGTTTCTTTCGACGTACTTGATCACAGGATTTCGTTGCAGTAATGCAGATTTTTTTTTATTCGACGAACTATTTTTTTTCTCAGTGTACGATAAGACGGGGTAGTTCGCCAGTCTCGAGGCACGTCGTGCAGGATTTAATTCGGCCATCGTCGAAATTTCGTCCTGCGGCCGGAAGGGGTCCGAGCCTTCTCTCGTTCGCCCCTTCCCCGTTCTCGGCCGATCCAATTAACGGACGCGAGACTCTCTTTCCGTCGCATTAAAACTGCATTGGCTTCCGCTCGTAGGCTCCGGTGCGGCCCGCGAGTTTCCGTCGGGCACGAGGGCCGGAAGAAGCGAGGAGGAAATGTTCCTCTCGGTGTACGGACGTCGCGGCTCCAAATGGAGAGCTCTTCGGAAAAACGTCGTCGACTCGGAGGTGGAGGCAGGCCCTAATTTTTTTTTTAATCGCGCGGAAAAAACGCGAAGTTCCGCGATGTCGTCGCGGAGAGTCCTTATTTTCGACTCGGCTACGTTACTAATTTTTCACCCGGAAACTCGGGTCTTGCTCCGTATCTCGCGACTTTTTTAAATTGGCTTTTAATTCATGTCTCTCGAGATTTGCTCCGCGATGACGAGAAAATTATTTTAACGTTTGTGCAGTCGAAATTACGTGTATTCGTGTTGTTTGTGATCGCAGAAAGAACTCTTCGGGGGTGGAGAGGCCGGCCAGCCGGATGGCATCAGCAGCCGAAAAATGTCAAATGGCTCGACCGGAAGTACCAAACACAAATGGCTGAAGGCCTTCAAGAGTCTCAAGACCAGCTCTCCGACAACCCCCCCTCCCTCGGACAAGTAAGAATTCCCCCGATATCGCAATTTTCGATTTCGAGTCCCTCGCTTGTGCGATAATCACGAAGATACCGGAAACCAAAATTCTCTTTTTGGTTCTTGTCCGGAATAAGTACATTTCTTTTTTCTCGGAAAATGAAATTTTGTGAGTTCTAAGAGCTTCATTAGGACTTTTGTAATCACGTGTTGAAGTTTTAAATTATTCGGTGCACCCAGGTTGGAGAAGGGTTTTATAAGCACCTTAATTCTTAAACGAACGTAGTCGGTTAGGTAGACCTTCCAATTACGATTCTAAGGAAGGCACCGAGTGTCCGATCTTGAAACTATGCTTGCGTTTATTTGTAGCGAACCGTTGCTCGATTTATACCGACCAACGCGTCAGCGTTTCCGTATCTTCGAGGTCGCGTCGCGAACCTCCGCGTAAGAGGTATAACCGTGCTATCCGCTAGTCGTAATAATAAAAAATACCGTTTATTGAATTTCTCCAACTAACAAAGAGGGAAACAGGCGATGTACCACGCGGTATCCACGGTGGTCGCGATGTCCAGGTACGCTCAACTTTCATACGACATTAATCTACGATATCAATCACCGAATGTCAGTCTCGACGGGGATAGCCGATATCCCGTGATTCCAGACGGCATCTTAAGGCGATGTAAAAGTGGCGTCGAATGAAATTTCAATGTTTAAAAAATTTCTTAATGGAAATCTTAAAAATTGTATATAAAAAAATGAAATTTCATGGGTGTCAGGATCTTCCTTATAGTCTCCATGTTTTTATTGTAGTTTGAATTTCATGAATGATTGACCCTTCGGATGCCACTTGGACATCCCCTTAAGAGAGAAATTCCCGTCTCGCGAGTCGATCGATGCGGAATCCGATATACAGGGTCGATCCGTTTCAGGAAGAGTCTCGAATCCGAGGGCGGACATTCCTGGAGGGAATACACGTATCGCAAGATAACTCCGTGCGACGCCTGCGGACAAGTCCTGCGAGGCCACAGTCGCCAGGGTCTCAGATGTCGAGGTTGCAAGGCCAACGCACACGCGGACTGCATAAATCTGGTGCAACCGGCGACGTGTCCGAGTTTAGGAGCTAAACGGAGCGGCGGGATTCCGCTGCTGAGACGGCAGCGGACCGTCGCACCCCCCGAGGACGCGCCGCAACCGGAACACAGTGAGTAGCGGAAAAGGAGCCGATCGAGCTCCCGATCGAGCTCCCTTCGCTCGAAGAACTCGTTGGCTGACCCCTCACGGTTCCTTTTCACTTCCGACTCGGCGAACGGCCTAGATCGATTCCCGAACGCCGAGGAAGCACGAATCGAGCACGAAATACGGGCTAATTCTAACTTCATTGGGTCAATGCCACGTTTTCTCCGAGCGACCTAGTTTGCACCCACTACGAGGAACGAAGTTGCGAGCCAAATTGGAAAACAACGAGCAAACGATCTCGATTGCCCAAGTGCCCGATCGAGTCGAAACTCCACGCCGAGAGAAAAGAGTTGGTTGACTCAAAGAAATATGCCCTCCGGCGACAAGATCCTGCGATCGAATATTGCGAACTTGATGACGTTAATTTTTCATCCCGACGAAATAATTGTTTCTTGCAATCGTGCATGATTCAGGGAACTATATGTAGATATATTTGTTTCAGTCAACTATTTTTTCTCGGTGCAACTAACCACGATCATCTCGTCGTTTCATCCGCCACTGCCATACGATTAATAGTCTGTCATCGCGCCGCAATAATGCCAGTTTCGTAACTCCCGAACACGAGCTAACCGTCGTCGACGAGGTATATACGTTCCTCGGGTTATAGGCTGAAACCGCTACTCGCAAATCCGCCAGGAGTGGTCGAAGGCGGACGTAACGCGTTTGGTTCGCAAGTCGATCGGACGCGGTGCAAACTAGTCGGAGAACTCCTCGAAATTTGGAGGAACCCTTTGGTGGCCCGTGGAACGAGATCGATCGTCGATTGGTCGATCGACGTCGCCGCAAGCTCGCACCAGTTCCGATGCGCGCGACTTTCGTCGCGGAAAGTCTGACGATCGGAGCGGAAAATCGCGCGCATCGGAATCGAAGGCGACCGGTATCGGACCAATCGGACGCGACCGACGCACCCCGGGATACAATGGCGCGGCTCGACCCCACTGTGCTTGCATTTCACCCTGGCAGACGTGGACGCCATCTACCAGGTGCTCAAGCAGGCCGGCGAAATCCGGGGAAATGCGACAAATTCACCACCTACGCCTCCCACCGCGGATCATCCTCCCTCCGGTGCGGCACCTTCGTCGGCGAGGACCTCCTCCCAACCTTGTTCCTCGTCCACCTCTGGTAAGCCGCCCTCGACGGACTCGCTTCCGGCGACGAGTCGAGGTGCCCTTCGCTCGGTAGCCGATGGGTCACACGGTCGAACTTTTACGTTTATCGGTCTTATCCCGACGAGATTATCGACCGCATAGATTCACGGTTCGGGCTAAATTTCCACCTAAACTGCTCGACTCGAGCCTGGACCCTCTCGATGGCAGAGAAACGTCCGACACCGCGCAGCGGCCTCGCGCGCTGAAATCGGATTCCGTGCATTGAGAACGAGCAACCATGCTAAATCCGGCACCTGGGGCATGGCGCGATCCGGTCGTTGCTACCCGTTGCTACTTAGGTACCCACTTCGAGTCGGCGTTTCCAGCCTCCGAGTGAATACCCGCGCACGGAAAAAAAAAAATAGAACGGTCAGGAAAACCACAATTGTGGTAATCGTAGCCATTTTGGGACAATCCGGGTAGGCGGTAACCGGCGTAACATGATAAAGGGTTACTTCACCATTTAATCAAGGTGACTACCAGAAACGAATTTCATCGTACTCGTAACCTCTTCGTATACTTTCTTCTTTTACCAAGTTACTCCGGTTGCCATAACCTCCTAGGAAGGTTATCCCAATTGTTTTCCTGACCATTCGGTTTTTTCCGTGCGGTACGGTCTGTGCACGCTTTCTTCCCGGATCAACGTCGCGTCGTTCGGTTCCACCTGAAACTGACTCGGAGGAAGTTCCTCCCAGACGGTTCCGATATCGTTCTTCAGGGTGGCGCGCGAAATCGGGCTCGGTACGACGACGTTGACCCTTCCTCTCTCTCTCTCTCTCTCTCTCTTTCTCTGTCTCACTTTCTCTAGCTGTCCTCGCGACTTCCCAGCTTCGGGGACACGACTCGCCCGTCGAACCCTCTCCCCTCGAGCGTTTGCTCGACCGACCCTCCCCTGGGCCGACGACGCACCTCCGGGTGTTCCGGCCAGCCAATTATTTCTAGAAGCTCGTCGTCCTTACGAGCCCCCTCGGAGTTTCGTCAGGCCCGGCATCGGGAGCGATGCCAGAGCCCCTGGTCCCCGGGTCCGCTTCTAACGACTCTAATCGAGCGCCTCGACATCTAACCCCCTAACATCGCCCGACGCCCCGTCGTCGACCTCATCGTCATCTCCGGGCTCTCTCGAGCCCTCCCTAACGCGCTAACGCCGTCTCCCGAGAGCAAACGCTCCAAGATCGTCCGCTTCGGTTGACCAGGGCGCGGCAGCGGGGGCTCCACCTCTGGGACTCGGCCTTTCGGACAACCCCTCGTCCTCGTGCCTTCGGAACCCACGGCCAACCCGCCGCTGCAGAGAAAGCGCAGCTCCAGGAAGAGACGCTGACGCCGACCCGACCGCGACGCCCTCTCGAGCGGGGCGAGAGTCCTATCGAGAGGACCGAATTTCGACCTTTTTCTTCTCTTTTTTTTTTTCAACCTATTCCGAAGCCACTGGCTTCGGAACGCCCGAGGACCTTCTTCTTCTCGTCCCGAGGAGGACGAGGTGAGTTTTGAACCGAGGTACCGGGAGAGAGGACGAGCCTCTCGCGATCTCCCCGGGGTACCTCTTTTTTGTCGCTAGGAGATCCTGCTCGGAATTCGATTCGGGATTTTAACTCGATTTAGCACGCTTACGAATATACGATTTCTCCTGCCGAGTGTGGTACATGTGTGGGAAAGTTTACGATTGATTTTCGGTTATTTCTTTTTTTTTTCCCTTTTTTTTTTCTAGGGAAAGTTGAGGTATTTTCCTAATCTCTTTACGGTTCCTGTCGGGCGTTGCAGCGACCGGGTGCCGAGTACTCGTTGTACCTTGTCGAGTTACGTGTCCCCTTCCAGTATCGTATACCCCGCCACTCCGTGTGATACACGCTACTGCCCTTTGCGAGCTATCTCGTTGGCGTTACGACGATCGACGCACTCTCCTGCGATTGGGTTTTCGTCTAGTGTGGGAACACCAGCCGCGTTAAGAGAACGAATGGCCAAACCACCCGTGGACACTCGCGGAGCGTCGATTCCGGTACTCTCTCGAAATGTGTAAATACTCGCAATAAAAGCCCTACCGATTTCCCTTCGCAGGAATTCTTTTCATTATCCGTTCGTCTCCTCCGTACGTCGAGTCGTGTCCCAAACTTCGCAGCGTCTTTTCCGTCTCTCTCTCCGACCCGATCTTTCTCTTCTCTGCATATTCACTCCGCATCGTCCGCATACGCGGTTTTTCTCTGTCGGTCGCGTATACGAAGCCGATCGATGAAACAAAATTAACGGATGCACGACTCCGATCGAATCGGAGAACGCCGTTGCTCTTTCGATATCGCGAAAACGTCGTCCCAGGTAACGACAGAGAATTGCCCCGAACACCGTCGAACGTGTGACTCGCACATTTGAAATGTAGACTTAGCTAGGAAATGCCGAAGGTCCCGGCCACCGGATATCGATATCGACCTTTAGGGCGGATTTGGTCGATATCGACGTCGGTGGTCGATCGCTGAGCGGATCGTATAATCTTGACATCCGTATATCGTGGACCACGAAGCTCCGCACAGTCCGCAACGGCGGCGCGAAAGATTGAATCTGAGGATGAAGAGTCTTAGCCTCGACTCGCCCGAGGGCTCCACCCACGTCCGACATCGGCCACGAGATTGCTATGCCTCGGGTCAAAGGGAATCGACGCCCCCCAGGCACTCCGACAGCGGCAGCATCAACCGATTATGTGAGAAATCCACGTCCATCTCGGTTTACCGTTCGATCGATGATCCAGGTAATCCAGAAATCGATCGGTTTGACCGATTGACCCGATTCCTCCGCAGCTCCCTGCAGCCCCGGCCAGGGACACCCCGTGGGCCACAAACGCGTGCGAAGTGCCATCAGGATGTCGAGCATGGAGCTGCCGGACGAGAACGAGAAGTCGTACTCGTCGGCCAGCACGTCACCCTGTCCGTCGCCCCACGCCAACAATCAGAACCATCTAAATCCCCCAGGGAAACGCGTCCTGCCGCCTAACAACCTTTACGTCGTCCTCTACAACTTCACCGCTCGCCATCGCGACGAGCTCGACCTCAAGTGAGTACATCGATCCATTCCACAACGAGACGTTTCGGTACGACTTTTCCATGTTTGGCGAATTATTCGGTGCAGTCAGTACGGAGAAAAATTTTATTAACGACTTCTTTTATTTTCACCTTAACTCGGTCGAATTTCACGAACGTTTGCAATCACTGCGCAGAGCTGGATACAAGGTGACGGTGATAGACAAGCCGGATCCGGACTGGTGGAAGGGAAAATGTCTAGGAGGCCGTGCCGGCTACTTCCCCAGTGCATACGTGATGCGCGTGGACCCGGGACAGAAGCCGCTGCAGGTGACGCGGAATCTGCAGCTGGCCGACTCGACGACGCTGCTTCGCGACCAGGTAGGGTACCACCGGGCCCAGGAGTAGCCGGTCGTCAAGGACGCGCCTCTCGTTGCAGATCGTGATCCAGGTCGGGGAAGAGGTCGACGGCGTGGCGATGGTGCGGTGCGCCGACGTGGGCTCCTCGGAACAAGCGACGAAGGAGGGGGCGGTGCGCTTCAAGGAGACGCTCTGTCCCCTGAAGTACCTGCAAGAGGTGTGACACCCGCCCACGAGATCCTACTTGGAAGGCGACCAGCGCCAACGATGCGGTCCTCGCCCCACCCTTTCGGCGGCTCGTCGTGGCCCCGTCCCCGAGAAGTATTACGACTGCCTACAGTGCACCGAGCGATGTCGCCACGCCATGGGAAACGGATGCAGGGTGACGGAGATCGGCGCCAGGTACCTCCAGGTGCGCGCAACGAGTCGCACGAACGGCGGGTCCACCCTGAAGACAACCTCGCTGAAGATGGAGGAGAGCTTCGCCCTCACCGAGGAGAGCGTCGGACCCGCTCGAGCACCTCGGACCCCAGCGAGGAAGAGGTCCTCCCTGGCGCGGCCCGTCCGCGTCCACGACTCGTTTCCTCGACCCGAGATCGGCAACACCTACGGCGTGGACAGGAGTCGCCTGGGATACGGCTGCGAGACCGCCGAGACCGCCTGGCCTATGAGACCCGGACTGGGTCTCGACGAGGTGCTGGAGCTGGCGCTCCCCCAGCGCAAGGCCGGCTCCAGGATGGCCAAGGACGGCCAACGCTTCAAGGATACCGAGAGACTTCTCAAAGTACTCAGCATCAGTAACGTGGACCAAGAGATTAGGTACAATGTCAAACGGTGTTCCGTCATGTAGCTCCTCCTTTTTACCGTCTACGGTGACCCATCGGGGAGCACCTTCCCATTTTTTTCTTCAAGGTTCTGATTTTCGGCCAAGCCAAACCTGCTTCTTGTCGATGCATTAGGCCGAAGGCTGACGGAGTAGCGCCAGTCGGGATCGACGCGACGTCCCCGGGCATCGAGACTCGGACTTGGGGTGGCTCCAATCGGCACCTCGTCTAAATGGAACGTTGACGTCTATCCTGAACGAGATCTTGAGAACTTGCGGGAGAGAGGTCGAAATTGTCGAGGGTCGGCCCAAATTCGGCGCTTCGTTTGGTCCAGAATTTCATTTGGGTACCGTAGAAATTAGAGAAACGAGCGCATCAGGAGACAGGGTAACGAGTCAAGGCGGAATCGCGCGGAACGACGAATCGTCCGGGAATCCTCTCGGGACCACTCCAAGCCCTATTGGCCTAACGCAAAAGAAGAAACCGTCCCCGAAGAACCGATAACTCCATGGAATCATGGCCGGAGCTTTCCGGCGCATTTTCCGTCACTAATTGGAATTCCGCGTAACGGTTCCGCGTCGATCGAGACGTTCCGATTTTTATGACGCATCCTGCAATCTGACACCAAAAGCTCCAAGTGATCGCCCCAAGGATGGGATTCGACGCGAAGAAGAAATCGCGGTCGGCATGAACGTACTCGCCGAAGCTCGGATAGAATGCACGTCTAATCCCATCCGAAAATGGACCCGAGAATGGCAGCTGATAATTATAGGTTTCGTCAAGTACAACACTTCACCGAGCATTTCTTACTAGATACTCCGAGTAAACCACCGCTGCTTCTAGCGGAGCAACGTTAAATTACGATACCACCCGACTAGGAGTAGGCATTTGATGCAAGATGCATTTAGGGACTGCATAGCCCTGAAGTAACTGGACATCGCCGACGTTTCCTTGCACCACCTTCTTTTCTCGACGGCAAATTTACGACGACTCGGCTAGGGTTATCACTTTCGCCTCTTCTTATCGTTTCGTTACTTTATCCTCCAGTTTCGCGTCCTTAGTCCCGATCGCGTTCGGAAGGACGCGACTAGCGTTAAGAATTACTAAGAGAGAACCTATTCTAACGTTTATTATTCTCATCATTACTATAGAAACCGTATTGCGAGTGCCCTTCCCTTGTTAAGAAAAAAAAAAAAAAAAAAGAGTGTATCGGGTTATTAAGTGTATACTCCAGGATAAGCTATTCCAAGTACCACGCCCAGTATTTTCAAAGTATTAACAACGCGAATCCGTATCGTTGCGACCGGCTCCACTAGCGATACAAAAAAGAAACAAAAAAAAAAAAGAACAAGAAAAGCACCGTACGTACGGACCGACGTGCGCGGATAATCAAAGACTTTGATCCTCCGATGGCGGAAAATCTCAGACCGAGCGTTCCGATAGATAGCGAGGTCTGCGATTTTTCCCGATCAAGATTCGAGACTCGCAGAAAACGAATCCCGCGAAGCGATGGATCGAGGATCGCTTCTTCGAGTACCTCGACGTCTCGTCGTAGTTTCTACGGAGGCTCAAATCGATCCTCGCGTCGCCAAAAGTCTCGAATCGAAACCTACTGTGCTGTCGAGTGCCATACATAGCGTTTGATATTATCCTCTAGTTCGTTTACATAAAATCTTTGGTACACACCCGAGTAAACGTGTTTATCCGAGTACATAGACTGCACGAAATATATTATCTATGTATGTTATTCAAGCGTCTCATTTCTGCATGCAGATTAGTAGGCGTGGTTCGAGGCAACTTCCAGTTCAGCGCTGAATTTTAATCACGAGGAAAATAGTACTCCGTCCTTGCGATACTTGGGTTAGGTTCTAACGGCATCCACTTTATTCCGCCTCGTTTCCTTCTAGACAAGTGCAAGAATCGAGAACCGTCGAGGTCTGGCTCGAGATGCATGCGTGGTCGAAGGAAGATGATCGAGCCAGAAGATCGGGGCCGAGAACGGTGACGATGAGCGAGTTGAAGGAGTCCTGGACCCTCACAGTTTGTATTTGGCGGCCCTGGTGATGGGGAACTTGTCGCCGGTACAGACGCCCCTGAAGTCGTCCAAGGAGATGTCGTAGATCGCCACGCCACCCAGACCCTTGGCCTTGGCGTAAGACGCCTTGTTGCCCGCGGTGTCGGGGTCCTCGTAGCCAACCCAGATCCCATCTGCGCTGGTCTCCTCGTTGTATGGCTGATAAGCGTAGGAACCGTACTTTTTGGAGGGATCGCCGACCCGTCGCAGCCGTCCAACCGCGTGCTCGGTCAGGCGAGAGCAGACTTCGGCATATGAAAGGAGGCCAGGAGTCGCCGTGTGGGGTCCTTCGGCACCTGGTCCATCGGTCTCTATCGGGGGTACTCCGGAGATCTGACTATCGGATGTCAACTTCCACGTGCGAGCGAACGCGGGGATGCCGATGATCACCTTGGTCCCTGGAGTTCCGCGCTCCAGCCAGTACCTGAGGAACGGTTTCCGGTGATTTTCTTGACTGGTCTAGAGACAATGACAGCAAGACTCACCTGACACTGGAGTCGATGTTGTCCTGAGGGACGCGCCCGTAGCTCTCGTAGATGGGTGCAGGGTAGTCCGCTTCCTTGGGGTTGCGCTCCGGGGTCTTCTGGTCGAAGGCCAGGATGTGGACGGCGTCCAGGTTCGGGGCGATCAGTCTTGCGTCGTAATATACTGAGGAGGAAACGTGGAGATGAGAGGCGTTTCGGGATCTAGAGTCTTTCTGGAAGACAGGGATGACCCACCACTGGCGTTCACGTGCGGCAGGATCGACAGGGTCACGGCCTTGTTCTTGGGCCGGAGCTGAGCCTTCAAGTCTCGGACCAGGATGGTGAACCCGTCGCGGTGCTCCTCCTCCTTGTCGTCCTTAAACTTCCCATAGCCGAAGGTCTTCTTGATGCCGTGCCACAGGGAGCCGAAGGTGCCGCGGTTCTTCTTCACCTTGACCTCCGGGAATTGCCAGGCGAGGTCCACCCCGTCGAAGTCGTAGTCATTAAAGAGGCGATTCACCGAGTTGATGAATTTCGTTCGCGCCTCGCTGGTCTCGAGCTGTCGGATTTATTTGTCGTCTTAGAATCTCGACTTCTTATTTTAATTAATTAGTACGTATTGAATTAATTTGCTTACCACGGTGAGGTACTTGTGAGTGTCCTCGTAGGGGTCCGCGTTACCTCCGATTCCAAGGTAGACCTTCAGGTCGGGGAAGGACCTCTTCAGCTGAGTTACCAGTCTGTAAAAGGCGTACCCTGCCCCGGTGTCCAAACTCGGATTTAGGGGCACCACCTCGAAGTCGTTAGCGTTTATGCCGGCGAATCCGTAAATCAGATGCGTACACAGCGACAAGGCTGGGCGAAGGTCGTCCACTTGGAATTTGCCAGGACCTTGAATCACGCAGGATAAATGGTACTAACGATTATGCTTGAATTTCTCGACCCCTCCGGCTGACGCTAGTCGACCTTTCGCTTTCACTGAAATCCTCCTCGAGGCTGTCGAGACGTTTTCGCTCGATAAATCGGGAAAGCTCGCGTGACGTCGGTTCGCAGCGGAATATGCTCCCACGTTTGATTTATAATCCCGAAACGGGTCTTTCCGTTAGAAGAAGTCCTGCCTTTACCTGATCTCTCGAAGGACGTTGAATTCCAATAGCAGACCACCTTGTTGTGCTCGTGAGGATCCGCGGACAACACCGCGTGCTCCCCGCACAGGAACAGCACGACGGCGATAAACGGTAAGGTCTTCATCTTGTGTTCTAAAACGAATCAAGAGGGTGAATCAAGGGTGATCTCTCGTCCGTATCCTCTCGCGAGAAAAATTTCCTTCCTCCCTAGTAAACGTAATTATTTTCATCATTCCGCGATGAGCTTACCGGAGACAAAATACATTGGAATATCGCGCGGAATATTCCAAGATAAATACCATGTAAATATGATTTTAATGAATTTTTAGGAACGCGACGTTCTCGGGGACCGAGATAAGGGTCGCGGTCGAAACCGATCGCGTTATCGCTACGACGTTAATGGGGAGGCGTATTTCCTGGACGTGATTTTATGTGGCAGTCTCGATGCTTTCCGGTGAACTACTCGAGTGACTTTTCCATTCACACTCCCGAAGGACCGACTTACCTCGCAGCAAGAGTCAGACTGTCCGAAAGGTTCGGACTCCCGGGGACTTTGATACTTCGTCTTGTTTTTCTGCACCAGTGGTGGGGCTTGCACGAATTACGTCACCGGTCTTGAAGAAAGAGCGTTTCATCGTCGTCTCGTCGGAACCGCGGCGTGTACTTCCCAGAAACCGCGCCCGAGAGGAAATATGTATCTCGGATTCGATATCCTCCTTTGACCCGGTGAGCCCTCGACGACTCGATCGATTTCTTAGGGAAACGTGGGGCGAGCAATTTCTCGAAAAAGAGGATGATCTCACAGGAGAAAAGACCCCATCGTTCCTTCGTCGCCCAAGACATTCAATATAAATACCTCTAAAATATGCCTGCAGAAAAAAAAAAATTTGGCCGACTCAAAAAATTATTTACATTAACGATATCATTTTTCTTCTCGACCAAATAATTGTCTCTTGCAATTGTATATCATTCGGGCAACGATTTATACTTGTTTCGGTCAATTAATCTTTTTTCTCAGGGCGAGTACTTTTCGGAGCGCAATGAGCGGCCCCGAGAATTCCAGTTTCCTAATGTTTGCGTTTTTACTTCTGAGAAAGCGAAACTCGATATTGACACGAGTTCTAGTCATATGTTGGCATTTCTCAAGGCGCTCCAAGATGGAGGAAGTGGTCCTGGAAGGAGAAATTTCCTTCGTGCATGACTCGCGGCACAACATTTCGAGGAGCTCGATACGTGTCAAGGTACATCGTTCGGCCTGAGAGGATATCGCGACTCTGCCAAGGTGCGCGAAAACGTCCCGCGACACCTTGAGACCGAATTAAAATTCTCCCCGTGGCTTGGAGGCAGCTGGAATACGCCGGTGATATTTTTCCTCATGGAGTCCGTGGGATACGAGCCTTGCGAATCGCTTTGCACGCGATACGCGCAATCGTCGGAAAATCATCGTTACAGGCAAACCAAGTCGGAAACGTCCTTCGCCGGAAGATCGATCAAGAATCGGAATCGACGGCGACCCTCGCCGTGACCATCTCGCCCAATCACGGTCGTCGGATCTATCGTAGATTCGCCGACGTATCTCGATTAATCACCCTTCCCTCCCCCCTGGATTTACGCGAATTCCCGGACCTCTCGTTGCCGAGATCGGATCGAGCTCGTTGGACCGATTCGAGATCTCGGATATCTCGGGCCGCGTGTCGCTTATCTCTCGTACCGCCTTTCCTTTTTCATAACTCTATCAAAGGATACGTTCAAGGTCCGGTGATCATCGAGGAGAACTCGATCGAGAAACAAACGCTGGCCGAGGCGAAGGGAAGAGCATCGAGCACGCGGCGATTGCTCGAATTAGTCAATGTACGAGGTCAAGAAGGAGAGGAGCAGCAACGAGATGATTTCGAGTTCCGTCCGAGCGACGAGGTCGCAGAGGTGAGGCTCGACAAGAGTGACAAAAATGTCCGACTCAATTGTGAAATTCTTTTCAGCCCGAATTTGACCGTCGATCGTCGCCTTAAGGGTCTTCCGATACGACTCGATGCCTCTTATCGGTACATCCTCCGAGGGGCTTAAGAGTGTTTTGCGGGTATGCGTTAATGTCGTCCCCGCCGTGATTAACGAGTAACGCTAGGAAATGAGGTCTGGACGCCGATAACCTTCGACCGAGATCAAACAGCCGGCTGTCGCTCTTCGTGGCGCGACCTCGATCCAGCAACCGCTGGAAAGCGCGATGTAGCTCTTGGTCGGTCTCGTAAATACTAGCTATTTACTTGGCCAGCGATAACCAAAATCGTATGTTGCCCAATCCGTGGACGCGTCGAACCAAATGACAACGAAACCGCTTTCGACGAGAAAATCCCCCCAAGGGCTCGTTGCACCTTGTGCGCCTTAAGGTGTATGAAAGTACACGGGTATCAAAACTGTCAACGGTTAAGTTCCCTCGTTGCGAGGATCGTTGCATCAGGAAAGGTATCCTGTGTCGTATGTCTGCCTTAGCGAGTTGCATAACTCTCGAGAGGATGTACGCTCTTACGATGGAGCAAACGTGGGAATGAGTCAGACTCATAAGCCGAGCAACAAAATATCCTCGGCCTACACGCTTCAAATTGACATCATGTACGCGGTGATCGAGAAAAAACGGCACTTTCTTCCTAGTGCGATCTTGGTTGAGTACGCTGCAAAACGACGTACCGGATGTAGTCCAAGACGAAGAGCCGTCCTTCGAGTTACCGAGCCAAAAATGATTTACGAGAAGGCAATTTATTGTTTGATCTTGTTTGCTGCCGTAAAAAGTCCCCGTGGGTCAGGAGGGGACGTCGGAGTTAAGAAATACTTGCTGCGGAATGATCACACAATGTGCCCTCGTTCTATGACCGGTACGTCGTTTATTCGATTTAAAACTGCCAAGTAGATACGCATCTCGTGGGTGGGTCATTCATCTGCGATTTCTGGAGTGATTAATTACCCCGCCAATTTTCCTCGATTAAGACGATCAAGGCATTTAATCGAATGTACCTTTACCCAAATGATCTTGTTTATTCAGGACGCTGAGTCAGCTTCGATGATAATCCCTTGTATGCATAAAGTTTAATTAAAAACGCTCGTTTTTATAGTGTAACACGAACCGGTGATAATGACATTTTACGCGTTTTATTATGAAAAAAACTTTTATGTACAATTGCATCGCCGTTATTATCCGTTCTTCCGTACATCTACGCTTGTAACAAACACTACACGACGTCTGTAAGAAACTTCTTAATTATATTTTAAGTTCTGATTGTTGCACGACTTACAAAACCACTTTACAAGTCAATAATTATCGCTACACGAAACTGAATGTAACGTAACGCGATAGAAATATTGTACAATAGCTGCTTTCCGATACTCCTGGTAGGAGTATGCTTCTGAGCTGGTTTTTAAGGATTGACCGCTTTGTACACAACCTTGTCGGAAGTCGAGCTTAAATGTCAAATTGAGTAACGGCAACGTACGTTCCATAGCTCTGTCGCATTTCGCGAGGTGATTGCTCCAATTTAAAATACATTCAAACGTTTAAATTTAATAGTAAACGGTGTGAAAAATATTTCACTCGTAATCATTTCTTTTATATCGGTGAATGTCAAAATAGAGCATTTCCGTTAAATTAAGAAATTGGATTCGCAGAATTGCCCTCGATTAAACGAATTTTCTGGAGAATTCACGCAAAACATTCAAAACCTGCTCGACGCCGCCATTTAACATTCTCATGCGACTGTATACACAGTTAGATGTCACGATTACGGTACTGGACGATAATTACCGTCTAGTAGCTTAATTGTAAGTAATCAGTGCATTTAAGTTGCAATCGTGGGTGCGCAAGAAATTTCGCACTAATATCATTTGTCATTATCGTCACGGCTTGTCATCTAGAAAAATACAGTTTATCTTACTTATTCGTTTCTTCGTGAGCCGGAATAACAACCGAGAATTTGGGGGCGATCGAGAGCACTTAATATGCAAGTGCTAAATATGTGAACTTGACTCCCTGCATCCCCTTTCAATTATCTAATAATAACAATGCTCTGGATGTTAAACATTTAAACATCGAATATCTAAATGCTCCTCTTTATTCATATTTTTTGCTCTTTGCGGTTGCGCGTTCCGGATGTTAATTATCAATCTACAAGCATCCGATTCAGAACCTATCGGTAAAAAAGTCACTCGGATAAACCCCTCTAGAATGCAGTAACTTCCAACGATACAATACTGAACAGTTACTTCAACATCAATGGAAGCACTGATAAAGCAATTTGCATGGTAATTCAAACTTGTTTACCTATATTCAGTCACGCTTTTCAGGCTTCAAATTATTGTTTGGATAGTCCAACTGATCGTCTTCGTCTGTGAAAGAAAAATAATTAAACACCTTGCATTTGGATGAATGGCTCCAAATCGTTCCTACTTTTAGGGCTTACCTTCTCCTTCATCTTCCCCTTCTATTATGTGCAGGTCATTATTTTTCGGCTGTGGTTCTTTGTAATAGTCCCCTTCGTATTGATCGTCTGCTCCATCTTGCCGTGCCTCGTCGAATCTGAAGAAAAGTTCGAGAAACGTGCATTAATTATATTTCTTCGGGCACCTTGATCGATTCTAAAAACTCGACGCATTTATTAAATGCAATAAACTCACCCTTGCAATCTTCCTAAATTATTCGGTTCTTCCCCGACTTCCTGGACACCAGGTCGGACTCTAAACCAGTGGCCATTTTCATTTCTTTCAAGTATTTGTTCTCCAACGTGTTTTCCTGCGGCTGGAGCCGGAGGAGCATCGATGTGATCATTATCCTCGGGTTTATTTTTATCCTTGTTATCGGTGTCTAAGAAATGATTTTCCGCGTACACATTTTTCGAGTTCTGAGCCGCGTCTTCTTTTTTCGGTGGCTCCTCTCTTTGCCGTTCCTCGTTCTCGTTTTTCAGATCAATGATCTTCGGTATTGGCGCAACTCCGTTGGGCAATTTTACTTTAGATATCGGTCTTAAATTATTTGCTTTCTCAGAGGCGACCGTGATCGAGTTTACGATGGTTTTAGTAGAAGACTTCGTCTTTGAAGATGCCATTGCCCTTAACTCAGAATTCGGAGTACTCTGAAAAAATTATAAATATGGTCTCAATTAATATTAAGAGCGATGCATCGGAATAAATATTTTTTCAGAAAAATTGCTTAAGCCCTAATGATCGCGACCCATTGAACATTAATGCGTGATTCTGAATTTGTTTTCTTGAACGATTCTACTTACCTAAAAAGAGCAGACTATCATTCATGTTACGAATTAGTCTAAGGGAGTAGCGAATTTCCTAGCTAATGGAACGATTACGAATTCTGCAATGTCTACAAAAGCGAGCGATGTAAGGTACACGTTCTAGGCTAATGCACCTTCTAAAGAAACATGCAGAAGGAAAGGAAAACCGTCATCAAGAGAACTTTGAAGAAGCAAACCTCTATAATTTATCATAATTACAGCCTCTACTTTCTTAGCTGTTCAAGCGCCGTTCTTCTAACACGAGCTCGGCTGAACGAAAGCTTGGCAGGTAGTTAGAGGTGCAAGGGTGCGAGTAAAAAACGCAAGCATAAAAATAACAACAGTTTATTAATATTTTAAGTAACACAGAGGAGTACAGGCACATTCAAGGCGACGTATACAACCCTTAATACATAACACGCTAGATGATTTCTTACTACTGTTCCATGTATGTCGTGTTCGAGACAAAGTCTTTCGAAGTACTACTTTTGTTAACCGATTAGGACAGGCGAGCAACTGAATTAAATCCAAACGTGTTAAAGGCCAGAAGCATGAATGACCGTGCGTTAGAATGGCAGGATTTAATTACACGTATTAATTTAATAACAATACCACTCAAATAAAATTCAAAAAGGTACAAACCGAAATCAACGCAGCGTGTTACTATCCAGAAATACTATTTCTCGATCGATAAACAGGTGTATATAGCCGGGGTGTCAAAAGTGTGATTAAGTTAACATAGTAACCATTCGACAGACACCCTTATTGTGCATGCAAGAACAATCGAATCCTTGCAAAAATGTCCACACTCGTTTATAATTCTCGTAAAGATTTTCCTCACTTGTGCATGCTTCGCTTCGAAATTCTAAAATTTACCCTAAGGGCGATAAGGCATTCGAAAAGTACGGGAAACGATCACTGAAGAATCACATCGAAACCAACATGTCTGGCAGATTTACATTAATTGACGCTAACAGGAAAGGTAGACAGAAACAATTCGACATGAAAAATTGTAGAGCCACTGCGAGTATTTATAAGGAACCAAAGCCAGCTAAAATCGCTACGATTTAAAAGTAGAACAGAGAGATGAAAGTGAAAATAAGCAAATGTAAAAGAGAAACAGATCCTCTACTCTACCTCTGCTACAACGGTTCTAAGAATCTCATATGCATAAGGGAAAATATAGCGACATACAGGATACATTGCAACCAATCGAATGTAAGGATCGTTCTTAACCGATTTTGCTAGTATTTCGACCATTGACGATTGCTATGAATCTCGACGATTCGATTTGTAGATCTAGACAGATACTTCGCTTTAATACTTTGTCCAGGACAGAAGGGAAACTCCCAATAAATTCATTTAAAAAAAGTAGCAAATTCTTCTAAAGTTCTCAAAAATATCAGAATCTTCTGCCAACAAATAAGTTTATACGCAGAATTGAAAGAAATATTAATTCACGTAATCTCTTCTCGTATATTCAGGCAAATCATCCCTTGAAGTCGTGTATTACACAGCTTCGTCAACATATAGACACGGATGATCAAAGGCAGAGCAGAGTTCATTAAAACTCTACATTCTTTATATCTTGGGGTGCTCAGATACATTTTAATTGATCTAGCTTTTCAGCTTTACTAGGATTCCCACTTGAGCATTCTTATTCTCTGAAAATATAGTCACTCTTGTTAAAACAAAGTGAGGCAATTCGGTGACACGCGAATAGAAAGCCCAGACAAATCCTTGCATCGTTCACGATTAAGAATTTGATGGGTAGCGCCTAAAGAACTCGTGGGTTGGAAGGATCCATCGATCCGTTTAGCTCGCGAGGTTTCGCAAGCGGTCCAGACTTCCTTGGAATCTGCGAAGATTTTTCCTGATCGAGAATTCGAGGAATGTTCGCGTTCCGATTTGGCGGCGGCAGTACACGCTTAGGGTGTTCGTCATCGTCTCTCTTTTTAAAGCTGCCCATATCTTCGACTTCCTTTTCGCTGTCCGCGTCGATGTCGGAAACCTTAGCCGAGAGTATATCTTTCCTATCCGCTCTCATTTGCACATCGTACGGAATCGGCAATGGTGCCTGTTGCCGTTCGTTAAGATCGTTCGCTCCGATTGGCACAATGTTGGCCCCCCTTTGGGCGAAGCCTATGTCGCTGATCTGCTCGTCTTGAAGACTCTCCTCATTCTTATCACCCAGGTTGCCCTCCCCGATCGGTTGATGGTCGCGTGGCGCTTGGAGCGGTTGGGGACTTTCCCTGATCTCACTGGGACGACTTACCTGTTGTTGAGCCGGAGACAACCCCTGAGGTGGTCCTCCCAGAGACCCGGGCTGTTCCCCGTGGTCCTGCTGCGGAGCCTGGGGACTCACTCCATTCGGGCCCGGGGACGGCGTCTTGCAGGAATTCTGGAAGAGGCCAATTCGAGTTCAGGACTCCCAGCGGTTGGCAAGCGATCGTTCCGTCGTTTAACGTTTCTCTTAAGTACCGAAATTACTTCCTACGGTCGAACGAGCATACCTTGGCTTCCTCGAGTTCTCGCTTCAACTGAAACACCTCCTTGTGCAGGTGTTGCAGCGTACCGTCGGTTCCTTCGGAGTTCTTTAAAAGTTCGTTATACTTATTCTCGAGCCCCGCTTTCTCGGTTTCGAGTTCCAAGTATTTGTTCTTCAGGTGCTCCATGGATTTGTTCTCGTCCTCCTTGGCCTTTCTGATCTGACTTCTCAGATCCTGTAACGTAGACTCCAACAGATTGGCGTTTTCCAGCGCCTGCTTCTGCCTCTTGTTACACTCGTCTTGCAGATCCTGATGCTCGGACTGCAGAATTTTATAAGTCTGCTGTAACGAGTTAAATCTCTGCATCGCCTCGATGCTGTCCTTGTCGCGCAGCGTCTTCTCGCGCGAAGCTCGCTGCTGAAGTTCCTGCTTCACGGCCGCATTCGAGCTCTTCTCCTCTGCTAGAGACTTCTCTAGCCGGACCTTGTATTCGAAGATCACTGGAAAAAGAGGTGAAAAGGTTAAGGCATCGCCGGACGACGACCGTACGGTGTAGAAACGTACCTTGAAGTTGAGCCGCCAGTGCCTCTTGCTGATGAGCGCACTCTACGTGGAGCTCCCTTAACCTGGCCATCTCCGAGGTGGCGGCGCGGTACAGGAACACGAGGAGGACGACGACCACGCCGCAACCTCCGTACACGGCCAAGCGGCCACCGCGACCTCTTCCCAGCCGAGAGCCGCTCATCTCTGCAAAAGATTCAAAATCCACCGATCAGCTGCAACTCTAGGAATATTTTACTGGGACAAAAAAATTAATTTGCAAAGTAAAAGGCACCGGATTTAAACGTCCAGCGTCGTCTCGCTACGTGATTCGACCATTACATCAATATTAAAATCAAAACGCCTCCACCGATGCGAGACTCACAATCGTTAGAGCCCTTCTCGAGCTAAAGGCAGACGAGTAGTCGAGGGTCGGAATACGATCCCCGGGAAAGCGACCTGGACCATAACGCGCTCTCTCTCCTCCCCCTTGTTTACGTCGACATTTAGCCGGAAGAGGGGGAAACGACCCCAACAAAAGGGAGAGAAAGGGAGAAAAAGAGGATACGCGCCGCCGGGAACCGAATTCCCGAGGCGGCGACGAACCTCCAGGGGAGCTACATCGGTTCGTCGAGTTGAGAACCTCGTTGCGACCTCGACGCAGGTGAAAGATGCGAGAGTCGGGAACTCTGGCCTGCGGCTTCGTTCGCTGGCGACAAGGACGAGACGAGTGTTTGCTTGCCGATAAGCTCAGAAATTGGAACGCACTTGGGCCTGAATTTCTTAAAGCAGGCTCGGCGTAATGACCCTACCAACCTGCCTAGATATTCAGTCGATACCGGACCTCTCGTTAATCGAATAGACTCCCGCGGGAAAGTAAGAAAGATGCCGAATAAAAAAAAATGCCGTAGAAAATCGGGAACTCCTAAAGTACGGATCTCTACTTGCTGCATCCGCGTAAAAAGCCGATCAGGGTGATGAGTGACGATCATCGAGCAGGTGAACGGAAGATCCGTTCCTCGCCTCTGAGAATAGACATAGAAAACGTGGGAACGTGCAGGCAAATACTCTTCCGCGACGCGTACACGGACGACCTAAATCCAATTGACGAGGGAGGCCAGGGACTCCGACATGGCGTCGGAAAATTGAAAAAACCCCATTAAATCAATTAACATTTGACCACGAAGCGAGGCGGCCTCGGACGATTCCTGCGGTCAGGTCGATTCGGGGGAAACGATCGCCGAGGTCTTGATCGGTCAGCGATAAATTCGCTAACCAAGCAGGCGCGAAAATAGAACACCTCGAGCGCGTCTCCAAGGGGACGGAGGAATTTAGGGAATTCCTCCAGTTTTTAGGCACCAGGAAATAAATCGAGTTCAACCTAAAGCCAAACATTGGCAAGGAAGCCGAGTACGTCCTCGCGCTCTCGAGATTTGCAGAGGCCTTTAAAAACGTGGGACAATGCGGGGAATATATCTCCGAGAAGATCCGCTCTCTCTTACCGATGCTTCTCCTTTCCTTGCCGCGTCACTTTTCCACCATTAGGCAGGTAAGCGAGCAACGGTAAACGACGACTCATCCACGAATCGCTCCCAGGGGATCCGTCGTCCAAAGGTTACAGACCCTCCCGAGCTGCCCTCGACCTAACCATGCTCCTCGCGGAAGGAGCGGTCCAGCAGTTCGCGTCGTCGGCCCTCGGTCCCGTCCACCTCCGCCGTCCAGGAGAACATCTGCGTGCAGCGGGGCGGCGGGTTCGAGGTTTTTAGGTTAATTTCCTCGACGACGGCAGCGCTCGCGCTTACCTCGGGGAGCCGGCAGGCGGGTCTCAGCTCCGCATCCTCGGGGACCGAGGTCGGACCGGAGTCGGGAGTCTAGGGCGACGCGGCGCGGGTGACTCCTCGTTGCGAGGGGCGTCCGTCCAGCGGAGGAGCGCGTCGGTCGACTCGCCGCGGTCGCGGGTCGAGCGGCCCGGAGAGAGGAGTCGACGAGTGCGCCGAGGACGAGAGTCGCCACCGAGTCGGCGTCGCGAGGCCCGACCAATCGGCGCCGGCGATCTCCAGGGTTGCCACCTCGCCGCGAATCCCCCCAAGCGACGGCGGCTCGCCGAAGCGGGTGCAGAGACTCGACGCGGCATTACTTAGTTTCTCTTAAGCATTTAAATATTCATTAACGGAGATCATATTTAAACGTTCGTTATCTCATGAATTTAAGTTTTATCTCAAGAATTTGGAAATTCAAGTTCCAGAAACGTAACCGAGAGCGTTATGGTAATTTAAAAATTCCCGGAGAATTTAAGAGAATTTCAGGTGACTGAGAATTTGTATTTTTAATAATTGATTACTTTTAATAAGTGATATTCACAGTGTAAATACGGAACGACGGTCGGAGGGCGTAGTTCCCCCGTGGGGCGCGCGTGGCGCGTCGGTCGCCGCCTAGGGACGCCGGCGCGGCGAGTTGGCAACAGTGCCGCCGCGGGGCACGGCTGGGCAGCCTCCCGAGCTCAGTCCGGAAAGTCGGCTGCATCGAGTCACTACGGGCCTGCTCGGCCCGCCCATCCGACCCAGCGCGCTTCCCGTCTCGCTCCCTCGGCGGTGGACGGCGGGGCCCGACGCGTCCCCTCGAGCGACTCGAGTCCGTCCTCGGCGCGGATTCGACGCGGATTCGGCGGAGTCGGACTCGGTGGCAGTGCGTAGACTCGAGCGAAGGTTCGACTCCGACCGTGGCTCGGGAGTTCGATATCGGCGGGGTGTCGGCGCACGGGCCGCGCGGTTGTGACATCGCTGTGACCGGTTGCGAGCAGTCGCGAGCGCTCGCGAGCGGCCACGTCGTCGGCGTCCGAAGGATGGCTCGCGGCGGAAGGGTCGGCTGAGTCGGCCGAGTGGCGCTTCCGCCCATAACGGACGGCGATGACAGGGACCAGCGCTCGACCGTCGACGGCAACCCAGACTCTCCGGCCGCGCGACGGCGGCCGAGACTCTGCCACGCTGGAGGCCCGAGGAGGGTTTCGCCGCCGCGAGGATGCGGTAAGTCCCTCACTCGCGCGAGCCTCCTCGACCGAGAGAGGAGGAGGAAAAATGGCACGAAACGTTCGATCGGATAACGGGGCCGCGAAAAGAGAGGAGGAAGCCCGCCGAGGCGAGGCGGAAAACGCTAAGGGTTGCGGGAATGGGCATCGAGACCCGGCAGGGTGGACGCGGAACGAAAACTAACGCCAGAGAGGGAGAGAAACGGATGTCTATCTAGGGAGCCGGCGAGAAGTAACGCGAGAAGAGGGAGGGCCGCCGCACGGCGAGAAAGAGAGAGAAAGCGTCGGTCGAGTCGAACGGAGGAAGGGCGGAAATGGGTCGAAATTTCGCTAGGGCCGCCTCGAGAACCGAACCCTGGCCGATGCTTACGCGGAGCGGACCCGCGTTACGTAGTCGCGGGACGAAATCGGGGCCGGGAAAAGTCGAGCGGCCTGCCCTCCTGCAGGGACCTTATTTCTCGAGGTCGTCCGATCGACTTACGCCCGCGAAATTCACAATTTTCTCTATGCGACTCCGCGACAATGGGACATTTTTTATGCGATAAAAATAGGGGTGAATTTGAGAACCGAGTTTGCCTGCGGGTTACGTCGAGCCGACCGCTCGACGATGAATTTAATCCTCGATCTATTCCTCCATTTTTTTTTTCCTACTTCGTTCCTTGCTTTACTCCCAGATTTTCTCCTCAATTTCCCCCCTAATTTACTCAAACCGAGGCTTCGATCGAATTTCAAATTCTCGTTGAGTTTTCTACGTGAACGGTGGCTCGAAGAAAATGGCGGCACGCCGATTTGCCCGCAAAATCGGGACCTTTGACCGACCGCCCCACTGGGCGCGGCGAAAACGACGAACCGTTAGCCCGAGTCGTTAGTTGCGGGCTCTTTTGTCGAAATTCGTGGATCGACCGACGATGACTGGGTTCAGGGGGAGAACAGGGGCAAAATGGCTGCATGGCCCTGGCTAGGCGAAAAATAAAGCGGTGTAAACCAGTGGTCAGTTGCCGGTGAAACTCGCACCTCTGTTTCACCGCTTCTTGCCGCTGCCCGTGAATCGTCTCGCTACCGACGACGCCGACCCGCGACGATTTCACCGCGGACGTAAACGCGATTAGCGTCGGGTTTATATCAAGGCTTATCGTCCCTCCCGTGTCTTTACCTTTTCGAGCCTCTCGCGGGAGGGTCGGACGAAGAGTCGATTTCCTAATTCCTTCCGTAATGGCGCATCGACGTCTCCGTGCCCTGAGAAAGAAAGATCCATTGATCCGAGGAAATATTTTCTTAATTCCAAGAATAATTATTTCGCTAAAATAAACCGAAATATAAATTGTCACGATTCGATTTCGTCGTGGCGATACATATTTCTTAGTCAACTTTCTTTTCCCGGGGCAAAATCGCAGTTCGAGTTAAATCGAAGTCGGAGACTAGGAGGACCTCGATACAGAGAAATCTCCAGGGCCGTTCCTCGCTCTCGCCTTCGCCGTGGTCGGCTGCGGGGAAATCGGCGCGGAAAGAGGGCCACTGGCTGCACCTTTTGAGGAACCGGACGAACGGTTGTCCAAACACGCGATCCCGGGGAGGACTCGTTACCGAATCCCGCGGGAACCTGGAAAGGATTCGCGTCGACGAAGGGGGATGCATTTCTCGTTTTGCGACGCTCGGGATATTCGCTTTTACGCGGGGTGAAGAAGAATGTCTCCGCATATTTTCCACCGGTAGGCGAAACGGCGGATCCTTGCAGAATCCTTGGACCGTCCCGGGAAGAATGCGTCTCTCCTATTTTTATTGAATATGGGACATTTCCTACCGAGATAAAAATATTCGACGGGATATATTAGCCGGGTGGGCGTTCGGTCGAGGGTAAAGAATCGATACGTTCCAAATCGTCGATTCATTATCTTCCTGGAACAGAGTCTGTGCATTAGCGAAACCATTATTCCCTCGTTTAACGTTGGATAACGGCCCAACGGAAATAATATTCCGCGAGGCAATCGGCCGAGAGTGCACTTCGTTTTTGAAAGAGTAGCCAGCGTTATTGCGGACAAAGTTCGGACGGGTTAGAATTTACGAATCGGAGGGAATAAGCCGTAGGCCCGGCGGTTCTCATTTTCATATCCTCCGCGCCATGGACGGTACCGGGCCGCTCGCTTAAGTTATTACCAAATAAATCACATTTGTAACAGCTGTTCTCGACAGCTGCACCGCCGACTGACAGAACGGGATGGAACCTCCTGCGAGGACGGTTCCAACTTGGTGATCCTTTCGATCCGAAGAAAATCGGATTCTCCGTAATCGCCCCCGCTCGATTTTCTTTCACACTTCAACCTCCCCAACCGACAAGCCTTGTTATCAATTTTTTTTAGCCATGATATCTTATTCCCAGGTCTCTAACGTTGGTACCCCGCGCACGAGTGATTTCCATTGGCCGGTGGCATAAAATTTCCAGGGTGCGAAGGAGCTAATTAGAACTCTCCGTGAAGAGAGATAGCCTCCTTAATACGGTACTCTGACAGTTTAGAAAAAAATATCGTGGTTAGAAATGATAAAAATCATTTAAATCGGTCCAATTCGGCTTACTGGCCTCGCGACCGACTCGCGAAATGGTAACGCCTCGGTGGGACGCTTTTCGATTTTTTTATCCAGCAAAAGGCCTTCCACTAGCGCTTCGTCGCAGTCGCACTTTCCTCGTCGAGGCGCCTTTCTGCCTTCCCGTAACGCATTTAACGCCAATGTTACGGCGAGCTCGTTTCGTAACGGTTCCGGTGCGGCCGACCTTACGCGCGCGGCACAGAAAAAAAAAAGAGAACTCGCACCGTTCGATTCTGTCGCGTTTGTTCGAAACGATGGAATTCCAGGTTTCGCTGCCGATTGGGACGAGAAAAATCACACCCGAAGAATCTCGCAGGGATTTGCCGAGGAGTCGGCAGCCTCGCGTTTCTATATTTGTTGTGTGCTACGCGACGTGCACATGAGCGATGCGTGATTGCAAAACACCGCCAAGAGGGCGGTCGGCTTGCGTCGAGATTACGGGAACGCTAACGCGACGGTGTAAACGATTATAATTAGTTTACTCTCCGAGTCGAGTTTACACCGGCCCCATGGGCGGCAAACGGCGGCTCCGACCGGTTTCACCGGCTGAGGTTCAAAGTTGAACCTTGCCCACGTAGAAACCATTCGATAGGCTCGATAAACGGTTTACACGTCGCTCGATTGAACAATTGAGCGTGCGAACTTGGACGTTCAATCCGAGCCCTTTACACCGGCGGACGGACCGCGAAACTCCCACGCTGAGGAAGAAGCGTCATTGAACCAAAGTAATATTTTATTAATTCAGAGAATAATTATTCGGCCCGAATATCCGGAAATTGTCGCAACTTCGAAGAAACGTTGCATCCATATTTATTCGAGTCTATTTCGGTCTAGTAATTATCATTTGAATTAACAAAATGTCTCTTCGGTAGCGTTCGACGGAATATTTGTCGGTGGTTAACGTCGCCTTTCTTTTCGGTTGTGCTCGTGGTCTCAAAAAAAAAAAAAAATTATTGCCATGGGTGACTCGACTCGCCTAAGCCTGGCCGAGGTTTTCGGTGCATCCGATAAGAGATATGTCCATCTCTCTGGTTCAAATATTTCACGAGCCACCGCGTGTCCTCTGTGAGTCAAAGCCGTCAAAGTATTCAAAGTCGTCCATGTCGTCTCGTCTTACAGCTTCGTCCGTACATGTGGCGGTGAGTCGCGATGTAATCACGGCAAGATGAAAATAATAAGTAATCGCTCTTCCGCGCGATAATGACGAACGATGATACCTACTGTCTCCGGTTACGTGTTCGCTTTTGCGCGGGCGAATCGATGCCGAAATAAAATGTGTGCCGCGCTTTGCTCCACCGTCCATTTCTGGAGCAACCGCGTCGAATAATATGTAAGGTCTTTTAAATCGTTAACGTCATGGCTCGTAAACCTGCGATCACCGTGTCCCGGAATAAGGCCAAAAGGAGTGCAAGTTTCTCAGATGACGATTTATCGCCTCTCGAAACGAGGTGGAAAGTGCAGCTTCGGAAGGCGACTTCTATCGGCTAACCCCGAATCGCACCGCGTCGCCGATACGTCCTCTTATCGCTCGGTATCGCTCGCCGTTACGATTGTAACTTCGAGATCGTAAGCTCCTAACAATTTCCATGCGAGTGGAGTAGGCGGCTCGGCTACGACGAGGACTTCCCGGGGTTCGAAACCTGCCCTTTCGATTCGAGCATCGGACGACCGGCGACATTATTATCTTACGTAAAAATAAATGTAAGATATACCCCGGCCTTGGTAGAACGCCGCTATGCGAGCAATCGGGAGACTTCCGAGATTCTGAACATAACACCGGAATCGTTTGATCGCAATATGGATATTTATTTTATTTTTTTCTCGCTGTGCCGGTTGGTGTCGGTCGTCTGCCGGTCGCCGTATTCGCGGAGCGTGGACAGTCGCGCGCTACTTGCTCGCTCGCGAGTCTACCCCGCGCCGGAAGCGGGAATCGACGGAATCTGGAACGCAGGTGGCAGAAAGAGAAATACGTCCCATTTCGCTGCCTCGGAGTCGAATTAGACATCTTTGGAAGGGACGTTTCATTCGAGCATCCGTCACCGGACGCCAAGCCTCCTCCGAGGCATCTCTACCCATCGCTTCCGCTTTAAGTCGGATTCCCCCGATCCGACACGTATCGGTTCGGACACGTGACGGTGTCGGATCCGACAAAACGTTCTACGTGCGTTTCAACGACACCGTCCACCCTGTACGCAGGTCGGACAGAGTGGACGGAGCCATCGAAACGCACGTTACAATATTTTGTCCGGTCGGCACCATCGCGTGTCCGGACCGATAGGTGAATCCACCATTAGTTTCGATCAGGGTCCCTGGCTACGCAAGTAACCGTGATAAGGATTCTCCAAGTACTCCCTAGGTGTACCTTCCCGTTCTAAACACCTATTCCCCCGGGTGGACGAGGCGTCGCAAGGCGGAGGACGATCCCGGCGCCTCCACTCTCGCATCCAAATCTCGAAAACCATTGCCGCGGATTTTCCTTCGAGTCGACTCGTTTCCCAGCACGTGGCGGACGTCCTCCGGTCGCTCCAGTCCCCGGAGAAGTCGAACACGTGCTCTGCCGGAAAGGTGGACGCCGAGGAGGAGGGACGTCCTTCCGGCAATCGGAGGAGCGGATTCGGCCAATTCGGAGCGGGTCGGCGCGGATCGGCGCGGGTCGACGCGATCGATGGCCGACTCTTTGTCGTCGTCGCCTTTGGCCCGGCGGGAGCCATTTCGTAGGGACACGAGGAGGGGGAGGGTTTGCCCGTGTGGGTGATGTATTCCGAGGCGCTCTGGTAGCCATTTCGGGATGCCATCCGGCTAGGGACGTTTCGTCGAATTACCCTAGGATATCCCGCTCGGATTGTAGGGAAATCTCTCGGCACGAGTCTTGCGGCAAATCGCGGCTCGATTCGCGACTTCTAATAACCTCCTCCGAAAGGCCACGAATAAACGCCTCGATAGATGGTACCGATTAGCGGATATTCAATGTTGCAAGCGTAATGGCAATTAGATAACGGGTCATTTATATGACCAACTGATACTCGCGTTAACGGTATCGCCGGTGGGCCTTAAAATTCCACGTGCGTCCGTTCGTGACAATTGCTCGATATCGATTGCTTGCTGCGAATCGTTTAAAAAATTCGATGACGCTCGATCGTCCGAGTAAAATGACGATGGAATGAAATTTGGTGAGTCTTCCTTCGTCGGGTCCTTCGTTAGGACCTACAAGTAGGTCAGGAAGCCGTCTCTGGAAAATCAAAAATAAATGACCGAGGCGTCTCAATTTTTCGACACCGTAGAAACCGTGGCCCTATCCATGTCGCATATCTCTATCATTCCAAAATCGACGATTTTAATCAAATGATTGAAATCGTCTCAACCGTGGCTCTCCATGAGATATTGCTCCAGATCGCGTACTCTACGCGTAGGTCATTTTTTCGGTTTCCTCTTCGAGCAGACGTCCTTCTTCGAGGTACTCGTCTCGAGCTCTAGATCCCGGGCAAGCCGCGCGACGAGCGAGCAAATGTCCGACGACCCGTTTCGCTCGAAATCGAATTACGCCGTCGAATCGGTCGACCACGTCGACCAGTTACGGCGGTGGAATGCAACGCCCGACATCGAGGCTCGTCGGCGTCTCGATGGTCATCGGAATGACCGATTATCTCGAAAATATCGCGGCTAGTCGTCTCGATTCTTTCTCCGGGAGGGACGGGCTCGTTCGTCGCGTCCCTCATTCTTCTCTTTGTTACGGTACTGGTGCACGTTACGATTCCATGCCACGCACTCTGGCGTAGGTGCGTTACGTGTCCCGCTTCGCTGCAAGGCGGTGCAAGGTGCCGCAGAGGCGACGGTAAGCGTCGCGATATTTCTCCGGTTAATTGGCCCGGTCACTTGCCGGGGCACGTACTCTAGACGGCAAAGCGACGTCGCTGGAGGTTCGACGAGGTCGAAAGTACAATCGAGTTTGGCGGGACCGCGAGGGACGTCGATGCGCGGGAGGCGATCCGATCGAGCGCCCGTCGCGCCGATCTCGAGGTCTCGTTATCCGGCGCGAAACGGCGGTGATAAGGAAGGAAGAGCGAGCCCGCGAGCCACGCGACGTCTCGCTTCATAAAGAGGAAAGATGGCGGCCACCGCGCGCGCCAACTCGCATCCATCGAGCAGCGAAAGCTCGTCGAGCCGAGCCGGGCCGAGTCGAGCCGAGCCGAGCCGAGCCGAGGCGCGAGCGGACCGAGAGCTCGACGAGCCGCTTCGATCGCGGACCACCCGAGACCCTCGGTGCCGTTTCCGCGGCCAAGTGGACGAGGGTATCGCGCGGAAAACCGGGATCGACTGGAGATCGCGACATCCGGCAAATCGTCGCGTTCACCTCGATCATGCCATTTTTCTCGATCGCCTCGTTTGCTAGATCGCGCCATTGGGCCCGATCGCGCTCTTTGTCGAACTCGTCGGGACGGTTTCCGGTTTTCCGCTCTCCGGATCCGGTATCGCCCTCCCCACGGTCTCGTTACGCGCGCGGAGAGGACCCTGGCCTGGAACGGCCGGTTATCACTTGCCGACTGTCAACCGTTCTCGAGGCCGGCTTGAAAAAAAGGGGGTAACGTTGCGGCAGTCCTCCTCTTTGCCTGCCCTTTCTCGGCCCCGTGTTCCGATTATTTTCGAGCCCTTCCCTCCTCGGGAGCAAGAGATACGAAACGACCAAAAATCGACGCAACGGGGAGGGGAAACCCTTCTAGTGAAATTGCTCCTCATTTTTGACCTCCTTTTAACGTCTCTTCGGAATGTTCCTTTTTCTCGATTTACGGGCAGATTTTCAAACTCGACTCGAGACTCGACTCGGAAACCTTCAAGACGTTACCTTCTCGACGGACTCCTTCGTCAGCGATGCACCGACGATCGTTAACCCCTCTCGATCCAATTACCGCTCTTTCCTCCGTTCCGCGCCTCGGCGAAACACGGTGTTCGGGTAATCCGGTGAGAGCGGTAGGCTTCTCTCTTTTGCTTTTTTCCAGGTTACGTCTCCCGTCCTCTCTCTCTTTCTATCCCGCGAGGGATGCGGACCGTCGCGTCCTCTCATCTCCCTCGCACTCCACGTTTTTTCTAACACTTTCTCTCCCTCTCTCCCGCGAGGGATGCGGACCGTCGCGTCCTCGCGCGGTTCCTTCTCTTTCCTCCCTCGCACTCTCTACGTTTTTTCTCGCGCTCTCGTTCTCTGCCGCATGCCGGTGTTTGGTCGATACGCGTCACACTTGGTTCGCCTCGTGGCCACGTCCCTGGAAACGTAACTTTCATTTCACGAGTAGCCGGGGAAACGATCGAGAGGAGGCCGGGATAACCGAGCTCGATCCCGCGATCTAACGAATCCGACATTTTATCAAACGATTTTCGACGGCCCGACTCGAAAGAGCGTCGTAGACCTCGCAGATTACGTAGAAACGATCTTTGCGGTGGAGGGACGTCTCGTTAGGAGGATACACATACAGGACATTTGTGGCCATCGTCGTTCATGAATATGCTAACGCGGGGATATTCGGATTACAAAAACGGACTCTGCGGCCACCCTCGTTCCGGAACGAGTCCATCGCGAAGCGCCCTCGACGAAAATCACGAAAAATGTCAAAAGGGGGTTCATTCCGAAGAACGGTTGCATCCGATTTCCTCGAGTTTAATCGAGTCAAATGTTCAATCATCGAAGCATCCGAATATTTCTTTGGTACTGCCAAAGAAGCATTTTCCTGGTTCACTGAAAATTTTTTTCCCAACGTAAATTAATTCTTCACTTTAACCATTATAATGCTTAAGCCATGTTTAATTTTTATTTCTTCGATATGACAGAGCGAACAGGGCGATCACGCTGTGTACTCGGACTGTAAAAAAAAATCGTGACTGAGAAATAAAAATCAGCTGATTAAAATCCATGACTTTAATCGTGACTATTTAAATCGGCTTATCCCCGGTAGGGGCCCTAGTGGACTCTGGTGGACCCTAGGGACCCTAGGGGCCCTGGGGGCTCTCGCCGCGGCGCGCGTACGTCCTCGGGGGCGTCGGAGAGGTAGCCGGCCGCGGGGCGGCTATCGATTCCGACACCCTCTCCCACCGCGATCGACTTCCGGAAGGGAGCCAGGGGAGGCGGCGAGCGGACGAGCCAAAGCTGCGAGCCCGCCGCGGGAGCGACGAGGCGACCCAGAGCGGGAGAGAGAGAGAGGGGACGAGGACGGGCGCCTAGCGGCGACACCGACGCTCGCCGAGAGAGCGGACCCCTCTTCTCTGGCCTACTCCCTTGCGCCACCCGGCCTCGAAAGTGCGCGCGAGCCCCGACGCGAAAACGTCGCGAAAGTGCGCTCTTTTCCGACCACTTCCGGCGGAAGAGCGCGATCCACCCGTCGAGGATGAACCCATATTGGATCGCCTTGAAAAAAGTCGCAAGGCCCGATTAAGAGGATACACATTAAAGCGTTATGAAAGGGTCATCTTGTGCATAGAAAACGTGAAAATATTTATAAACCTTTTCTGGGTGAACTGAATCATTTGAAAATTCATAATTTCCATTTAATTTGCATAGGTATATGGAATGACCCTTTCGTAACACCTTAATTTACCTCCCGTTGAATTCGATGCCGATGCCATCTAGCGGTTCAAGTCGCCGTCCTCATTTTGGGGGTGTACGCCGTTAAAGATGATTAGCCTGGGTTCCCGAGCCCCGTTTCGATCGTTCGATCAGGAGATCTCTCCTCTGGTTTCAGAAACGACGCTCACGGAGCGCGTAATCGTCGCCTGCGAGGAGCAGCGCGCGAGGAGGTCGTCCACGTCGGACAGGATGGTAGCATCGACGCACAACCTGGAAGAGCTCGGAGTGAGCCACCCCGCAAACGCGAGCAACGACCGGCAGCAACAGGAGAAGCACGGGCCTGCCTACAGGTCGGCGCAGACCGCCCAAGATAAAAGGAGCCGCCTGAGCAACGTGATCAACAACCTGAGAAAGAAGGTGCCGGAATCGAGCGGCGATCAGCGGCGAGAGGAGGATGACCGGAACAGCGTCGAGCGGAATCTGGAGACGTTGGAAAAATACGTGATGACGGTCCTGAACGGCGTCATCAAGGACGAGGAGGACGAGGAGAAGGAGAGCCGGGGAGCGGAGGCGTCGAGGGTGAGCCCGGGGGCCGAAGACCCCCCAGGGAAGGAGGCCGACTCCGACGCCGGGGTCACCGTCGCCGCCGAGACCCGGGAACCCTTTGAGCCCGACGAGAGCCGCGTGGAAGCCGCGGCGGTTCCGGGAGGAGCGGACGAAAACGTTGCCCCGGGTGTCGACGTCGTCGCCGAGAGCGATGAGTCGAGGAACCTCGACGGGAAAGACGTCCTCGAGGGAATGGAGAAGATCCACCGAGACGAGGATCCGGTGGATGAGCCGGAGGACTCTCGACGGAGTCTGGACGATCGGGGAGAGGATCGATTACCCGACCCTGCGGAGAACCTCGAAGAGGAGGTTGGAGGAACGGAAGACACGCCGTCGTCGGCGACACAGAGGGGGGACGAGCGGAAGTCCGAGGAAGAGAGACCTCACGGGCGAGAGAACAGGGTGCCTCGAGACCAGGACTTGGAAACAAGGGTCGGCGACTCCGGGAACCGACCCGTTAAAAATTCATCGGGGAACCCGCAATGGGTCGAGCCGTCGAGGACCACCTTGCACTGCAGCCTCCCCTTGGAGAAGGTGGGCCTCGCTCTTCACGGTTGCCAGTCCACCTCGGAGTCCACCTTGGACGGTACCTCGTTGCCGTTGAAGACTCTCGCGAAGCCGCCCTCGCCTCCCCTCGTCCGACACCACCTCTGTCTCTACTGCGACAGGAAGTTCCTCTCGATGTCCCTGTGGCAGAGACACACCGAACGGGTCCACCAGCTCGGGGGTGGCAGGCGGTCGGAGAGAAACTCGAGGAAACCCTCGCAGAGCTGCCAGTACTGCACCGAGAAGTGCCCCGATACCCTGGAAGGGCTCTTTCGGCACATGGTGTCCAGCCACGGGGACAAGTACCATGGGTGCGTGCAGTGCTCTACCAGGTACGCCACAAGGGACGCGCTGGCGAGCCACGGCGTCGTCGCTCACGGGACGACGTTGGACAGGACGCCTCGGACTCGAGAGAAGACGAAGGAGGCCACTTTCCTCACCCGGGAGAAATCCGAGGACATCTCCGATGCCGTCTTTGTGCCGAAGGAGTCCTTGAGAGACGGGCAACTGGACAACGACGTCGAGAACGACGACGACGACGAAGACGACGGGGGTAACGGCGATGGCGGGGGTGGCGGCGATGACGGAGACGACGACGGCGACGGGGACGGCGATGCCGACGGGAACGAGAACGAGGACGAGGATGACGAGGACGCCAACGACGACGACGAGGAGGACGAGAAGGGAAAGGGCATGGGCAATGGCGACAGCGACGAAGAGAACGATGAAAACGCAGAGGCCAGCGAGAAAGAAGATGGCGGCGACAACGGTACCGGCGCCTGTCTCGAATCTCGAGGGGAGGCGACCAGGTCCAAGATCGTCCCGACCACGGCCGCTAAGGACGCTTTCGGCAATCCCGGAAGTCCGGAGTTCGACAGTTCCTTCTACAGCAGCGTCAGTTGCAACATCCGCGAGAACTTGTTGCACCACATAGACGGAAAGCTACAGGCGCCCTCGACGTCCGGTCCTTCGGAGCCGAAACAGTCGTACCGGGAACCTGGCGTCACCCAGGTTCAATGTCCCATCGACATCTCCCTCACAGCCGCGACCCCGGTCTACACCGGGAAAGAGTATCCCTCCGAGGACGGCGGCAATGCCAGCGAGTCCGCCAGGAAGCCGGGCAAGCACACGAGGACCCACCCCAGGCGCGTCTCCTTCGAGAAGTACAACTTTCCCAGGAAGTACGACGGCAGGGAGGAATGGACCTGCTCGATCAAGGACCTCAGCAAATTCGACATCTCCACTCAGCTGACGCTGAGGATGAAGCAGCGGCTGATCGAGGAACGGGTCGTCTCGAGCAGCCCTCCCCAGACTCAGACCTCGGGCGCGACCGAGTCCAGTCCGAGGCTCGAGGACCCCAAGGACTCCACGGACTTCGAGGACTCCATGGACCTCCAGAACCAGAAAGAGGCTTCGGGAACCTGGCGGGAGGTCACCGAATTCGGCGCCGAGTTCGCCAGCTTCATGAGGCTGAAGAAGTGGAGTGACGACCGCATCGGGGAGACGGGGAAGAGTCAAGAGACCATCTACGCGGAACTGACCGGGGAGTGGTCGCGGCCACGGGTGTACATATGCGGAGCCTGCGCCGCGAGATACGTAAGTCTTAGAAATTTTTTTTTTTTTTTTATGCGACATTTGACGAGGATGAGATCGATCTGGTCCTCCCTCCACAGAGATGACATCGTCCGGTAACGTCCTATCGCTTTCTTTCCCAGGTAACCCTGAAGGAGATGGAGGAGCACAAGGCGGCGAGCCACCCCAACGTCTGGTGCTCGCACTTCGAGTTCTCCGGCGACCAGCGGGAGCTCTACAAGCACCTGGTCTTCCTTCCGAGCCGGAGCTTGGTGGCGGCCAAGTTGAGGGGTGGGGTCGCGCCGGAGAAGGTCTGCACCAAGTGCTCAAAGAACTGCAACACCCTGGCCGAGTTGCACCGACACATGCTGGAGTGCGGCGGGGACCAGGCCTGGCTTCTAGGCCTCTTCGGCAACGGCAAGAAGAAGTGCAAGTGGAGGCCCTTCGGAAGTCGCAGCAGGAGGAGGAGACAACGCGGCATGAAGAGGAACATACAGAACTCTCAGACTCCTAGGGTCAACGTACCCAAAGAGCGGCCTACCAGCGGGCCCAGGGTTCGACCCAGCGATCGTAAGAATTTGCCCTTTGATTTTCGCTTCCTCCCTCCTGACGAGAACGGTCGGTGTTCGCGTCTCTTGCTCCTCCTCTCCTCTTCTTCTACCTCCGCCCTTCTCCGGCTCGGAGGCACCGCGGTCTCCGGGCTAACGCGACCAGTTTCTCTCGGGCTGAGCTCGTTTTCTCCTTTTTCACCCAAAGGACTTTCGGCCGTCCCCTTTCACCGTTTCCTGAGGGTTTTTATACCTCATCATCGCGGGGGAGTGGGGGTGGAATGTCGGGATTTCATTAAGCGGCAGCGAGGTTCCTTGGTTCCTTTGATTAATGTCCATGAGATGAAGATTCTTTCCTTTTTTTTTTTTCAACTATTCTACGTATACTATGATCTCGATAAGCTTGACATTCTATAAGGAACGAACTTCTATGTCGGTCCTATATTTCTTAACAATGATTATTTTTCTACATGTAAGATCGTTATGGATTCATGATACTTATTGGTCCAGGTGAGTCACATAAAGTGACATTGTTCCCAGGAGAGAGCATCCAGAAAATGCTGGCGAATTTACCTCCGAAGAGAGCCACCAGAAAGGTCTTGCAGGATAACTCGACGAGAACGAACTCGTTACGGAACGTAAGTCTAATTGTGCATTAATTCTTTTACGGAGCTCTCTCGATTTTTCAAGTCGAGCTCGCGTCGGACGTCGAGCTCTCTCGGTGATATCGGTATCGCGGCGAGACTGGGAATCGAATAGCGATAGAACCCACGCTCTCGTTTTAACGAACTGAACGCTACATTCTGCGTTACCGGGTAAACGACGAAGGGAGATATGAATGTTCGGATCTGACGAGACCATCGCCCGACGCGTACTTTGATGTACTGCTCGGGAAAGGGTTGGTATTTCGCACGTAGGGTGGTTAGACGAGGCTCGGGTATGAACTCGATGCAACTGGCCACGTGTCGTGTGGATATAAGTAGAGTATCGATTGAACTGGCGCACACGCGTACTGGTCCAAGTCGGGACAGCAAGTCAGGTACGTAGGTTCCCTCTGCCTTGATCGAATCGAGGAACGCGCTTAGGAACACATTTTTCACCACCCGAGACGTAAATGCAAATACCAAGACTATAGGCTAGATTGTTTAGAAGACGCAGTATTTTTTACGACGCTGTATTTAGGAATGTCCGAAGTAGTTGAAGGAATGCCTTTAGATTGGTTTGTTCCCGCAGGTGCAAACTCGGTCCAGGCCTCGCATGCCCAAAGATGGCCCGACGACGGTCCTATCCAGGAACAAAGCAGCAGCCGCGGTGAGGAACAAGTTGCTGAAAAACGCAAAGTCCTATCAGAGGAATCGATGTAGGATCGACAACATCACCGCTGTTATCGAGAGTGTCGTTCAGAATCATGGCACCGACGAGAGAGACGAAGTCGAAGGGGCCGACGACGATGCCGAAGAGACGGACAAAGAGGAGCTCGAAAAGGCATCGAGGTCGGGTAAAGCGGAAGGTGGGGCTAAGAGCGAAAAGCGACCAGGTCGTGCCAGAGTCTTTAACGGCGTTAGGGTTATCAGTAAGAAGAGGAACGTTAAGAACAGAAGCGAGAGGAACGTCGAACGCTCCCGACCTGGCGAGAGGACGAAGGAGAAATTTTTCAAAAGTCGCCGAGCCCTCGGCAGATCGAGAAAAAATCTGGACGACGAGAATGTCGATAGTTCCTTTAGTGAGAAGATCCCAAGAAACGCTTCGAAAACTATCCCAAAAACTACCCTTAATAAAGTCCCTGTAAATGATGAGAAACCTCTGGATGACAAATCCTATGTTAACGATGTTAAGCCGACGACTTGTTCGACCACCTCCGAGAGAACTTGTTTGCGAAGGAAGAGGATAGTGGATCCTGCGGCTCATTTGAACGCGTCCTTAAAGGCTAAGGCTCAACTCAGGACTCACGACGGCAAGTTCGCGAGGAACCCGGGTGCAGGACCATCGGGGGACACGTTAGACATGGTTCCTCCTAGTCAAGTTACGAGGACTCGCGGAAGGGGGCGATTTATTACCCGATCCAAAATGGGAACTTTGAGGGGCGGGAAAAACGAGCTCCGAAATACTAGGAGAATGACGAGATTCTCCTCCCTGTCGTCCGACAGCGATAAGATGCCGACTTTGGAGCCGGTCGTGGATTTAGCAACTGGCGAGGAGTGCGGAGAAAAGGTAACCAATGACCTACCCGTCCTGTCTCCGGCAACGGCGCCGGGAGAACAGAGAGTCGCGAGATCGTGTTCTCGAAGCTCATCGGTCGTAAGCGTAATCAAAAAGAAGAAACCTGGCGGCAAAAGAAGCGCCACCGAAAACGATACCCCGCCTTCGGAGGAAGTTTCAGAGAAGAGCACCATCGAGGAGGTGGAGGGAACGAGCAGGGCTCAAAGTGAGCAAGTCACTAGGGCTGGGAGAGGTAAAAGGAAGCAAATCATGGTAAGGCAAAGAGTAACGAGAGTCATGGTACGAAAGGAACGAGCGGGCAATACCGAAGTTGGAACTTGTTCCAAAGAAATACCTTCGGCAACTCCGAAAAGACTAACGAGATTTAAAGCGAGGAACGGTACGAGCGCCCGTCGAGGACGCGCTACCAGAGGTAACGCCCAGATTCGCAGAAGGTCCGCAAGTAGCTCGAAACTGTCCAAGACCAAAGATGACGACGACGACACGGAACACGAAAATGATTTCATGGCTAATATCGTTCCCGAAAATACGGGCGTACCAAAAGAAAAGGGGAGCATCAGGCCTAAACGGGATAGGCAAGGACAAGGTGTCGAAAATTCCGACAAACCACCAAACGATACTGCCGACGTTCCTGCTGGTAAAAAACTTCCGAAACACCTAGGAGAAATCGAGGCTTCGAAGAAATTCGGCCTAAAGGCCCGCGACAATGGAAGGAAAGCTTTGAGGCATTCGGGCTCGAGTTACGAAGCTAAAGAGAAAGAGAGGAAGGGACAGGGCTTGATGTCGGGAACCAAGGTTAACCAAAAGGCCGACAAACTTGGGCAAAGGAAATCCGCGAGAAACGTCCGTCGCGGTTCTCGATCGAACGAACGCGAGAAAGAGCGCGGCAAGATCGAGAACGAGAACGTTAAAAAGCCGATTGAACGTGGAGACGCGCACCCGTCGTCGAAGAAGGGGGAAATCGTTGAAAGCGACGACGTTGACTTAAATACCGAAGACGCTGATGTGGGCGAAATCCCTGCTGAACGGGTTTCCAAGGAAGATTGCCCCGTTCCTGAAAGTAGGAAAGATAATGCTAATCTTTCAGAGGAGACCGATACTTCGATCGCGAAGGAGTCTACGAACCATGGAAGACGCAGGGGAAAGACTAAATCGGTCCAAGTCGAAACTGCGGATCACGGGAATTTTGCCGACGATTTGTCGAGTCTCGAGAAGATCAGCAAGCCTATGGAAATTAGCTCTCTTGCCAAAGACGCGTCGGTTAACGCCCGAGATGATCAGACGCGTATATCTCCATGCGAGGTAACGAGCGACACCTTTGAAAACTCTCCACGAATTTGCGGTGTTCAGAAGGACCTGGCAAGGTCGAAGGACCCCGTAAACCTGGCCCTGGAACACCTCCAGCAGGAGTCCAGTAACTCTAACATCGACAGTGGCAAGGAGAACTCCTCGGAAACTCCTGTAAACGTGCCGAAATTAAAAGTGGTGCGGCCAAAAAAATCGAGAGGCCTGCGCCGAGAAAGAGGGAGCAAGAGGAGCCTGAGCAACGTCATCGGGATCCTGACGGAGGGGGTCAACATCCCGGTGGAAGTTCAGCAAAGCGTTGTTCTGACCGTGCAGACTTCCTTGGAGAACGCGGTCGGTCCTGACGTTGTTCAGAGTAGCACTCAACAAATTGTAGAGGATGACGCGATTGCAGGAGCTGGGTCTAATCTGGATAAAATAAAAGAGAACAACGACCTAGGATCGGACAAATCCGCGAAGAGGAACGACGTTGAGCCAGACCGAGTTAAAGGAAATGAGGTGCCTGAAAGAAATCTAGAAACTAGTGACCCTGTACCTGCCCAGACCTCCGAAGACAGCGAATTTAGCTCCGATTTCGGATCAAACGCCTCCACCAGTGGGACGGAACCCACTGTCAAAAGCAGTACAAAGTACGAGGAGGAGGCTTGGACCTCTCCTGAGGATGCCAATGGAGATAGGCGTCCGGAGATTCCGCATCGCCGTACTCGGTTGTCCGCCTCTTCGAGGGAGCTGCAGGAAGGCAGCGCGGCTCCAGAAAATCAGCCAGCTAATGACATCATCTTGGACCTCTCTCGCAGGAAGCCTAAAGGGAAAGGTTCTTTCCTCGAGAAAATAGTGTCAAAGATAGCCAAGAAGAAAGATGCCTTGAAGGACGTCCTTGAGGGGGAAGTCGGCTCTCTTCTGGATAACGCAGCCGATGAGCTTACGAATATCCTCGACGAAGTCGAGCCAATCCTGACGGAGAACCCGGAAAGTATAAGCATCGCAGAGCCGAAGAATACCATTGAAAGAGTGGCTAAAGAGACTTCTCCCCGATCGCAAGAGTCAGTGAAATCGGATGTACAAAAATCCCGTAAAGAAGCAAAAGTCGACGATTCGTGTAATGTGATAGATACCGAGACTGTACATAATTGTAAAACTAATTCAAAGCATTTCCTTCAGGAGAGTCGTAGTCTACATAACGCCCACGTCCAAATTTCTCTGGACCCTGATGATATAGGTTATCAAATTCCTGGTGAGCCCGGAAAAATTAGTAAAGTAACGGAAGAGACCTCGAATGAACAAGGTCGCATTTCTCTTAAAACGAAACGCGAGTCAAAGAAGAGATCCCTCGAAATTCATTCTCCCAGAAGAAGTAAGAGGAAGTCGCTCGACGCCGAAAATGAAACCGAAGACGATTCCCCGGAAAGTGAAATTTCTCTTGCGGATATAATGAAGTTAATTAATAAACCACAGCAGACGAATACTAGCGGTCAAAGTGAACAAAGCGATTCTACCGGTCATCGCAGTGGAACTAAAGTACGCCTTGGGAAGCGGAAAAACGTTGACGAAGATGATCAATCGAAGACGTCAAACATCAAAGCTAAAGGCATTCCAAACGAGAAGGATGATTCTGTACCTGAAGTCGAAGCAGCGGATGTAAGGAAATCGAAGCGCAAATCTAATGAGATGTTATCAGGATTAGACGGTCTTTCTAGTAAAAAGAATAACGCAGAAATATCAGGAACTGACGACAATCTTATTTCCGACACCCACGATAAGAGCAAGGAGTCTGTCGAAAGACATCGGTCGAAGAAACTTTTACAACCCGAGGGCATTGCGTCCGTGGAAGATGTCCCGAAAAAACCCGAAGAAAAGGAAAACACCACCGAGGAGGCAGATAATTCAGGGCACTTGAAAGTCATTAATGAAATGAACCACGAGAAACCGATTGCACAACCTGAAACTTTAACTGCAGAACGTAACAATCGGATTAAGTCGAACGCTGCGGAAACAGGAAGAATATCTCCTGAATGTAATAAGGGGCCGATAAAAAACGATAAAGAGGTAGGAGTCGGTCAGGTCGTTTCTCTTGAAACCAGTTTACAAGCTGTTAAGAAGAGCATAGATCTTGAGAAAGAATCTGACGCGACAGAGGGGAACGATATTTCATGCAAAGAGTCGCAGCCGTCACTTTGCGATGATAATGAGCGACAAACCCCGAAGAAGAAAAACGTGAAAAATGAAAAGAACGCCAAAAGATCCAAACAATACTCGCCGGCCATAAAGTCGATCGAGATCGTTGATGAGACGTGCGCATCCGGTAATAAAGAGAAGCCGGTAAAGGAAGACGGAAGCTGCGGAGAATCGCGCATCGTGGTTGAGAAAAGAGAGGAAAATTTTGGCGGAAATTCCGTGTCCCGTGCTCTGGAAGATTTACAAGAATCTTCTGAGAAACGATCGGTAAAAAGGACATCTCTGACATCTGAACATTTAGACCTGCTCGATGGTACACATTTGCAGCCTCTTCCCGAGGATCGCTCTAATGAATCTCATCCTGTAGATGCCATCGGAATAACCCCCTCAAAAAAATCCAACAGAAAAGCATCCGTGGTCGACCATTTCAAGGAAACCAAGCCGAAGGAAGTCAAAAAAGGAGAGATCATTTCCGTTAGGGTGAAAAGACCGGAACTATTCAAAATTCCCGAGACGAACAACGCTCCTCAGTCGACAAAGAAACGCACTTCGAAGAAGTGGTCTCTCGCGGACGAACATTTGGAGCTTCCCGATTCTCCTCCACAGGTTATGTCGAAAGCTCCCGATGTAGAAGCTTCGACGTCTGGGATTAAAAACCTCGAAGTTGCGGTCCCGAGTATTGGCGATACGTCCGAAGGGATTAATGAGAACAACGACGTCGTGAAACCTCAGGAATTGGAGTTAGAATCCGTTGACGAGACCGAAAATACAAGCGATGCCGTTATCGACTCCTCCACTCCGGTATCGAATGTTCCGTCGATCAAGCGACGATCAACTAAGAGAAAGAAATTTCTGGACAGTCAGCTCGGTGCCCTGGATAGCACTTCTTTCCAAGAGAAGACCTCGGACAAATCGGATGTCACCGATCCGCCAAATTCTAACCAATGTAGCCGGCCTGTGTCGCGAAGAACCTCTAAGCGAAAAACAACCGAGGACGACCTCGAAGACGCATCCGATGAGACGAAAAATTCCCTTCTTTCGGCCGACTCCGAACCAGCAAGTGCGGGAAAGACTGGAGGGTTCGAAAGGCGACAAGTCCCAAAAAGAAAAGCGAAAGCTAATATCTCGCTCCTGGATGAGCATTTGGATCTTAACGACGTCCTGGATTTTTCAGATGTCGAGACCGCTTCTCTTCACGACTCCGAGGAGATTTCTGCCAGGAATATCTCCGTTAACGTTGAACTACCAATCGAGTCGCTGACCGTCGAAACGACGGATGAACTTCCCACAGTAGTAAAAGATGTAGAAAATAAAAACGTAACCCCCGAAACTGCAGATACGTCGGTGGATGTGGACGCTACCTCGGATAGTTTAAAGGAAGACGTCCAGACGCCCAAGAAACGAGCTTCCGGCAACTTTGCCGTGGTCCACACAAAATCTGGAGAGATCCTCATCGTCGAGAAGAAGAAGAAGATAACGAAGGAAGTTGCCAAGTTCTTCTGCGACGTGTGTACCACCAGTTTCACTCGGAAAAGCTCCCTGAAGAAGCACAATTCCTCTCAGTCGCATTTACTTCAGCTGGCGAAGGTCGGCAAGGACTCGGATAAGGAGATGCTGGAGCAGATCGACCGGTTATCGTATTCCGAAGGAACGTGCGAGGACAGCCAGGGAGACGACTCGAAAACCGACGCCGAACAGTCCACGGAATGTAATGTCGTTCACTTAACTCCCGAAGAAAGTGCAAATTTCGAGGAATTACAGACCGAGGGAGCTGACGAGAATCGTGCACGTGTTAAGGGTAAAGCCATTTGCGACTCTTTCGCGTTGGACGCCTCCAAGTCAACATTGACGAGCGCAATTTCTGAGAACGAGTTGGAGGATGAGCTGCTTGACGAAGAAATTTGCAAAATCACCGAAAACATGACCCACGATGAATATGTCCTCACTGACCAAGTGTCTCCAACTGCTCCCGAGGCTACGTCTACGCCACTGATGCCTGCTACCCAAACGAAGGTCCAGGATAACCCGAAGAAGAGTAAAAAACTTGAAAAGAAACAACCAAAGAGAAGAAACCTTGCCGAGGAACACTTGGACTTGGACACTCCGGAACCTGACGCAAGCTTAGAGGTCGTGGAAGAAACCGAGTCTGCCGACCGGAAGCTTGGGAAAGGTACAATTAGTTCCGCTGAAAATGCTCCAATTCTGGGTACACACATGTTTACGAACGTGGTTGAAAATGAACCGATGCCTTTGCTAGAAAGTCACCAGAGTTGTTCGGGAATTATATTGGAAGAGAACGACCGAATTGGTACCAGGAAGGAAAAACAGGGAACGATGTCTCCCTTAGAGGATCTCGTTGGAATTTTCAATGGAAGACAAGAAGAAGCCAACCAGGACATTCTGAAACATAATTCTGTAAGGTGCGAAGCAGTATCGATTAGCAAAGCGAGCCAAGGCGAAGCTTCAGAAAAACGTGGAAAAGTTTCTGAAGACCGGAGCAGTTGCGCAACGACAAATATCGGGGGATTCAAAATGGAAAGTAATTTATCACTGCTTGAAGAAACGCATCCCGGCGGAGTTACTCTGCCCGTCAGTGAAGAGAAGAATTATCAGAAGAACGCGGACACTCCGAGGAAAATACGAAATCAAGAGAAATCCGAGGAAGCCGAGGGACGTGTCGAGGTACTGTCAAATGAGAAAGAACCTCTAAAAGTAGTTACCGACGCTAATGAAGAACGCGAGTCTGATGAGGTTAATCTAAATGTGACGAAGAAAGCGATCCCCATTGAACGAGGAGGAGACAAGACAAATTGCGATGGTCTCTCTAGAAAAAATAATTCCTCATTTTCTCACAGCTCGGATAAAGTCGAGGTGCAAGATGTATTGAAAAACAACGCATTTAATTCGGCAAACGATCCCGCGAGTCTTGCCGTGCCAACGAAAAATCAACAAGATACGGCGTTTATTGTGAAGCCTTCAGAAATTGATTTAATAATTTCAAAGTCAATAATAGAGACATCTGTGGGGATTGAAGGCAACGCTGCCTCCCTTTTCGAGGAAGAGCAGATTAAGCTCGGTCCAAATTCACTGGTACTTAATGAAGATGATGACTCTTCGAGTTTCGGTGACAAACCATTGTCGGAACTTTTGCCTAAGATCGGTTCAGGATTAAAATCGTCACCCAAGACTCACAAGGTCCTGGATTTCTCCAACATCACGGAGAGACTCAAGGCGCAGATGCCTGCAACGAACGAGACCAACGTTTCATTGCTGACAGAGTTCGACAGCGATGAAAATTCTAGGGACACCGAAATGTCGGTCGACATTCAGAAGCTCTTGGAAGATGCCGAACTTTGCGCCGACGACAAGAAGGACGCCCGTGAGGATGAATTGAAAGTCGCGTTAAATAAAGAACCCCCGGTCTACATCGAATCTCGTAACACCGTGATCCCCAAAAAGGAAGCTCTTCCAGGGAATCCAGCAGAGGAGAAGCTTTCCAAATACCTGCCCGTTAAACGTCCGGCAGGAAATACCGAAACCGAGTCACCAAAAGACGAAGTTACCGACGACGAAAGTAGTAAGAAAGCTCACAACGTTGAAGGGTCACAATCCAGCAACGAGTGCAAGAGTATCACGAAGAGGAGGACTCCAAAAAATAGACCTAAGTTGCGTGAATCTAAGAAATCGAGAAGGTCCCACATGAAAAATCAGAGATCCATCCCGAACAACCGAGTAGATAACAGCAGCGAGAGCGATACCAGCTATCAAGAGGACAGGGTGGAGTCGCGCAACAAGAGCAAGATCGTGAAGAGCGTGTTCGGTAGAGTCTTATCCGGCGATAAGACTGACAAAGTCAAGGAGGTGCTCGACGATTGGGATTCTAGGTCAGAAGAGGAAACCAAAGGAAGCGACCCCAGACACGTGCGAGGCGACTCGTCTCCGTCATCTATGGACTGCTTCCAGGGAAAGAAGAATACCGATGCGGTTCCAGAACCTAATAGTAAACTAAATGACAATTTCGGTCACCCCGAAAGGACGTCAACCCGTAATCGTAAGAGGATCAGATCACGCGGCACGATAGAAGGCACTGCGGAACGAGATAAAGGAGCCAAGTCTAGACCTCCTTCGGGTAGCAGAGAACAAGAAGACATCGAAACTCGGTCTACGTCCGAAGAACGGGGCAGCAACGCGAAGCCAAGAACTTGTTCAGGCCCCAAAAAACAAGACCACGTAGCATACTCTGTACCTTCCCTTGATTTGGTCCTACCAAACTCTAGGTACCGGCAGAGCAAAAAGAAAGCCGAAGAGAGGATCTCCAAAGCATTCGAAGAGGAATCTCTGATTTTGGACGACGTAGACAAGTCTTTGAAGGCATCCCGTCCACCGGAAACTTCCTATGAGCTTCGGAACCCCTCGATAATTGCCAGGAGCAATTCAACGACCCGGTTGTCCTCGAGTGAGGTGGATATTTCTGAGCCGGCCACGTACGATCTTGATACATCCCCTAGGAAAGATAGATCGGAGTCCAAGAAGACGATCCAAACGAAAGTTCTTTCGGAACCGAAGAGAAGAGGAAGAAAGCCGGAGAGCGAAACGGGCACGAAGCAGATCAAATCCAGAAATCTGGACGACGCGTCCACGGCTTCGGAGGGATCTTTGAAATTCACTGGTCCTCAAGAAGACCTCACTGGCCTTGAAGAAATGCCTCGTGCGTACGACGATTTTCCTAAACCTTTGTCTCCAGCCAGGAACATTGTGGAAATTGGCGCCTCCAGGAACCATTCCCTAGATCGACTGTCCCGCTCGTCTATGAACTCTGACGAGGAAAACGAAGAGGAGAACGACGACGAAGACCTTGCCAGGGGAAGAATGTCTCCCCTCTTTTACGACACGCCGGATTCATCCTTGGACGACATGTCCGATGGCGCAGAGGACGAGCCACCTAGAAAGCGGAGCTCCAGCGAATTTTCCGGCGAGAAGGTGGTCATCAGATCACCGCTGTCCAGTCAGGAAGACAGACACGAGGTGGTCATCATTGCTCCTACCGATGCCATCGAAGACAACGCCTTGGATGTCCCTAGGGAGATCGAAACTTCCCCACAGAAGTCTAGACAGGGAAAGGTCCTCAATTTCGATGAAGAGCTCTTCGTCGAGTGCTGCTCCAGGCTCAAAGCCACCACTGAGAACGAGCTTCGCGGGGCAAAAAAAATCAAGTTGGATCATTGCGATGCCTACCACAAGAAAGAGGAACCGCCAGGTAGCAGGACGACGAACAGGGACAGGTGGCGCGACGTCGAGAGCCAGAACAGTCTAGGCAGTCTTTTGGAGTCCGTTAACCAGGTAAATATAGGTGGAAGATAGAAAAATAGTGTACTCGCTTGCACGTATTAAGGTGACGATTAATCGTTTTCAGCTACTCGGCGAGGAGATGTACGGCACCAAAGAAAGGGACTATTCGAAGCGGACTCGAGACGTGCGCAGCGAAAATTCCAGTCGATCTGCAAGTCCTGATCCCGACTTGTCGCGTCGCGATAATGTCGGATACGAGGACAGTCTGGATGTCGCGTTCGAGCACAACAATAAACTCCGTGACAAGATTCAGCAACGTATGAGGGAAAGCGAGAGCTTGATCGCCAGCACTTTCGGACAGGGGAACAGGAGCAGCAGCTTCGACCATCGCCATCATCACAGGCACCATAGGAATCAGGAACGAAAAAGCGGTCACGAGGGGAACGACCTGATTTTCGGACACCCTCAGGGACAAGGAAGCGTGTCCACCCCTCACCTGTCCAATGGAGAACTTGGCAGCGATCGCGCGAACGAAAGAACGGAACAGTCGGGACAAATCCGAGTCGACTCTTCGGGGTTCAAGAGCAAGGTGAACTCCACGTTGGGGGGACTTTTGGACAAGGCCCTATCCAATCTACTTCACAACAATGGGAAGCACGATCACAAGTGAGTGAACACTCGGTTCGCTTGTAACGCCTTGCAGACCTCGCTGCTCTTTTTTTTGCTCTTTGTTTTCTTTCTTTTGACTAATGGCTTAAACTTTAAGACCTAACGAATCGTCTATGTAATTCGTGTAAATAGTATTTACCAAGCAACAAAGCATGCCTCCAGCCTTACTGCATCTATTAGTTGCCAACCGTGAAATGGGCTTCACTCTTGGCTAATGTTACGCTTATTTGTGAATGGGAAGAGTCGAGATATAGTATTAGAATCGATAATAAAAGTCGCCGTCGCTTTCAGTGGCTCGACTCCGATGAAGGTCCTCGCCGAGCTCGCCTGTGCACGGGCACCGTCGTCTACGAACACGGAGGTTCCGCACAGTATATCCGCTATTAGATGTGCCACTGCGGAAATAGATCCTGTTTTGAATGCCGGGCCTGATTCCAATTCCGTGAAGGAACAGCCGCCTAAGAAATCTCGAAACCCGATAAAGGAACTTTTCGAGAAGAAGAAAGAAATGAACGAAAGGAGGCAGGTCGAGAAATGCAAATCTGGGGCGGCCCTTAAGGAGCTGACCAATCAACATCAAAGGAAGACCAAAAAGACGCATAAACGTCAGGACTTTCCTCTGGTGCGAAGGAACCAACACGGCGGATTAGCGGAGAAGAAAAAGAGAAGGGAGTGCTTCGAAAAAAGGGTCGAGCCTCAGGCGGACAGAGTCAAAGATGTCTACGACTTCGACGACGACGAAAGTCAAGCGGAGGTCCAGCTTGGACCGGTACTGTCCTACAGGAGCAAAATGGATAAAAGCTGCGACCTCGATTCCCTGAAGGAAGGGCAAATCGACATGTCCGATGGCATGTCGAAGACCATCGGCGATACTTTGGAAAATGGCCGGTCGAGCGATGTTCTAGGCAGGAGACTGGAGACTATAATAGACAGGAAGTTCAAAGAAATGGAAAAATACGCCCCGAAGACGAAGGGCGCGTTGAAGTCCTTCCAAAGTGAAGAGAAGCAGCAGCAGGAAGTGACGGGACCAATGGACAATTTCGTCGAGAGGAAGCAAAAGGTGAAGAGATCCGTCGAGCCGAGAACGAGCAAACACTCCAAGCTGAAGAAACGGAACCGGAACTCGAAGAAGAAGTCGAGGAACGCTTGGTACGAGGACGACAGTTCCGATGAATTTAGAACTGCAGCAAAGACAGAGGACATCGGCGTCGGCATCTCGAAGAGCCAGAGATCTTGCTCCAAGGGGAAGCAAAATCTCTTCGCCGAGCTGTCCACTTCCTCCGAAAGCGAATTCGAAGACGAGGACGTGGAGTACACCTCGAGAAGGGAATTGGAGATAAAGTGCGTTTCACGGAACGCCCCGGAGGGGCGCGAAAGGGAAGGAAATGAAATTCGCGAAGAAATGCCTGAAGAGATGGGTAATAAATGCGACGTAGAGAGTATCGGAGATTTGGAGGTAACGCACGATGACCGGGAATACTTGGGGAAGAGGAAGGACTCCGATGCCAAAAAGTCAGAATCGGAAATTTCTGATCGGCCGCTTATCATCGACGAAAGGAAGGAGAGCGAAGAACAGAGAAATAGCGACGAGGAGACCGAAACTCAGTACGACAGATCCTTCGAATTGGACGATCTGTACAGAGAGGACAGTTCCGCGGCCGAATCCGACCCAGAGGATAATATTTTGGAGGATAAGAAAAATACCGAGGAAACGAGGGCTGAGAGCCCGAATAGTCGGGAACTGTTCGGAACGGTTGCGGAATCGAAGGAGAAATATTTGCAAGAAGAGGAATTAATTCCTCTCGAAAAGGCCCTGGATATTCTTGATCATTCCGAGGGTCTCTCTAGGGAGGAGCCGAACGACGAGGAAAAAAATAATTCTTTAGTTCTCGTCGTAGGGCGACCCGATTCGGTCATGGAAGCTATTAACGAGACTTCGAATTCGTTTGAGAAGATCGAGAAAGACGTCGCGGATCTCAACGAAGATCGCGACGACGACCTCCTCGATCTACCCGAAAAACTGACCAGTAACGAGAAACCGAAGAACGATTCCGAAAATCTCCCGCTGCACGTGTTCCTGAGCAGAAAAGTGCAGGAATCGAAAAAAAGGAAGCAACAGCAGCAAGAGTTGAAGAAGCTCCAGGAAGAGCAGGAGCGGATTCTCCTGGACTTCCAGCCAACCAGAAGGCAAAGGAAGTGTGCAATAGGCAAGCAAGGACTTTTGGCAGAATTTAGCAGCTCGGACGACGAATTATACGTGAGAGTTCCGTACAGGAAAAGCGGAGATCGGTCGGATACCGAGCACAAGGTCCGGCGACCGAAACGAGAATCGAAAGAGAAGAGGAAAGAACGGTACATCGAGAAGAAACACGAGCAGATGATCGCCAAGGAGCAAAAGGCGATCGAAGAAGAGATCCTCCGAGAGGTGGAGAAGAAAAAGGAGATCGAGGCGAGAGACGATCAAGACTCGGACAAGGACTACGTGGACAAACCTCAAACGGAGACGAAAGGAGCCCACGCAGGGAAAAAAACTGACAAATCAGCCCAGAAGAGGAAGCCAAAGCAGAAGGAGAAGAAATTTTACGGGGAGTCGGAAGACGTGCCCGAAGAAGGGGACAAAAATTCTAACGAAGGCAACGACGTCGTCGACAAGCCGCTTGGAAAAAGTACGCGAGACGACGTCGAGGAAGAATCTTCAGGGAAGCAGTCGAGGACGCCGAAAGTGACTCCGAAACCAAAGAAGAACACGAGAACCGATGGAAAGGGCACGAATGGTAGTAAAAGCGGCAAGAGCATGAACGGGGAGAGGTCGAAAAATAGGTCTAGCACGTCGACGAGCAAGGATCCCAAGGAGAGGAGGTCGTCCAGCGCAAAAAGGGACTCCGCCGACGAGGAATTAAGAACAACCAAGTCGTGGAACAAAGTCGAGGAAGGAGTGGGAGTCGCCATTGGCCGGCGGAAGAGAACCGCGGCTAATCAGCTGTACTATTGGTCCAGCTCGAGCGACGAAGACGAAACCGTGGATTCGACTCCTATCGTCGAAGAGGAAGAGGACGACCACCAGGAACAGCACGGATGGATCGTGGGGGACTCGCATAAAAAAATGATCACGATGCTCGCGATGGAGAAGCAGCTGAAGGAGAAGAGAAGAAGAAGCGAGGACGAATTCGACCCAGGTAAAGCCAAAAGTAAGAAGCACCGCAACAGCACGTCTTGATACGTGTTTCACGATTAGGTCCATTAATGAAAGAAACGAAAGGGGCCCGATTAATCGATATAGTATCGGGGCGAGCATTCGGAGCAGCTGACAAAAAAAAGGAGCACGGAGAGGACGTGTCTCGAGAACCCGATTTCAGCCGCACGTGGTGGAAGAGATAACGCTTAGGGGTAACGCGGATGCTCGACGAGCCGTTCGTTCTCTGGAAGAACGATTTAAATACGGATACGGTAAAGAATCGGGTAAACGAGGTGGCAACGATTCGCGATCGGTCGAGATCGCGTCCCCGTGGGTAACGAGAGGCTCGCGTGCGCAGAGCGGTACGGGAAAAGCTGTCGCCTTGTATGTAAAACAGCAGCTTAGCCTTGTACCATTGGACTTTGAACCTTAGGTTGAGATATCCCCGTTATCTTCCCTCCCGCCGCGTCCATTATATCATAGGATCGTATAAATATTAGGTAATATAATATAATTTAGACTGACGATGAGTGTACGGTGTAGTCGAAGGGACGAGACGAGAGGATACTTAGACAATACAGAAAACCTTTCCCAACGGTTTAGCTCGAGTCGGTTTCGCCTGGAAATGTGGAAAAGAAAGAAAATAAAAGAAAAAGCAGGAAGAAAAGGGGAGATGCAACGATAGGTTTCGCGTGGGTTATTTCATGGACGATATGTAACAGGGGTCCAATCGAGAGTAGCGCTTTGGCCAGGCTTTTCGTGAAGAAGTATACCTACATATCGCAGGTTCATTAGTGGGAAGCCCGAGGAAGAATTTCATTTCCAATAATATGTCGATAGGCATGTGTGTATATACACCTATCGATCGGTATGACCTCCGAGCGATTTGTAATAACCGGAGGCAGGTGCTTATGTATCGTAAATATGCCGATTTGCGCGATCGAATCATGCATTTTCGTATGTTCGTCGACTGATAGATCTCACTGTGGCATCAGACGCCGGGTTACGTCTTACATACTTGCATACATACGCATGTACACACGTACACATAGGTACAAGACGCGTAACTTACGAAAACCCTAATTAAGAATATTACGCGCGGAGTACCGATACGTTTCCATCGTATAAATAACTGTGGGTACTCGTGGGGAGAATACAGTTTTCACGCGGACTTTCACAGTTCTACGCATAACGTAACGGTAAACGGTTATTGACTTTATTGTAAAGGTACTGCCATAGCCATATTATTATATATTAATATTATTACATACCATGCAAAAGCCTATAATGAGAAAAGAATAGCTATTAATATTATATTCCTGTAAAGTTGAGATGTTAGCACAAAACTATAGGTACATCCAGTGTAAATAGAGCATATTTTCAATGTGTCTGGAAAAGTATGTTTTGTAATATAAGCATTGCAAAGGAAAATAAATATGACTAAAGAAATACTCATTGATTTAATTTCGCTTTTCTTCTCCCCGAATGGAATAACGAATAGAAAAGCTAATGCTTTTGAAGCGGTCACGGAAGCAGCGAAAAGGTTATCTCGCTGTCCCTGGGTACATCTCTATCTAGCAGACAATCCGCTAATGTACATCGTTTAACGAGGTAGGTATCGATAATGGATAAATGAAATTAAATCAATTATATGAATGTTTATTTTAACTAAACGTGGAAAATAAACACTAGTGATTAAAAAGTCAGTAACCGAGAACTCGAGTTACCCTATCATAGTACCTAGCATACAATAACGTTTGTACACTTATATGATTAATGGAACCTCTCGTACATTCGGCGGGTGAAGGATCGTTCATGCCCAGCTTACGGTAGTTTTTGTGGGGCTTGCTCCTTACACGCAAAAACTCGGTGCTGTGGTATCCTCGGTACCATCGACTACAATGGAATTTCGAAATTTATTGACTCTAACCATAAAGACAATGGAGGTAGCAACGCATCCGTATCTCAATTTCACAAATGATTCACATTATTGAAAGTTATGATAATATAACGCTGATTACGTCCTGCAGGACTAGTGATAGCAAAAAGTATGGCAACTCGAGTTTTAACGTTATGGCAAAATATCCACGGAGGAAAAACATCTGCTGGGCCGGCGAAAAACTAGATAGGTACGGTACAAACTAGGTATTTTATAAATGCACAGTTTATCCATTGGATAACGTCTTCCAATATCATGTCGTTTGCTTAGTGGGAATATGTTGCAGATATTATTAGTACGATACAGACTCATAAATGTACTCTAACAAAAGTAGGGTCATTTACAATACCACCGACAATATTTCGCTTGTGCAAAGAAATAACCAAGTGCTCAACTTATGCACATTGAATTGGATCTGGCATTTACAGTACTACTGCCATTTGATCTTCAATCGTAGATACGCACATTAAAGGCTTTATGTCACCGGATAACCTGTACAAAACCTCAGGGTTCAATCAGGTTTTGTAAATTACAAATTCAACTGCAATGAACAGCTCGAACAATATTCAGTCTTTGAACGGAAACTTAGAGAGACTCCGTTACATGCCCATTCCGCCCATTCCGCCCATTCCACCCATACCACCGCCCATTGCACCCATTGGCATTGCTGGTTCTTCTTTGGGTAATTCCGTTACAACGGCCTCTGCAGTCGTCAGCAGAGAAGCAACGCCCGCTGCATCGGTCAAAGCTGTACGAACGACTTTGGTCGGATCGATAATCCCCTTTTCGATCATGTCCACGTACTCGTCATTTAGCGCATCGTAACCAAGCGTGCCTTCGCAAACTTTGGCAACTACGACGCTGGCATCGACTCCAGCATTTTGTGCGATTTGTAAGCACGGCATGCGCAATGCATCGGCTACAATTTTGATTCCTATTTCTTGATCGTTGTTCTCCACCTTCAGGGTCTTCAAGGCTGGCGCGCATCGCAAAAGCGCAATTCCACCTGTTATGACAGATTTCTTACTTTAATAAATAATTCCACTTAGATTATTTGTAATGCATTGCACAAAGTGTACTCACCACCGGGTACAATTCCCTCCTCGACCGCAGCTCGGGTAGCATTTAAGGCATCGTGTACACGATCCTTCTTTTCGTTCACTTCTACTTCGCTGCTTCCACCTACCCTGAGGACAGCTACTCCTGATGCGAGCCTTGCAAGACGCTCTTGCAGCTTTTCCTTCTCGTAGTCGGACGTAGTATTAGCGATCTGATCTCTAATTTGTTCGGCTCTCCTATCGATGTCACTTTTATTGCCTTTCCCTTTCAGGAAAAGCGTGTCATCTTTTGTAATGACTACCTCACCAACTTGGCCTAAATCACTTGGCTGAAAATGGTGTTACATAAGATAACTCTAGTTGTACCATTGCAATGACATGAAATTATTTACATATCGCTGTATTTAGAAAAGTATAAATAGATCGTAAAATAATTATGCCTTACCTGAATGTCCTCCAACTTAACTAAATTGGCTTCATCACCGAACACGATTCCCCCAGTAGAGATAGCCATATCTTGGAGAGTGGCTTTACGATTATCGCCAAAGCCAGGTGCCTTAACTGCTGCCACTTGCAGTCCGATCTTTAGTCGGTTTACCACTAAAGTCGACAGAGCTTCTCCATCGATATCTTCGGCAATAATGACGAGTGGTTTGCGTTGTGAATTAGCTAATTCCAAAGCAGGAATTATGCTTTGCACCGATGAGATCTTCTTTTCGCTAAATAAAAGCAATGCATCCTGGAATTCAACTTTGGCTCCTTTACTGGAATTGATGAAGTATGGAGAAATGTAGCCACGGTCAAATTTCATTCCCTCGATTACTTCCAACTCGTCGTTGAGGGTTTTCCCATCTTTTACCGTAATCACACCTTCTTTTCCTACTTTTTTCATAGCATCGGATATAAGATTACCAATAGATATATCGCCATTAGCTGAAATTGTAGCAACCTGTGCAATTTCTTCAGGCGTAGTAACTGGCTTACTCAATTTTTTCAGCTCATCTTTAATTTTATCGACTGCCAACATGACACCTAAAATGTGTGTACATGACAAATGATTATCGCACAAACGTTACATTACCTATAAAATACCTTGGTAATTGATATGAATATATAAATAAAAACTATGTTCAGATTTAAAAACTAACCTCTTCTAATTTCAACGGGATTGGCACCTTTGCTAATTTTTTCAAAACCTTCTTTAGCAATGGCTCTAGCTAAAACCGTAGCCGTCGTCGTACCATCCCCAGCTTCTTCGTTAGTGTTATTAGCGACATCTTGAACCAATTTGGCTCCAATATTTTGAAACTTGTCTTTTAATTCAACACTTTTAGCAACTGTAACTCCATCTTTTGTTATTTTTGGACTACCCCAACTTTGCTCCAATATGACATTACGACCTTTTGGGCCCATTGTGACAGCGACAGCATCTGCCAGGATGTCCACACCCTGCAGCATCAAGGCGCGTACTTCGGGTCCAAAACGTACATCTTTTGCATAAGTGCGAAATTGCATTTGCCGCAGGGCAACCCCACGCAGAATAGTAGGTAATCTGAACATCTGAAATATCCGAAACAACATAAGGAGATTACATCAAGTATTCTAAACAATTGAAAGATTGCCGATTCTTAAGCATGTGATTCAGCTTTGTTTCACACATGCAGGAGAAGATTGTCCAGCAATTATGAGGTGTCTGAGAAAGCATGTAAAAGAAATCGAGTACAGATCGAAGACACGAAGATTACATTGATAAACCAAATCAAGGAGAATTTTAGCATAGTAACTGTATAATTCTTGAAACGGAGGTGCACACATTTCTACACCTCGCAAGCAAATCCAAGAATTTAGTCCCTATTAATTGTATAGTTTTCTAAAAATGAAGGGAGAAGCAACATTCAACTTGAAAGTCGAAAATCTACAAAGATCATTTACACTTAGGATCGAATTAATTATTCTGCGTGTATGGAGCAAATCCGAGGAACATGGTTATGTAAACCACCGCGTGCTCAACGTAGCGAATCGTCGAGAAAACAAAATCACCCACAACGATAGTTAATATTCAATATGCATTTTCAAACATTTTCGACTCAATATGATAAACTGCCTACTTTTATTTTAATAGAAGAATCGAGGTAAGTTGCAAATAAATGTACGACCGGCCGGTTAAAAGTCCACGCCGTATCTCGCACGTTTTCTTATGTAGATGCCAGACAATTTCTTTATATTAAATCATTACCAATTCTTACCTTTACACTTTTTTATGAGCAATGAGAAGCGGTTTTTGTAGGAAACCGAAAATGAATCGGTCGGGTCTCCTCCGAACTGCACGTTATACCGCACGCGGAATGAAAAGATACGACCCAGGCTGAAGCAAGCCGGAGTTGGAGAAGTCACGTGGTCACTTCCCCTATTTCCGCGCGAGCGCACCACACCCAACTTAACCTTACCGGTCACTTCCGAGAATTCGAGGAAAATCGTGTAAATTGGATGCAATGTAGCAAGCGATCACTGAAAACCCGTTTTCCGCGTTTGAGTCTCAATGAAGCTTGCTGGAACTCTCGCGTATTCTGTTTAATTTTCAGTGATTCTGCAATATTCAGAAAGGGTTGCGTGTTTCTAGAATGTGCAGGAATAGTGGACAGATGGCGTACTCTGTCGGAAATTCTCGTAGTATTCTTGTTACGTAACGACTGATCCCCGATGGTATATACTGAAGGCCGAAAGAGTGGGGGCTTCGCTGGGAGAGGGAGAACTCGTGGAATCTTCGAGAAAAGCAAAGGGCTGCCCATTTCGACATCGACAAAGAGAAGTGTGGTTGCCGGCTAAAGTTCAAAACGTGGGATCTCTGAAAGACCATATAACATAAAAATGGTACGTTATGAATTAAGATTATTGCACTGTTTAATGAAAAATGCAGACGATTACTTTTATTTGCCTGTTACGATGAAACATTTAGTTTGAGATTGAGGTTAAGTTTCGTCATGCTGGTATCGCCAACTCCGTAAAAAGATTGATTTCATGGAATGTGATTTTATTAAGTCGCGTGTAATTTAACAGACAGTGGATATATGTTAAGAATTTGTATGTCAGTTTTATCAGGAGAATCAATGAACTCCATTTTGCACGTATTTATAATGTGTATATGTTTTATGCATTTATTGGATGGAATGGAATAATTAAAGCCAACTTTATTGTTGTAAAGTTAATAATTATGTATTTAAGGTCTTTGCTCTTATACATAAATTATTATTTTTGGTGTAATGTGCATTTTACTTATTGTCTGTAATTATTTGCAGGCGGCAGCAGCAGCAGCAAAAAGACTAATTCCCTTGTTTGACAGAGTCCTAATACAAAGAGCGGAAGCGATTACTAAAACGAAGGGTGGTATTGTACTACCCGAGAAGGCACAAGCAAAAGTCCTCAGAGGGACTGTCGTTGCTGTTGGTCCTGGCTCAAGAAATGACGTACGTGCTAATTGCTTTTTACTCCATTGATATTTGATTGTTTAAAATATTAATATATGAATTTAAATATTCTTTACAGAAAGGAGATCACGTTCCTTTAAGCATCAAAGTTGGAGATATGGTCCTATTGCCAGAATATGGAGGCACAAAAGTAGAACTTGAAGAAAACAAAGAGTTTCATTTGTTTCGTGAAGCTGACATCTTAGCTAAGTTGGAGTCTTAAAGGTTTCATTGATTATATTAAATTCATACTGATAATAAAAACAAGCGTTCAACCAATGAAACGTTAGATATAAGAATTGGATGACATTGTAGAAGCTATGCCTCAACAGTGATTATCTGAGACATTTATTTGTTATTTCAATAAAGTTGTCATTTCTTTATAAGTTGATTAGAAAATAGAAATTAGTTTCATACTTAATTTGAATTAACTTATTTACTGTGATGTGATTTTGTTTGTAGGTCTATATACTAATTGCTACAGTAATAGCAAAATGTTTCAATTCAATATTTTTATTGATTACACAACTGCAAAATTATGCATATATTTATATATACAATTATGCAATAGGGCAGGGTACAGCAGGATAGAGCATAGAGTAGGTCAGTTTAATTATTAAGAAAAAAAATCATTTCAATTTAATGCTCTTTTTGACACTTGCTTTAATGCCAGATATTTCTCCTGCGTAACGATTAATTCCTGTTCTTATTTCTCTAACCTGAAAATCAAAAAAAGAAATTGGTATGATGTCCATTTTAAATATGCACAGAAACGTGTATTAGGTATCACTTTAGTTCTTACCGCTCCCTTCCTACGAATCTTTGCCTTACGATATTTGTTTCTATGCTTCACTCTTGGATTGCGCTTTTCTTTATTTCGGTATGGTGTTAATCCTTTATTTTTTGCAATTTGATATGTGATGGCTCTCTTTTCCTCAATTGTATCAACAGTCATACATTGCTCCATATTTTCATCATCTACATCACTATTTCCGTCATTTGAATCATTTTGTTCAAGTATTTTTTGCTTTATAGTAATTTCTTCATTTAATACAGATTCAGATTTCCTTTTCCTAATATTTTTACTTTCCACTCTAACATCTTCTGGTTTGCCATCCAGAGAATTAGAAACCCTTTTTGATTTCTTTCTTAATACATCACAATTATCTGCGACATTGAATAATTTAAAACCTTCGCATTTGGCATGTAATATCTCCTCAACACGACTCAACAAATCTCCTTGACCAGATTCCAGTTGATTAATTAGTTGATGATATTGTGCCAGCCGCTTAATAACAGGATGAGAAGCACTTGAAATTCTTTTTGCTTTAAGCATTAAGTAAAATGCAACGTTAACGCAATAATTGAGTACAAGTTCATATTTTGTTCGTATGAAAGTGACTGCTTGACAATGCGGATATTTTTCATCTTTCATCAACTTCAAAAATGGACCTAAGATGTTATTGGCTTCTGTTAAACGAGCTGTGAAAAAATGTTATTACATAATTTATTTTAATATCGTGGAACTATTAATAAGCTTTAAAAAAAAACTATCATTTCACCTACCCTTAAAATCTTGAACAAGGGTTAAAAATTCTGGGCTTTCATTGTACATCAATTCTTGTTTTTGTCTCTTACTTAATTTACTTAAATCTGTTTTTACGATTTGTTCACCTCCTTCTTTAGTTTCCGTTTCATTACTTTTAGTCTGAATTAAGTCAAACCCAAAATCTGCCTCATCTAACTGTTCCGCTAGCCTTTTTTGAATATTCCTTGCTTCTGCTTCCTCCATCTCGGCAATGGCTATGTCTTTCTGGCTTAATGTGGCATAATCTGGGTCTACATAATCTGTAGAGAAATAAGATCGCTTTTTCTGTCCCCATGCTCTTTCATCCGGCAAGTAGTCATCCTTTTCTAATCCCTCGATGTCAGACCCCATGGAGGACTCATTGTTTTCGTCCTCTTCCTCTTCTTCAATGGCATCTTCAGTTTCAGAATGTTCATTTTGGAACCCGTAAACTTCATCTTCGCTATCAACAATTTCAGATACTCTTTTCCTTCGCACATTTTCTATAGCCCGGTCTTCCTCTTTTGTGTACTCATCGGTTGAATAATTTAAATCGTCCAAGCTTTCGTCATCCATATCATCAATAGTTGTTTCTTTAACAACAGATCTAAAACAGAGGAAAAGTAAACAATTAAAAAATGATCTTAAGTTCATCACTTCGTTAAATGTATTAATAACCAGGTTACAATTTCAAGTCCCATAAGAATTAACAGGTTTTGTTAACATAGCCTTATTATGGTATAAATGGATCTTCCCGTATGACGACCCACTATTTCTTTGTTACGTGTTCAAAGCTATTTTCAAAGTGTCAATATTTTTTTAAATTTCTTACCGTCTTTTTCTCTTCATTTTATACGTGAAAAATACTAGAATTCAATCAGAACACGTGTGCCTGTACCTTTGACTTCCCTTAAGAATTTTACGTAAAAAAAAAAAAATTGGAATGACGCTTCACTGCACAATCACCCTAGCGGCCTCCCAGTGAAACTGATCCACGTGTAGTATGAACATTCCTCGTTCCACGCCAGTTTCAAACGTTACCTATAAAATTTGAAAATTTTTTCGCTTTCTTTTTATTCAAGCCGCAAACCTAAATTAAGGGAAGAAATCCAGGATATTCATTTAGTTAAGGAGAAACTTATGTTAGTCTTAATTAAATTCAACTTCGCAGCTAGTTCGCGGATCGGTGCCATATTATCATCCGAGAATAGTATCGACTGAACTTCCATCCACCTCTTGATCTACTGCCGATAACTCTTTGATATTTTTGCAAATATAGTTCCGGTGCATGTTGGTTCCAATTGCGGTGACCAACAAGCCACTACAGAGGGCGCTGATGAAACAATTCCAACCGTCACCAGAAAGCCGTTGGACAGATTACTACGTAACGCGACGCGAGACATTTTGAGATACCTCCAACGAAGGACAATCCAAGATGGCTGAGACTCAACGCAGGGGATTAAACAAGTAAGTGAATCGACTATGTATATTTCATCCCGTTTCACTTCGTAAGAATTTAAACTATGGTCAGCAATTTACCTAAGCGTGCGATGGGAGTAAACATTTACGACTGCACGGGGCATTTTAGGAGCACACGGTAGAAGGTAAAAATCTGGAATCCCATGATCGCAAAACGTGGAGAACGTAGGGGCAATACTCTGGACGAGAACTGGGAGATCAGCTCGTCGGAAAGAGGACTTCTCCACGGAAGGAATCTCCTCTTTGTTAACAGAAACTTTAGGAAAACCACCCCTCTTAAGCTTCTTCAAGATGTCTGCCTTGTTCACGCGTAACACGCTCGGCAAAAACTTTGTAATGAGCGGAACCGAGTCGAGGGGTGATGTTTGCAAATCATTAGTCCGACGGTGAAAGCTCGGCCGTACCAAGGGGAAGCGGCGTCTTATTTGCAAGTGGAAAACAGCATTACAGAAGGTATTCGGTACGTTAATGCGCCATTTTGTTTTGTGTGAACTCCAAAATGCGGAGGTCCCGTCGCGACTCGAACTCGACCCTCCGACCGCGACGCGATCGGGTTTGTTTATCGATTTGCAATTAATTCCCGATGGAAACCGAAGAGCATCTTATTTTGAAAAACGTAAAATTTTAAGTCTCTCGATGGGATGGCGCTTAAGCTTCGGACGTTTTTGGTAATTCATACGGAGAGGGAAGAAACGATCGAGGTTCAACGACACGAAAAATTGGCCCTCAACTCTTGTCCCCAATGGTGGAGAACATCCGCCCGCCGTTATCTGTAATGAGAGAAAAAGGTGCATTCGGTCCAGCCGCGATGCGAATGAAGGCGTTCTGGCAAAATGACGCGCAACCGAAGCACTGGCATTTGAGGTCTGCCAATGGATTTTTGGGACAGAGATTGTGGAATAAGCGATGGTAAAGATACCGGGAAATGGGTTAAGTCAAGCGGCACCGGGGACCAATCAGCTACCAATTATAGTCCTCGGAATACCGAAATCGTTCTCCTGCTCAGCGAGGTGTTGCGTCTCCGCGGTTAAGGCGCGTCGTCGCAAAAGGTATTCCTCCTCTTCTTTTATTTTTTTTTTCCGCTTTCTTTTACCACTGGAGACATTGAGTCATCTGGACCGCTACCGTCCTCCTCGCTCGAGAAAGGGTAGTCGGGACGAAAACACGCGGAAACGGGTGTTTTTATTTCACCGACGCGGGATGCTTTTGCGGGAATCAAAGAAATATTTTCGGTTTGAAAATTAATCTGTTTGCCTTCCTCGTGCTCATAGGATATTCCTTCGGCACCGGCATGACGCGGCGCGGGACAAACGAGTTCATGCGAAAGTCACACAGAGCCGATGAGTAATCCCGTCTTTGCGGTAATTCTTCCTGCATCCCGGAATCAAGTCCCCAAGGACCCGGACCCGGTTCCCGCTGGTAACGAGAACCCTTCTTTTCCCCGATCCCTGCGACTCCTGATCCAGTTAACAGGATCAGCCTGGTGCCACTAAACGCAAGGGGGACGACGCGTGGGATAAAACCTATTCAAAATCCCCATCTCGAGTGAGGTCGATTTATCCATCACCCGCGCTTCTTCGCTGCATACGCAACGAGGGACTCTCTTACATCCTCGCGTTCCGAAATTTCATCCCGATATACGTAAAAGCATATAAAGTACGTTTCCACGAGGAGGAGGTTTGGGTATCTCGAATAATTTAGGGCATTATGGCAATTGGGCACGGTCCGTCACAATATTTACATATGCATATCGTTCTCGTCTCAAGAGGGAAGATCCTGGCTCGAATAGGACATCCCACAGGACTCGGCGCATATATCCAAATCGCATTACCGCCCCGGCCGTTCGGCGCTAAGCCACGACGAATGCCTCGGCCGATTTGTTATGCGCGTGCTAACCGTATTAACAATCCGAAATGACAGATGGCGGGGCAGGAGATCGGTTTTGGTATCGCCCGGCTCTCGCGGCCTGGGAGCAGGAACCCGAGAGCTCTGGATATCACTGATTATCAGCCGACTATAACGCTAGCAACTATCGTTGAATTATAGTCGAGGACGCGGCCCTATTAGCATACCGTGCCGTACATTATGCATCCCAGTCGCACTGGAAAATAAGTCGATAAAGCGTAGCTTTAAGCACCGACCAGGGCGATGGTTGCCTTGAAAATTGCTTCCTGTGAGTCGATGATTTGTGCGACCCGCTCCGCCTGATAAATGCTCCCTTTAAATTTATCAGCGCTTAGAGACCGAAATCGGCAGAAATAGAGTTCGGAAAGGAGGGCCGGAGTCGCGCCTCGAGAAGACGGCGACGAAACGTCGGAGTTTCGTTTGGCCCGAAATTTTGGGAACGCTATTGTACGTTTTCTATTTCGATTCGCGTTGGACGAGACGGGAGATCAAACGGTGCGCGTCGATGGTAGCCGTGGAGTAAATTGAATATCAAATGCGACGTGCCGGTGGCCACCTCCAGATTGAAATTCGAATTGGAATCGGTCTTCCCGGCGTCTTTCGCGTTCAATGGCAGTTGTAATGGTTATAATTTGAGTGGTCACGCGTAGCTTTCAATTTCACGGCTGAGCTCCGCGCACTCGCGAAACCGCTTCTAGCAAGGTGAGACTTTACGGGCACGTAAGAGACGGCCTTTATGGTCTCCGCTATTGTTACATAAGTCGTGCAAGTATACCGGGTACTAAGGGGACTGGGGAAATCTCGTGCAAGTCGGGGCCAACGACTTTTACAGGCATCGAAGTGACACTAATGGAGACACTTTCCCGTCGAGACAGTTACGAGTCCGCTTCTGACGCGAGATGGATGTTCGCGAATTACCTTTAATTGGCGCGTTACGTCCGATTAGGTTACCCGGTTAAAAAGAAAATATTGACTTTCATCGAATCCTTGGCGGAAGCTTTATTCAGGCACGGTATACTAATTTTATAACACTTATAATGGACGTTATAAATTCAATACATAATTCTCCTCATTTTTCTACGAAATTTCACAAACCTCGAAGATGATGGTACGAAATTACAAATTTATTTCCAAGTCCATCATAAATTTATGATATTCACTTTTGATACGTGGAATTCATAATTTTGCCACAGCCTTGTGTACCAAATGTGTATGAATTTTATGAACATTTTTAAGAACGAAAGACTTGCTCGAGGTGGACCCGTCGAGGCCGCCTGCGGATTTTTTACCGAAGGGACCGGTCGAAGGTTGAGAGGCACTGGTAAGCCTTAAACATAAGGTACCACCCCACCCACTCCCTAGATACCTCGAAGTTTTCGGAACAGCGAGCGTTTCATCCTACTTGTCTCGGACTTCCTGAATGTCGACGCACTCGTGCGGCCATTAGCTACATTTTTACAGCACCGAACCCGGCACTCATCGTAATCGGCCCTAAAAAATTGCCGAACATCCTGGAGTCGGAGAGATCGATGGGAACCTGCAGTTGTAGGTGCGACGACCTACAACGGTACGCCACAACAAGTGCTTTGAGTGGGCGATGGTTACTTTTATGTCTCGTAATTATACATTCCTCCGCCGTCAGCTCAAAGTTTTAGGGTTGCATTTAGACCTGGTCAAATCTCCGCCAGGTTTTTTCCCCAGTCTTTCTCCCACGACCTCGATGTCTTTGAGGGCCCGATGCGCCGACGCATCTTCATCCGCAAAGTGGCGTGCACTTTTTCACCCCAGACGTTTTACATTCATTCGGGCCGTTAACCCCGTCTGCCCGAATTTTTACAGCGAAATGCGCCGGTCGTTACGGCGACGTCGAGTTCCCGTCGAAGGGAGGAGCGATTTTTTTTTTTAAATTTATTTATCATACGGTAGATGGTTTTTGTTTCGGAGTCATCGTTCTCGGCCGTTCCGTTCTCAATGGAGAGAATTGGATTCTTCCTCGGCGTGGAAGCATCCCGATCGAGCGTCTCGAAATCCGGCGTCGACGATTGTCCGTCCTACTTGACGTAATTAAATAGTAAATCTCGATTTTTTTCATCCAAGGCCGACGCCATCGGAACGACGATCGGGGATGATCGATCGCGACGATCGTCGGAATTCCGAACATCCAGGAATTCGAAGATGGCTTAGCGTGAAATTGTCTGCCAGGCATTGTTCTCACAATTATCGTGATCTACGGTTTTAGGATCCGAGAAACACGAAAGTCTGCCCCGAACTGTTAATCTCTCTTCGGCGAACCCTTCACTTTGGCCACCGCTCTTCTGCCCACACGTAGGCAGACCCTGCCGAAGTTTCCTGCCAATCGGGACCAGAAACCGGGTCGACCGGGGATTTTAGAAACAGCCTTCGAGTTTTTCTCCCCGACTTTCGCGGCCGTCGAGCGGCCCTAATTGCCGCTCGGGATGTGCCGATTACGACCACCGGATGACCAGAGGCATTTCATTATCAATTATTGCCTGACGATGAAATATTGCATGTCCGGTTGAAGGTTGCACCGTCCCGATTGAACCACTCCCGACTCGCTCTCGAG